GGTATTACAGAGCCGCACTAAAATCCTGCCGTCGTTTTCCATTATTATTTTACATCGTTATGTCCTGCCATTACTTCAAGCCTATTATGAACTTGCACCTTTAGGCTTTGTTCTGTTCTAGGCTTTAAGGTGAGATTACGTAAAACTTTTTTCTGACTGGCTTAAGTTATCGGCTAGCTTCTTCGTAGACGAACAAAGGAATTATGGGTTAACTTAGTTTGATTTTGGTCCTACTCCCCCTTAATCTTTTTCGAAAAAGCCAGCCGATGACTTAAGCCAATCAAAGAAGCTTTTTATGTACTTCCACCCTTACTCCTCATTCCGTATCAATTTTAATTTTCAATTGACACTAAACATATTAAAAAATATTTCCACTTACAGTCAAGGCGAAGTTACGCTGTCTTCATGAACATCATGTGCGTCTATTACATAATGTCTTACCGGCGCCCTCTGGCGTAGATATTGCTAACAATATCAAATACTTTTCTCAAACTCTACTAAGTAAGTCAAACAGTTGCATACTTTAAATAATTTCGGAAGCTATCAATAACTGTTTTAATCTTAATTTTCAGCTGTCCTCAAAGATGTGCGCACCTCACCACACGATCTTATACGCAATCCCTCTGAAGATCCTACACGCATGTCTGCCTATCCCACACTCGAATATGGAAATCTTTACAATGCCCTAACTATGTTAATTGATGTTGCACCTTGCATACAATATGGACAAATTGGTAAGGAATTTTGAAATCAATAAATGAAATAGTATTGTTTTTGATATTTAACAAGTAAAGAAGCAGTAAGTTCGGCCGGGCCGAATATTGAATACCCTCCACCATTTGGAACGAATTAGGAAATTTTCAAAAAAAAAAAATAAAATCCATTAAAAATTCTGTTAAAATCTTAAAAATACTGAATATCGGAAGGTGCCGATATATGGGGGATATACGATATTGTGGACCTACATAAACAAATCCATTTCTGGGGGTAAAGTACTCCCAAAGAACTCCTTGTGTAGAATTTCAGACAATTTCGATAAAAAAATGTGGGTAAAATCATCAAAATACCGAATATCGGGGGTCCCGTTGTATAAAGGCTATACGTTATCGTTGACCTATATAGATAATTCTATTCCAGGGGAACTCCTTGTGTGAAATTGCAGACAATTCCGTTGAAAAATGTGGCTAAAATCATCAAAATACCGAATATCGGAGGTTTCGTTATATGGGGGCTATACGATATCGTGGACCTTTATAGATAATTCTCTTCCAGGGGGTAAAATACTCACAAGGACTTTCTTGTGTGGAATTTCAGACAATTTCATTGGAAAATGTAGCTAAAATCATCAAAATACCGAATATCAGGGGGGTACCATTATATGGGGGCTATACGATATCGCGAACCGATATTAATCCATCTTCGAACTTGACCTGTTAAAGTCAAAACGAAGAAAGAAAGGAAGCTAACATTTTCCACAGATCTGTATTTTGTCTGCAGGCAGGTCAAGTTCGAAGATGGAATGTATCGGCCCACGATATCGTATAGCCCCCCCATACAACGGTACCCCTAGTTTTGGTAATTTGATGATTGTAGCCAAAATGTTCAATGAAATTATCTGAAAATCCACAAAAGGGGTTCCTTCTAAGTACTTTACCCCCTGGAAGAATATTGTGTATATAGGTCCAAGATATCGTATAGTCCGCATACAACGGTACCCCTATATTCGGCGTTTTGATGATTTTAACTAAATTTTTCAATGGAACTGTCTAAAAATCCATACTAGAAGTTCGTTCTATGCACTTTACGCGCTGGAAGAGAAATGTCTACATAGGTCCCCGATATCGTATATTCCGATATCGTATATTCCCCATATAACGGTACCTCCATATGTTCGGAATTTTAGTGATATTAGCTACATTTTTTTCAATGGAACTGTCTAAAAATCCATACTAGAAGTTCGTTCTAAGCACTTTACCCGCTGGAAGAGAAATTTCTATACAGGTCCATGATATCGTATAGCCCATATACTACGATACCGCCCCGATATTCGGCATTTTGAAGGTTTTAGCAACATTATTTACCGGAATTGGTTTCAGATTTCGTAGTTGAAGTTCATAATGGGTACTACAACCTATGGCAGAAAATTGTCTGTACAAGTTCACGTTTTGGTATAGCCCCCATATAATTGTACCTCCCTACAGGGTGAGACGAAAAAAACTGCAACGAACTTCAAACTGTTGTCATTTCTAAGCCACTCGTCCGACAGCTGTTAAAATAATTTCAGTGACAGCTTATTAAATTGTTTACAAGCGTACAGAAGCATTTTGATGAGAATTTTCCAGAAAAAAAAGTTATTCGTGATGGAATTCAAGCGTGATAGTGTGACTTCCTTATATTTGGCTGGAAAACCACAAGTGGCTATCGTTAGAGCACTCCAGCACTTAAATGTGAAAAAATCTTTTGTGTCTCGTACCATCGCTCGTTACCGTGATACTGGTAGCGTAGCCCGACGTCAAGGAAGTGGACGAGAGAAAACAGCAACACCAGCAGAAATGGTTTGAAAAGTAAAGAAGCCACTTGATTGAGACCCGCGACGCAGTGGCCGAAAAGTGGCTCGTGAGCGGAATATATCGCTATATTCCATTCGGCAAATATTAAACCAGTAAAGAAAGTCTTAAAGTCGGACGGGGCCGACTTTATGATGCCCTACACCACTTTGCTAATTTAGTAGAGCTCCACATAACAATAAAAGTTTTTATTGGAGAATTCAATCATACACGCTATGATTATAATTATAACTTAAAGTTCAAAGGACTAAATATGCCGAAGCATTTGTATCTCTTAAATTCGTAATTGTATTGCCCATTTGGTGCACAATTAATTTGAAATCGGATAAAGATATATATGGGAGCTATATCAAAATCTGAACAGATCTCGATAAAATTTGGCAAAGATATTTCTGAGCTGTATTTGATATATTTCCCCGAATATCGTTGTTACGGAGTGCATATTACGGTTGTGGGTAACAAATATAACAAATCGGATGAACAATATATATGGGAGCTATAGCTATATCTGAACCGATCTTCACTAAATGTGACATACTAGCTTCTAGACTCAATTCGGTCGTAAGTGCCGAATTCCATCCCATTTGGACAAATATTAGAAGTTTGGTGCACAATAAAAGGTAAATCGGACGAAGTTATACATGGGAGCTATATCCAAATCTGAACCGATCTCGATAAAATTTAGCAAATGTATTTCTGAGCTGCATTTGATATATTTCCCCAAATATTGTTGTTACAGAGTGCATATTACGGCGGCGGTGGACAAAAATAACAAATCGGATGAACAATATATATGGGAGCTATAGCTATATCTGAACCGATTTCAAATCAAATTTGGCATACATATTTTCAGACCTAATTTGGGTGTATATGCAAAATTCCATTCAATTCGGGCTGATATTACACGTTTGGTGCACAATAAAAGGCAAATCGGACGAAGATATGTATGGGAGCTATATCTAAATTTTTACCGATTATTTCCAATTTCAATAGGGTTCGCCTTTGAGCCAAACAAATGATCTGTGCAAAATTTCATCTGGATCGGGCAATAAATGCGACCTGTACTTTGTTTACAAAAATACATGGACAGACGGACAGACGGACGGACAGACGGACGGACGGACATGCATAAATCGACTCAAAATGTGATTCTATGCAGATCATCAAAAGGAACTATGGGTCTATCTCGTTTCCTTCTGCCTGTTACAAACAAATGCACAAAGACATAATACCCTGACCACCTTGTGGTGTAGGGTATAAAAATGAGCTCGGGGTAAAGCCATTGAAATTCCAAAAAGTGCAAGAACTTACACCGCAACAGAAAGAAAATAGACTCAAAAGAGCTAAAGAGTTGCTTCGCTTGGTCGAAAGTGGTGAACTGCCGAATTTGGTTTTCTCCGATGAGAAAACATTCGTTGTCCAGCAGTTTGTAAACAAACAAACTGATCGTGTTTACTTGCCAAAGAGGTCAGCTGAAAATGTGTACCTTCGGTTGGCCACCAGAACTCAAGCGCCGGCCATGGTGATGGTGTGGCCCGCCATAACAGCCGATGGTCGCTCTCCGCTCGTATTAATCGACCGTGGCATCAGAATAAATACCGAATGTTATCGCAAATATATTCTGGAGGGTGTATTAAAGCCTTGGGCACGCAAAAATTTTGGCCGCAGACCTTGGACATTCCTCAGCACCATACTCAGCACCATCGCACTCAGCACGCGCCACCAAAGAATGTTTACAAAATGAGGTTCCTTGCTTCATTTCGAGCGCACAATGGCCACCAAAATCCCCGGATACCAATCCGTTGGACTATTGTGTCTGGAGTATTTTGGAAAGCAAGGTTGGCACTAAACAATACCAAAGTGTCGATCAGCTCAGGCAAGTGCTTCGCTGGGAATGGGCCAAAATACCGCAGAGCAATATTCGGGCAACGTGTGACGGTTTTATTGGCCGTTTGAAGGCCATAATTCGTGCCAAAGCAGACCAATTCGAACAAATCTGAACATATTCTAAACTTTGATGCTATTTCCGACATTTTTTGTTTTCATTTAATAAAATTTAAAAAAAAAAGGTAAAAATTATGGCTAATGACAAAAGTTGCCTAAAAGACCCTAAGGGTGGAAATACATAAAACGCATATTTGGCTAGCTTAAGTCATCGGCTGACTTCTTCGTAGATGAACAAAGGAGTTTTAGGTTGACTTAGTTCGATTTTTGCCCAAGGCTCCTTTGTTCATTTTCGAAGAAGCCAGCCAGAAAAGCGCTTTTCGTATTCCCAACTTAATATAACGGCTACATTCGGAATTTTAAAGATTTTAACAGAATTTTTAATCTATTTTTTATTTTTGAAAATTATAAAATTTGTTCCAAATGGTGGAGGGAGCTTTTTCACTTATTAATTCTACTATGGTAAACAAGCTGTTATCCAATTTTTCGCACTGTAAATTTCATGGCAGAAGAATACAGGTAGATACATCAACACTTGGGAGCATTGATATGTCAAAAAAAAATTAAATGTTTTTTCAAAAATATGAATAGATTTTTAAATGTTTTCTTATACGACGTCATTCGGAGGTTATTATAATTCGAGTTTTTTTTTTTAACAATTTTTACAAATTTAACTGATTTTTCATTCAACACTTTCAATTTCAAAATTGGTTTGACAGTTCATTGTCCCAGCAGCTGTGTCGATGCGTCTACCTATATTCTTCTACGATGGTAAATTTGAAGTATTCATTGGACCTTTACTCTGGTAGTCAATCGGCATTGATGGGAATCTTTATAATTGGTCACTGGAGAGACCTATAAGTAGACATTGATTAAAATGTTTATTTTGAATTGTAACATATCTTATTTTAATATTTAAAATTTCTTATTTCAGTTTTTGGAAAAGCTCTACTACAATGCCTCTGTTGTATCCTGCCATTTTTGGACAAGGATCTTATCGATAATCTACCTTATTTGGCTAGCTCTACTATATCTGTATTACCCCCAGCCTTACATCAAGATATCGTCAATGCTCTATGTTACTATATACTACCATTCACAATAAGTAAGTTATTTGAAATCACTTTCAGTTCATCTTTCACAACTCCATTAATTTTTTAATTTCCTTACCCTGCAGCTCGACGCAGTGCCGATGAACAGGAGTCACAAGCCTGTCAATCAGTGTCGTCTGTTATCATGATGGTCCTACAGTACTCTAACAATCCAGGTAGGAGTCTGGCTTATATTTTAATGCCTATAATGGTTAAAAGTATTCTCCGCATCTTATTTCCTACCCTCTAGCTCATCATTGTCAACTCTTGGAATGTCTAATGACTCTAAAACATAATGTGGTCAAGGATATCCTGTGTGTCATTGCCTATGGCACATCGGTATCAAGATCTTCAGCTGCAAAATTGTTATTCTATTATTGGCCAGCTTTTGATCCGAACCTATTTGACAGAAAGGTCCTACTCTCGAAATTAACAAGTAAGTAACACACATCGGAGACCATATTTGAAGGAAAAAGCTTCATTGACCCGATTAGAGTTATCTAGTAAACATTGGTTGTTTAGAAATCATGCATTGGTGGTCCTGAATTAGTCTTTAAAACGTAATTAAAGAAGTCTTTGTGACCAGCAAAATTATTAGACCGAATAGATTAAAAGAGACTTTAATCGACCCGTATTTTTAACTTTTTGCTTTTTTCCTTCCAGACGATCTTGTGCCCTTCGTGTGTCAGCGTGAGCATTGTCCCAATGCTGGCAATGCCGAAGCGGCCAAGGTGTGTTTCGATCACAGCATCAGCATTACCTATGCTCCCGATTGTCCACCACCTCTGTACCTGTGCATAGAGTGTGCCAATGAGATTCATCGTGAACATGCCAATCTCGAATTCGGTGACATTCTTCATCCCATGCAACAGGTGTCGATGGTGTGTGAAAATAAAAATTGCCGTTCAACAGAAAAATCGGCATTTTCCATATGCTTCTCGACGGAATGTGCCAGTTATAATGGTAATCATCCCATACGCTATTGTTCTCAGTGTCACAGTAATCGTCACAACTCGCGACGTGGTGGTGATCATGTTGTCCATCGAAGTTTACCTCCGGCCTGGCAAATGGACCCTGAAATGCAAATGCATATGGTGGAATGTGTGGTGAGTTTGCTGCGTGAGGCTAAACCCTTGAATTGTGAACCGGGCAAAGAGAGTTCGGATTCAAAGAAGAATGGTTCAGGTGGCGTTGGAGGTGGTGGTGGCGGTGGAAATGGCATAATGCCAGATGCCATATCACCGGAGGAACGACAAATGTTGGGACGATATGGTATATGGTTGCTGGTGGGACGTTGCACGCCCACAGCCGATACACCGGTGGAAATATTGGGAAGGATTTTAAGCATGCTCTTCCATTGGTTCCATGTTACCGCCTATTCCTATGATGCCGGACAGATCGAGAGTACAATTGAAAAGTTGAAAACGGAACATGTTGTGGGTTGGCTCAAGGAAATCTGTCGCATACATTACAATGTAAGTTCATTCTCGATATTTTCGGAAATTGAAACTAATTAAAGTCTTCTTAGGTCTTCACTTCCTGTCTGCTGCCTCATCCCCCAGAATATGCCCGAGTTGGCGGCCATTGGGAAACTTTAGCTTCGAAAACTTCTCACCTCAAGGAGGGACTTCAACGTCTTATCTGTTTGGTACCCTATGAGGTCATAACATCTGAAATATGGGATTATGTTATGCCCCACTGGATGGAGGCAATAACCAATGATGTTGCCGAAAAGGAACTAAACGAATTGAAAATTGTCCTTAGCAAAATTCTCGATCCCGAAATGTCACCTTTGGGTTTTGATGCAAAAACTATGTATAACTTTGTGGCAATACGTTTTGAAAAAACCACGGCTAAGGTTCAGCAACAAGCTCTACGCTGGCTTCAGATTCTCTCCAAATTGGGAATTCTGATTCCTTTGGTCCAGCTATTTGCAATGTTCGGTGATGGTGTTCGCATCATGAAATATGGTGTACAACATGAGCTGATGCGGGAAAAAGAGGGTGGCGGCATATGTCGTTCGGGCGTAAAGGCCATACCAAGGGAACCCAAAAATGATCCACCACGCAGAAGTTCGATATGTAAGTGGAAGTTTGGGGTAGCTTCTTTTTCCTTGGTAAATCGTTCATATTTTTTTCTTCATTTTAGCACCAGTTGTGGAGGATGACTCGGGCAACACCTCCGAAATATCCGACGATGATGGCTCCACCAATGGCCACCCTGAATTCTCAACTGATTCCGAACACAATTTGACATGTTGCATCCTGATGTTGGACATCCTTTTAAAGCAAATGGAACTGCAGGATATTGAACAACATTTGGGTATCCATACCACGGTCTGTGAGAATGTCTCCAGATTGCTGAAATGCATGGTGACTGCGGCTCGTGTTGGACTGAGCAGTCATGTGTGTTTATTGAAGGTAAGGTGCCAGAAGTAGCATAGATAGTCAAATTGAATGGATGTAGAAGGGCTATAGAATACAAATATGGGGAAGAAGGTTCCGTTTTTGGAAAGGAAATACATTGGGCGCCATTAAGGTCTGTGCACAATCCCACAGTCAGATTTTACGTCTGAGGCGTCCTCGGAGTACAGAACTCCGCCGCAGCCTTCCAACTCCAAGGTAAGAGGAATTTAAGAATTGGAGGACTGTTGAAAACTTTGTTATGGCTACAAAATGTTGAGAATGGATCGAGCCAGAAGTGGAAGTAGGGGGTTGACCTTCCTGTTACACCAGTTTTTTTTAATACAGGCCTACATATATCACTTGAGCTAGTCTCTAGTGATCCGTACATGAAATATATGGGAGTAGCAGTCAAGTGTGGAACTGCCGTGGTAGAGGTGCTTAATGTGTATATTCCTCCGATTAATAGCTGTAAACCGCATATTTCAATATCCGCTACGAGTTGTGGGATTCCGTCCTAGGTAATGAAAAGATGAGATCATGTTATCTTGGAAGATTGATTGCTCCACATTCATTGTAGATGAGGATGTCGCTGTTAGAGATCATCTAGTCGGACAAATGATATGACTTAGCAACCTATAATTTCTTTTGGATCAGATTATCTTCCAATAATCGTCTACATAAGCAGATCGACCGATTTCATAACCTCTAAACGCCGCACTTTCCTAAACCTTTAGAATCCTTACTGTTCAGAATTCAGAGAGTTCACCAACATCACTTTCAAATCAGTAGTGTTAGAACGACGGAACTCGAATCACGCTGGCCTCATTTCAGCTTTTGACGATATCTCTGAAAACCTCTCCTCGACCCGAACATTAGAATGATTGGGAAGTTCTCCGTCGTTCCAACCGTACTGATTCCAAATTCAATGAATTGATAGCGGAGGTCAATCTTCACATTCAGTTCAGATGAGGACTTAATCATGGGGTCACCTGGTCTGGCCAATGATGTGACTTGACAACCCGTAATTTCTCTTGGATCAGGTCATATCTCAATAATCGTCTACATAAGCAGATCTACTGATTTCATAACCTCTGAACGCCGCACTTTCCTTAACCATTGGAAAACTTACTGATCAGAAATCAGAGGGTTCGATCTCTTATTCGGATATTTCACTGGTCTTATTTTGGATATTCAACAAGCAGGTATATGACGAGCGGCTGTAGCTTTGACGATGTCTCTGAAAACCTTCCTGCTACTCGAACATCGGTAGGATTGGGCAGTTCCACGTCGTTCCAACCCTACTCATTCCAAAGACGACTAATTGACAGTGAATGTCAACTGGTTGGTACTGGAGCATACGAAGGAAACCTGGCTAGACATAAGTAAACTGTGGGAAACCGTTAAATCTTTGTAGAACTCTGGGAAAAGGATGATGGGACCTTAGCAACGTTTAACGAAATAAACGCCGAACTCCGCGAAAGTAAGATTTCTTTCCGCCGAGGAGGTAACCACCACAATTTATTATTGGTAATGTTGCAAATAATTGTCAAAACAATAACACATCCAAAATATTTGGCCTGGACGTCAACCAGTTGGTACAGGAGCATAAGAGGGAAAAGTGGATAGATAATATGAAGTGTTGCAACATTGGAACCGATAAGAGTAAATTGGGGTAAAAGGAGGATAGAACTTTAGTTACACTAAACGACGTATCCATCAACTAGTCGAGCACACCAATTGTGATAGGGTGAAACGACGAGTCCTACGTCCTCTTATGTATTTTCCCGCTGAAAAGATGCAACAAGAGTTTACGATCGACAATGATGCAAATTGCCCGCAGGTTAACGGGTCAGTGCAGGAGCGTAGATAGAAAACATAGCTAAAGTATCTGAAGTGTGGCAACACTGGAAACAATATGAATCAACCGTGGGTTGCTGGAAAAAGCATGATTGGATTTATCGAGCACCCCGAAGTGATTCAATGAAGCGACTCATTAGATCTCTTTCCGCCTCAGAGGAAACACCACAATTTACGATAGATAATGTTGCAAATGTCATCCGAAACGATAAGTCAACCAAAACGTTGGCCTCAGATGTGATCCAAGTGGGTTGTGGTTGTTGAAACAAGTGGAAATGCCGAGAGATGAATACCTAACACCAGTCCTCAACCTGTCGCCAGCCATCCTGTCAGAAAAATTAAACGGGTGCTCTCGTTACTCAAGTCAGGCAATAATGCCAGCAAAGGCGAGTCATACAAGTCGATTTCGATTTTGTGCTACTGGCCAGAGGAATGACCAATATTAGAGGGAAACTATCCAGTTGTTGGCCATCAACATGGGTTCAGTCTTCAACATAGTAAGTTTGCAACTTTGGATAAACAACCATATCTGGAGTGGTACGTGGAATTCGGGAATAAGATATCCAAAGTCCGTAATGTGAAAGACAGATCGAGTTTCTCAAGGTGGTCTAATATCTCCTGAACTCTTTAACCTCCACATTTCCGAAATTCCTCGTCCTCCAGACGATCATGCCACTGAGACCTGACGTTGATGACATATGTATACAGCGGAACACTTTTTCGTGGAACTTACCTCCTTCTTTCAAACGAGGAATATAAAAAAATACGCCACTAAGTTAACGGCCACACTCTTTACCACATGGTCTGTGGAGATGAAAACAGAGCTGGATGTGCAGGTCGAGGAAAACGTAATTCCGACCACAAACTAGCCGAAGATCCTAAGGAACATCTTCGACAGCATTTTCAAGTCATCAGCCGTGCTATATGCGATAAATTGCAATGTAGGAATAAGGTCCTCAAGGCGATAAAAGGCGGCAGTTGTGGCGTGGAAAAGGAGATCTTGTTAGCTGTCCAGAACACGATTAGTCGGTTGTGGGTCGTAATGCGGCTTAATGAGTTCTGTGTATACTAGTCCTACGCAATAGGCAGCAGACTTGTCAGAATGCTGCCCTGAGAAGTGCATCTGGGTGCCTCCACATAACACCAGTGAACCACCTACATGAAAATGCGAGGGTTCATACCGCATGTCAGCGTGTGATTTTGTTTTAGTTGCAGTACGTTCTTGATTTTTACCGTGGAAGTCATCCAAACCGTCAAATGGTGGATAAAACTCGCCCAGCCAGGCGTGTCTGAAAGGACTTACACGATTTACAGAGGATGAGGGTGAGGCCTTTATATAAAGAAACCTATCAGACAGGTCTGAGTAGCATTCATACTGAGTTGGAGGCCAATGTTATTAACATTTACAATATCAATCGGCTGTATAGACAAACCTGGTTAGTTTGGCCCAACCACGTCCAGAATGATACAGATCGAACTCGAAGCATGTAGTTACTGTTACAACGGCAACAAGCTTTATATAAGTCCTGCTTTATTTTCTATGGTTATAAAATGAAATGATTGATATAGACTTTAATGGCGCCCAATTGGATATTTAAAAAAAGACTAAAAGTGAGCACAAAATCGCATCAGTGAGATCCAGCGCCGCAAAATGGTGGCAAATGTATGGAAGTACCAAAATTAAAAAATCTATATCTTCGAAGGGTCTCTAAATCGGAAATTTTAGTACATTGTGAACTGGTTGGAATTTTAACCTCAGCAATGAACTTGGCAAAATTGAAAAATTAGTTTGGCCTGTATCAATTGCTTGGTAAGCAGTAAACGGTATGATATAGGAATTTCGATTTTTAGCGCAGCTTCACTAAATTAGGAGACAAATCTCGGATGAACTTTACTGTCACATACTTTGTAAATAATTTTTCAAAAGCAAACTCTTGTAACGTTTCTTGCAGGTGGCCGAATGTGGTTACTGTGAAGCATCCATAATGTGGCATCAACTATCAACGAAACTTGTACAATTTATGGCTCCCCTAAACCCGCTAAGGCCACCAGATGTAAGTTTTAGAGTAAAGTATAATTCTTCCCCTTCAAAAATGCTAACATTTTCGCCGCCTCTTCCCAAAAAAAGGTACCCATTGAAGAAATCATCGAAGAAGAAAAATCCTCACGCAAAAGTCCACCAGAAAGCGACAAGGAAAAGACCAGGGAGCGTGATGTCTCCCTTTCAATGGCACCGTTGCCCATACCACTGGGTCCATTGGGCGGATTTTCAGGTGCTTAATTTGATTTTATTTTACACATTTATTTATAAACCTCTAGATGAGTCCACCCCCCGAACCCCTTAAACCTAGTATCCCTCTATAATATATAGAATTTACAAAGTCTTGAGTAAAATATCCGTTCCCTCTCGCCCCCTGTTTCCCGTCCGAAGAAAGTAATAAACCCCATATCTCCCATTTTTAAATAAAAAAAAACCTATCCTGCATAATGTAAATTTTAAATTTATAAAAAACCATAAAAACAACTAAACTCTCTCGCTCTCTCTGTGTCTTTGTGTGCTTAGAAAGCCAGAGTGAGTTTTGTAATTTTTTTGTAACTCAAATCAAAATTAATTACTACATACTCTCTTAAGCTCTGTCTGTCTGTCTCTCTTTCTCTCAAACTCTTAGTGGTATGCCAAAATGAGAGATAATCGAAAAAAAAAATAATAATACGTCACTTTAGCAACCAAACTCTTAGTTTTTGATTCTCTTTTTTGTGCACTTTGAATAGCAACAAAAACAATATTAACATAACAGACAAAATAATATGAGATGATAATAAAAAAGAGAAAGATGAATACACTCACATTCAAATTCATAGGATTAATGCCTAATATTTTCTCCTCTATGATTGGCTTAGGTTAGACTTGACTCCTTCCCATCCTCTTGTTCTTCTTCTATTGGCCCCGATCATTTTTAGTTATAAACTAAAGCACTCTCTCTCTCTCACTGAATCCAGTTATATCAAACTATCACTGTCCAAATCTTTCACTCTCTCTTACTACCTACCTATCTCTCTCTCTATCTCTCTCTTTCAATCACTGCCAATTTAAATATTTTTTGTTTAACTATCTGTATATATTCCTATATCTGTCTCTTTCTCTATATATCTCTCTCCCGCCATCCTCAACTTTCTCTAACGAACTTTACGCTCTCGAAACCTTAAACAATTTTGCATTTTTTTATTACTTAAATACTATATCACTACTCTCTTTTGCTAACAACAATAACAATATCATAACCACGATATGATGTCCTCACGATCACACTCAAGACCTTTTTAAGCTCGATCCAATCATTTCAGACGATGGGAAAATTATTATTATGGCAGGTGATGCATCTATGCTCTTTATACTCTACTCTCTCTCTCTAATACTCCCAAAAAAAAAAACAAAATATTAAAACAAAGCAAGCCATAACATTGTGTTCTCTCTTTTTTAATAACAGTTCTGTTCAAAGCCATTATTCTTTAATAATAAATAAAAACAAAACTTATCGATTTTTCTCTGTCGCTTTGTTATTGAGTGAAATGCCGCCCTAAGTTCTGTTGTATTCTCACACCACCCAGCCACTTAACACTGTACACACAATACACGGAGAAAAGTTCTTTTGGCCCTCCCCCTTGTTCTCACCACTTCACAACACAGTTCCAAACAATTTTACACAATAACACGATTTTTTTTCTCACGAAATTGCATAGAAAATTTGTAGCGAAATTTATTTTTTTCAGAATTTAAGTTCATTTCGATTAGACTCCTAACCTTAAAAATTTAGATTGATGCCTATTTTTCTGCAGGTGTATATCAGAAATATAAGTTAAATCAGATTTTTATTATATTTAAAATATTTGCTAATGATAATATATTAATTAATTATCGATAATTATCATTTTCCATAGAAAAATCAGTAAAGGATATTAATCTCCATTTATCGATATTGATAGGAAAACAATAATTATAATTTTTCATAAAAAATGTCGTTTTAAAAATTATAATTTTTCATAGATTAATCACAAAGCAAAATCGTCTTGTTATAAAAAAGTAAAACAGCAGTTAAGTTCGACCGGGCTGAACTTTTAATACCTTGCACCATTTGAAAGGAACTTGAAAAATTTCAACAAATTTCGAAAATACCGTTTAAATGATGAGCTTTATACGGGGGCTATACGAAAACGCGGATCTGCATACGAATACATACAATTTTTAGGCGTCGGCTGTAGTTCCCACTACAATCTTCGAATACGAAATTTGAAAAAATTCGGGTGAATGATGTAGCTAAAATCTTCAAAATACCGATTATCGGGAGGTACCTTAATATGGCGACTATACGAAAAAGTAGTCCGACATAACCCATTTACGAATTTAATATGCCTACTTGGTACATACACATGTGTGCAAAAATTTAGCCGTCTTCCTCAATTCGTTCGAAGGATAGAGTGATTACAACAGACAGACGGACGGACATCGGCAGAATATATGTACTTTGTAAATCTATCATGAATATTTCGAGGAGTTACAAATGAACTTCCAAAGCTAATATACCCTCCATAGAATGAAAGAGGGTATAAAAACTCGAGTTAAGGTTATGTTACACGATTCGCAGCTACACTGGAGTCAGCAGCTGCTCCATTGTGTTCATCCAATGAAGAATAAAGCGCCAGCGTCGAGGCCTTCTACCCATCTTGCAAACGTCTGTGTATATGGTCAGACCATCCAGAGAATATTCACCACCAGTCCAAGTGTATTTTTCCGGCACAATGAGACCTTTCTTCGCGCCTCGATATTTATGATACAGTTTAAGCGCTGGTTCATAATCGAACCATTAAGTACTGGCAGCGAAAATTCATACACTTCAGAGTTTACTCCCAGAAGAAATATATCTCATATCAGCACCGAAATTACTTCGATGAATCTATAATTCACGCTCTGGTATTTTATTGATCACCAGAAGCCAAAGCAGGAATGAGTGAATTCCTCCCTGCCATCTGTTGATAGTTTTCCTGTTCGAACTCTCTTCCAAGCTCGAATTGATAATACTGCTTTTTAGCATTCTATCAATCCATTCGATCAGGTTAGAATATCAATCAGAGGCATAGAACTTCGAACTTCACATCGTTGAAAAATTCCTCCATATTCTTCTCAATGTATCCAACAACTTCGTGCGGGACAACCACTGATCAACCTTTGAGCGCGCTGTGATCGTGCATAAGCGTGTTATGATGTTCTAAGAGTGTTTGAATGAACATCCAGGTCCAGTAACCTTTTTAAAGTATTCGTCAGAAAGGAATAGAGGCTAATCGGTTTGGGCAAATTGTGACTAGATTTCCCAGCTTTGGGAAAATTTCCTACAAGATGGCCAAAACCGACTCAGATGCATTTTGGAACAATGAAAAGCCGAAAGGTGCTAATCAACCATAAGAAGTTGAGATAGCTTTTTATGGGTTTAAATGATTACTCACTATCACCTACATCCTTTAAGCCAGAGGAGTGGGTGCCTTTTCATCGAAAAACTCTGGTTAGCTGCCGCTCTATGTTCATTCTCTCTGCGCTAAACCGCTGGCATACAAAGAAAACATGATACGGATCTTGCACGTGTTCGACACAGCATGGACAATTCGGAGAAATATCAAGACCAAATCGGTGTAGGTAGGACTCAAAGCATCTATATACTGACAGAAAATGAGTGAGATAAAACTTCAAATAACCATATCGCCTATTGGACCACGCGTCTGCATTTCGTATCAGGGAGTACCGCCCATCTATATTTTGTTGATGCTTACCAACTATTTTGCCTCTCATAATGATCTGATTTATGCCCTCATCAGGTAAATTTTCACTTTCATGTGCACCCTTTGACATAAATATAAGTTCACACTCTTTTGTTAGAATATCGGTAGTTACATAGTTGGACACTGTTCTGATTGCACAGCACACATGTAGCGCTGCAAGTCTATAGATTGAGCGAATTTTTTCACAATACACGTGCTGCATAGAGGATAATATTTTTAATTGCTCCTGTCAGTACTCTCCAGCTAAGGAATTTCAGCCTTCTCGTATTCGAAATAATACGGCATAACGCTGTGCATGTTTCTCCTGGTTTTATTTACGTGTTGCTAATAAGGCTCTGGTGGTTTAGGTTTAAATAAACACTTGTTTTAATTACAAGTCTCTGGCTTTATGTTTTATCTATTAAACCCGTTCCTTTTTTTGTGGAAAACATTTCTAGCTTCGTGCTTAGTGATCGTTCTTCTCTGATGACAGCAAGTAATCGTTGAGGTATCGATTGTTGGCTTATCGGTGTTATTAAACAGGAACCTCAACGCGTATGATAAGTTTCTTAATTAATTATGAGTGTTTCGGTCTTATATTGAAAATTTGACAACGGAGTCTAATAGATCTAGCGGCATAACCTTATGCATTATAACACAATCTTAAGGTGAGAATACATAAAACGCTTTTTTGATTGGTTTAAGTTATCGGCTGGCTTTTTCGTAGGAAAACAAAGGAGTTTTAGTTTGACTTAGTTCGATTTTGGCCTTTCACTCCTTTGTTCTTTTTCGAAGAAGCCAGCCGATGACCTAAGCCAGTCAAAAAAGCGTTTCATATTTTTTCACCTTCGGAGGTTATATTTGCCGGATAATCTGGATACAAATTTGTATCACAACGTTATATTATATTTATAAGAAGATCTCTATTGCCAACGGAAGGCATCAATTCTCTTACAGCCAACACAAGAGTTTCTGTTTGACAAAGAAAAATCTCACTACATTTTATTTTTAATAATCTCACTATATTAAAAATTTAATCATTTCAAGTCTACACATTTCTGATATACACCAGCTAAACTTCTTAGAAACCTGAAATGAAAAGTGCATGTTTTTAGTATTGGCAACTTGAAGTCAAATTATTTCTTTTTTCTATTTCCTTGTAGCTGAAACCGATTAGAATAGTCGTAAAATCCTTTATACTTCCTGCATGATTTTAAGAGAATGATATTTTAAATTCCAAACGATGATAACCTGTTAAAATAAACCTTAAAAAGAATTAAAAAACAAAATTGAGTTGAACTTATTTTCAAAAATTGTGTTCAATGCCCAGTAGTTTTGCTACCTGAAATATTTACTAATACTTTGTTTAACATTTAGGTCCAGTGCCAGTGGCGGTACCCCAACCTGAACCGCACTCAGTCGGTGGAGTTCTGGTGCACATGCCTCATGTATGTTCGGTAAGTGTGAATGTACACTCAAAGAAAAAGTGAGCAACAAAAGCAACAAGTATCCTCAGAATTTTGTCATGTTACGTTTCAAGTTGAATATTGAACGAAAACGTTCACAGTTCGGTTTGAGTTTTCTGATTTAAGTTTAAACAACAAAAAAAAAATATAGTTTAAACAAATTACATTTTCAAACAGGAATGAGTAATTTTAGTTGAACATAACCTTACATTTATCCAGTATTTTAAATGAAAGCAATTTACACCGACATTCCCAAAAAAAAAAAAAAAAAACAAAAAAGAAACAAGGTTAAGTTACAAAATTTAGAGAAATAATAATATTTTTAAAATTATAATATTGTTTAATAATTTTTATATTTTTGAAATTATTTTTTATAATTTTATTTTAATATGGATGCAAGAACAAATGCTGCACTTTGCTTTGTGGCATTCCCATTAGCCATTTTAATGATGGCAATGCCCAACAACCTTGCCATCACTGAAAAAAATGGCTAAAATTCCCTCAGGCAAAGCATGGCATTTGTTACCCCCATAAATAAATCCCCAACCCCAACAAATACCAATTATGCTCAAAATTTTCGTCATCTTTTCATTTTCAATTATAGAAGAACGATAATGGCCATTCGGTTGATAGTATTGAATTGAGAAAAGTTCACGCTACAGACGAGGTACTTTGTGCATTTTGAATCACACAAAAAAAAAAAACAAACCAAATACTAAGAAAATCAAAAGCAATATTTGTTGTAAATTTTTAGTTTGTCTTTTTATGAACAAAAAAAAAAAAATTCGAACAAGTTTTTGAAGCAATTTTTTACTCGAAATTCCAAATTTTTGATGTTTTATAGTTTAGTTTTATTTATTCAAATATAATTTTTAACATTATTTTTAAATGGTCTGTTGATGTTTATCGAACGAAAATCGGAAAAGAAACGATACCTTCCCTTTTTACATAACTCGATATAACAAATACATCCATATTTTGAATATATATAGAAAAAAGGTATTTCCAATGCGAATATTCCGAATCTTAAATCCAGTGAATTTTATTGAATTGACAGATGAAATCCACTGGAATAATAATGTGAACGGTGTTAAAAATTCCAACTAAAGAATTCATTATCTTAATGTAAATCTCTCTATTCTCAATCACAATAAATTTGATTATACAAAGCATACAATAAATATATTGTGATTGGTCAATTATCAGAGTTTACCCGAGATTTTGTATGCAATACATTCAGTAAAATGTTAACTTATTATATTCTCCAATAGAATTCATAGTAGAAGATGTATGGTTGATTTATCTATCAACGCTTGGGAACATTGATATGTCAAACATTTTTAAATGTCTTTTCAAATATGAGTAGATTTTTATATGTTTTCTTATACGACGTCATTCGGAGGTTATTATTATACGCGTTTTTCAATATTTTTTACAAATTTAAATAATTTGTCATTCAACATTTTCAATTCCAAAATTGGTTTAACAGTTCATTGTCCCAGAATTGTCTACTATAGAAATACTTTAGTTTTTAGTCGATTTATAGATCACCGATTAATGGCTTAATGTACGAGGGATCTATAGATCGACTTACGTTGTTCAAGTTGACCAACACATGTTTGTTAAAATGTTCATATCTCCCACGCTTATCTAAAGAAATTGTTGAAAGTAAATTCTAAATTAAAAATGTTGAAACTAATTCTTCGTTCGATTTTCTGCAACAGACATTATGTGTTTACAAAAAAAAAGGAAATATTCCAAAAAATATATATTTACCAATATATGTTCAGTGTATATATAAATGTACAAAGTATTATTTATATTTTAATTTTTGAGATACATTTTTTATGTTTTTTAATGTGAGTTATTAAACAAAAAAATTGATGTTAGATTTTAGAGGTCAAAAATAACCTTAAAATAGTGGAGTTTTTACACAATATTTCTCAAGACCGAAATTAAAAGAAATCCCGAAACAAGTTCTGATTGCTGTAGTAACATTTAAGAAGTCAAGGCTAGAAGAGATCATAGTTTAAATCGTGACCTCGGCGTAAAAAAATACAACAGTCTTGCCACTTTTAGCTTACAACAGTGTTGTATTTTCATTTAAGCTTTGATCTGTTTTCCCCTTCAGAGTCAGACGCACAAGTGTGAAAGAGATTGATGAGTTGTTGTTGTAGCAACTCCTACTGCCGTATTCGTTCTGATTCTACTCTAACCTTGCTCTGCTTCTAACTCCAAATTAAATATTGAAGCGACCCTCATATGTTGGGTCCTTACCGATGTAGGAGTTACGTCAGTACGTTTTGGTTGGGAAGTTAAAGAGGTGCATTGCGTTTCATGCTGAACAGGATTTCTGCGCACTGATGATGGTCGACAGGTGTCATGAAAAGTTTACCACAGACTATCCCGTTGTAAGAGATCAACAAGGTTTCATTATAAGCTTCCCAAGTGCTGCCAGCAAGAGACTTGAGAACCTTTTTCCTACTTTTAATCATGCCGCAGATAGCTGCGATATGCGCAAACGATTTTGAAGAGACTACAGAATATGACCATTAATACTTTGGTGGAATTGATGGTCGGAATTAAAAAACCATTGACCTGCACATTCACATGTGATGAAAGTGTTGGTTTATTTCTTGGCTTGGGATTCTTTAACTCATTTTTGAGTCGCCGACAAAAAAACTTTAAAAGTAAAACTATGAAAAAAATAAAAAGTCTACATTAATTTCGACAGCCCTGTTGCTATCGGCAGGATATAGCGACTACATTATTTTTGCTGAAAACTTCGTTAATTACCGATAATTTTCCCAATTTTTGTTGGTAAATCAAAAAATGAGTTAGAGAATCCCACTTATGGCCGTTTCAGTTACTCGAAGTTAGAAATACGAGAAAATAAGATATAGAAAACTCACAATGTTAGATTTTTGGGAAAATTAGTGGAAATGATCTTGTCTAATAGATTAGAATAAGAACTTATTATGCAGTTTTTTTTTAATTTAAGTTTGAATTTCAGTACAAAGTCGACGTTGGGCGCCAAAAAATTAATTGTGAGACTGAAGTCCTTATCACTTATCTTTTGAATAGGAAGTACCAATCAAACAAACGAAAAAAAAACTTAATGGGGACCAAAAACATAAGTAGTACTGGAAAACAAACTAACTTTCTATAGCCTCAATGAACATAATTTAAATATTAGTTTCCAAGGGCTATTAGAGCTTAATAGTTTTTTTTTTTTTTTTTTTTAAGAATATACTTTAAGAATATTTTTTATATATTTGACAACAATTTTCAATTAATGAAATTTATTTTTGTGTTCTTTATTTAATATTTTAATTTTTATTGTCTCAAAGTATCTTGTATGTGTGTGTGAATATAACAAATTATTACTTCATGGAAAAATACCAAACAAAAAACAAAATAAATGGTTAAAAAAAAACAAATTTTTGTAAATAAATTTCAGCAGAAAATGTATTTAAATAATATTTTTACTTAATTTTATTGATAGTTTTTTTCTTTTTCATATATTATTAAAGTTTTAATTTATTTTCAATAATTTTTTCAGTGTATTTTTTTTAATAAGCATGAAAATACTTTTGTTTGTACAGCACAAAAACTATGCCAAACGTCAGAGAGAGCACTCACAATTATTTAATAAAATTTTCTTATCCACACCACCTGAAAACTATTCGTGTCCTCCTGAAAGTATGCACCATTTTAAAATCTATCAACAAAAGAAAACAAGAAATTCACTCACTCAAGAAATATTTTTTAATTGAAATATTGTAAAAAAATTACAAATATTTACAATGGAATAATTCTGTATATGTGTATATATATTCTTTTACATACATTCCATATGCTAATTGTCTGTATAATCTTGTAAATACCGTTTTTATGTACATATAAACAATTGTAAATAATATTGATGTAAATCAAACAGTTTTAAAATGACTTTGGATTATGATTTTAAATATTTTATGTTCTTTGTTTGTCTTTTCCTTAATTTGTAAACTAGATTATGACCGCAACTGTGGAAACAGTATCGGAACAATTGGATTTAGCATCTATTTTGCCACCGGATAGAGCCATAGCTAGATCCATTACGCTATCAGATGCCGATGTTGGTAAGTAGAAAATTTGATACGCTTTCTTTTAATGGATTGCCGATTAGAGATCTTTCAGTTCATTTTTATTTCACTTTTTACGTGAAAAGTTACCAATTTTTTCGAAAGCGACAAATACGCCAGAGAATCCATCTACTGCCCTTTTGGCTATTTAATTCGTTTCTCAATTGGAGAATACATAATCAGCTTGGCATCGCTACATGACAATCTAGTGACACTTTATAAAGGTAATGTCAGAGTCGCACAGGAATCTTACCGTTGTTGTTGCCTTCAATTTGCCATTAATATGTCATGCAACGATGCCAAGCTACATATGTATACCCACCTTCAAGGTGTGGGTACATAAGGAGCTTGGCATCACGGCTAGTCATTTTAATGTCAAATTAAAACGAAAATCGAAAAAACGAGTGCGGATCTGACATCCCTTTATGATATGTGAAGACATCAAGCTGCTTATGTACCCACACACCCATGGTATAATAATACAGGTAACAGTGAAATTTTATATCAAAAAAGGGTATACCTATCAAAAAATGGAATTAAATCACAAAACGTCAGATCGAGTTTGACACTAGTATTACTATAGAGTCAAATCAGCTGGGACTTGGTGTTAACTGTAATAATTATACCATGCCACACACCTTCAATGTTAGTCATTCGGAAAATTTCCTTGGGAATTATTAATTTTTTTCTTTTTATTTCATTTTACTTATTTGTCATTGAGATTATGTAATATTCCGAAGAGATTGTCTGCAAAACATTCACTTCTTTGCATGTTTTTCGTTTGGATCTGGAGAATCTGTAACTGGTTTATTTTGTAGCGTGTCTCAAATCTGAAACGAAAAAAAATCACATAATCTTTTCTTCTTATTTCAGGAAGTGCCAATGTTAGCGTTACCAAGGCCTCAGTTTTGGGTGGTGATAATGGTAACGGCAGTACCGGCGGAGCTGTTGGCCTAGAAAATGGAAGTCTATCCGATGAAGACGAGGAAGATGATGACGATGAGAATTTCTGGCATACTTCTGTGGGTAAATTTAAATTTACATTGGATACGCTGCCACAAACCTTGCAGTATATTCATCAATTGTTGACGGTAAGGAAAAGGAGATTTACAAAGATTTGTGAAATGGTATTATTATGAGTCCCCGCCCTGCCCTTTTGTGCTATGCAATTTCCGAAATGCGTGTTGATGATCATATCGGACTGTATGAATCACTTTTGCTGCGTCCTTGCCTGTCTTCAGTAGTGGGACACCACTGTCCATTTTCCAGGCACCGGCAACTATAAGGGTGACTTTCTACAAGTTGAGGAGTTTGAAATGAAATTCAACTCTTGGTTCACACAGTTGCTTAAAATTAATATTGAGATTGCGTCAGGATCAAGCGACTGGGATGACATTGAGCTATTGATGACTTTTGACATCGTTTCTGTTGATGGTGCCTCCTTAGCTGGGAGAGATTATATGCGACCTGAAATTCTTGTCTTGGCCCTGTCACTCTCGGGATGCTCTACAAACTATCGGTCAGAATAACACGCGCACCTCTTGAGACAGATGTCCGATCATTCGGTGGTTCAAAGACAATCTCTGATACGTGCTGCTATACAAAACAATGCAATTCTGGGAAGAGCAGCGCAAATTCCTCTTTCCTGAGTAGTAAGATTTCCAAAGAACTGAACTGAGCTTATTTTTTATTGTAGCAGTTGTTTACCAATGCCCTATCCCATTGTCCGGTAGAGTTTTACAGGGATGAGTTTTAGAACGATAATGGCACTCAAAACAATTGTACTAAAACTCGTCAAAAAGTAGGTTTACAGTATTGAAGGGTTTGATAGATCTAGTGGGTTAAAATTGTATGTTTATATAATCTAAGGAGGATATAAATGACGCTCAGCTGATATATATGTTACCGAATGGATTGGATTTATGTGCCGCTCGAACTGCACATTCAGATGTTCTCATCTCCGCAGATCATGTGGTAAAGATGTGGCCGTTGATTTAGTGGCAGCTATTTTTATATACCTAGCATGGAAGGTGGATAGGTGTTCAGCCTAACACAAATATCATCGAGGCTATGTTACCGCATAGGTTACGATCTCAGTCCCTTCTGCAGGGCGCGAAATTCCGCAAAGGCAGCGCTTAAACAGTAACGGACATATCACCCCACCTTGTGAAAATCCCAGTTTCAATCTACGGGGTTTGGATTATCTTACTCCGGAATAATACTCGGTCGGTTCTAAATATCCCCCAACAGCGTGGTATGATTGACAGTATCAAAGGCTATTCTATGACACATACTTTTCTGATTAAGTCTTCAACTGATATGTGTTGATATGACGTGCAATGATGTTCCTGTGTTGTTAAAACCGTGATTATGTTTGGCAATTAGATAACTACACTTGATGGTGGAAAGAGTTGTGGACCCAAGAGTCTTTGCCACTGGTGAAAAAGCCAAATTGGCCTGTATTACATTCTGGCATTCTTACCTGGCTTTAGTAGCAATACTATCCTGTGCATTTTCCAAGCTTCGGGAACGATGAGGGTAGTTAACGACATTTTCGAGGACTTTGATGAGATCGTAGATTCGTGGTATATCAAGCTGTTTCAACATTACCTTTAATGTTCTGTCCGGGACCAACGCTTTAGATGACTTAACATTTCGGATGACATTACTACATCACCCATCGTATACGATGATGGGACCTATTCTGCGGGAAGAGATCTTATACGCTCCTCTTTGGATCAGTCATTGTTACGTCGTTTAACGTAGCTGACTTCCTATCATTGTTTTACCCAGGGTTCGGGAGTGACCACTTTTACGCTTGAGGTACTGTACCAAACTTTGGAACTCCTCTGTCAGTTCGCTGACTATAGGATCAGTAGGATTGGATCGACGGAGCTCATTCCCGCTGCTTCTGCTGGAAATTTTGATATCATCTCGAGTATTTTACCAGCAATTTATAGCGAGTGGCTGCAACTTTGACGATATCACATAAAATCCTTTCTGCTACCGGAACTTCGGAAATTCTCTGAAGCGAAGTTTGGTGAACTCTCTTTGCTCTGGCCATTAAGCTTTCCCAAGGTTAAGGAAAGCGCGGCGTTCAGAGGTTATAAATTCGGGCGATTTGCTTATGGAGACGATTATCGGGGGATGGTCTGTGCCAAGAGAAATTATGAGTTGCGAAATCAAGTCATTTATCAGACCGGGTGACACTGTTGTTTAATTTGGCGAACTGTGACACTCTCCTCTTATTCGAGGACATCCTCGTTTACCATCCAGAAAGTGTTGCAATTAACCTGCTCTGAGAATGCTGATCGTCTCTGGTCATTAACTATGACGGAATGCCACAACTCGCCACAGGGGGTTATAGTCCTCCTATTGTTTGACAAATAAGAGCTATTAACCGGCGGGATATACACATTAAACACATTTACCTTGGCAGTTCCACACTTGGGGTAGCCCCCATATATTCCATGCTAATGGGAGTTAATACGGACTACGATACCGGATTGACCCGAAACAGCAACATGCTTGTTTCGACGGATTCGTGTTTATCTATGTTTTGCTTTGGTAGCACCATATCCCGGAATGTCTGCTCCGGATTTTCGCATGCCTGCTCCAACATATTAGCATGATCAAAATTAAATTTTAGAATTTTCTTGTTCGAATAAGAATTTTTTAATGATCTCCAAAGGCACTCTGAAGTTCTAATGACGTTGGCCTCCTGTACGAATATTGCACTAGGTATAAATAACTTACCTCCTGATTCTTAACATTTTTATAATCGTATATCATTGCTGCCAACTTAACAGCCTGCTGGCGCCCAATATAAATTACGGGTATTTAATGATTTAAAAACGGTAATCACATATCTGAACGAATTATAAAAAACTAGCTTCGTACAAAGAGTGAAACTCACTCGAAATCGAGCAAACTCAATGTCGCTCGAATAGGAGGGAACATGTTTTGTCGTTTCGAGTGGGAACTACATTTGTTCGAAATCGAGCTGATTCTACTCTTGTAGAGCACTCTTTTAGTTTTTGTCATACCGTTATTGTATTTCTTCCCTATCAGCAATATTTTGATTCGACTTTTTTTTATTTTTCATACCTGATTGTTAAGTTTGCTGCTGCCTTTATTGAAAGAGCGTCTCATTTCGTTTCATATAAATCTTAAGATCAATTTGATATTCCGTAGTCATTACAGTATTTGGGTTTGTCAACAGGCATGCCTATCAAATTAATTCTACTTTATATTACAGGAAATACCGACCATCAAGAAACCGGAAATTCTTTACTATGTTCTGCAATGCCTGAATGTTATGGCCCTGCATGGTGACGCCCTGACAAAGGCGGCCCGGGAACATCGTGGATTTTTCATATGGTGTCAGGAAAATTTACTGATTAAAAAGTGAGTTCAAGATCTTAAATTTTTTTCTTCTTTATTTTAATACTCATTATTCCGCTCTCTTTCTTCCAGCCTCTGGGAACTCTGCAATGCCGAACACTCGCACATCTGTCAAGTTGGAGTTCCGCTGCTTTTGCACTGCATTACATTACCCCTGGGTTCGGATGTATTCTGGCGTGTGGTCCAAGAGGCCTTCCACGACACCGATTGGCGTGTACGATTCACAGCAGTTGAACGAGTCACTGTAATTACACGTTTTATGGATTCCACACCGCTGCGCACTGAAGTCGGCCTGCAAACGGCACTGGCTACGGCATTTTGTCATTTGATTGCCAGCATGGATGACATTAATGTCTATGTAGCCCAGAGGGCTACACTGTACATTGGAACCATACATGATACGGCAATTCGGTCACTCCTCTTCTGCTTGGAATCACAATTCGATTTGTTCATTGTTGACCGTCCCGTGGTATTACAGTCAGTTTATCAGCTGCATAACTCTTTGTCGGATCGTAAAGTATTGACATGGGAATTCTTTTTGAATCGTTTCGATACGTTGTTTGTGGAGGCGCAGATAACGCTGGAGAAATGTGGAGATATTTCGTATTTGAGGGATTTACGTAACTCCGAGAATGGCAGTGAGGCATTGTCATCGAAGATACTGAAGGCCCGGGAGGCCTTGAGTCAAAATGATTCGGCGACAGTGGGTATGGCCAAGACTCTGAGTGCCTCGTTTGGCACAAAATGGCCCTACAAGAGAACCATGTCAGCACCGGCGAGTATGATACCCAGACAGGATTCAAAATTTGGTAAGTTGTGAAAAACACTGTAAGGGGAAGTGGAACTTTTTAATAATCTCCACCCACATTTTGCAGTACCCGACAAAGAGAAAATCTACAGTCGCCAAATCTCGGCCCCCATATTAAAACGGAAAACATCACGCTTTGGTTTGGGTCAGTTTTTAGGCTCTAGTAGTGGAACTAGCCAAACTTGTCCTAGTTATAGTTATCCAACAGCTAGCAATACATTAACACATCGTTCGGCTTACAGTGCTCATATTACCACTCACTCTGTAACGTCGTCACACTCACATTCACAACAACCCGGTTCTGGTCCCAATGCTCCCACCAATTCCTCCTCTAATGTTCCATGTCCCATACATAATCCCACCACAGCACCTGGACCCTCGGGTTCCACGCAACATTTTGTCTTTTCCTCATCCAGTTCATCCGCCCATCCCCCAAATAGTAGTAGCATTGCACAAATAGCAACAACATCAACAACTTTAACCTCGACTCATAGTCAAAGTCATCAGTATTTAGTGCATTGTGTAGCGCCTCCTAGTCAAACGCTAATTCATAGTCCAATGCCAACGTTACAAGAAGCTGATCACCACAAGCAACAACATACAAAATCCCAACCCTCGACGCAGTCCCACCAATACCCATATCCCATGCACTCCTATCACTCCCATTTCCAGAAACATCCGTCGGCACCGAATCTCTTGCCACCACCACCCCAATCCCTACCAGCAGCACCGGCACCCAGTCCCACTCCTTCAGCTTCAGCTATGCCAATGAGTTGTACTTGTGATGTCGGTTGCACGACCAGTGCTAATGTTCAACCGGCACCTCAAGGTAGGTTGTAGATGCATGTAATTTTCTTGTCAAAATGTCTGTCTTGTTCTCTCCGTCTCTCTATCTCTCTCTCTCTCTGTACTTTCGCTCTCTTATAAGTCTTGATGTGAACGAACGTCGTACCACAACTGATATTGCTAATACTGTCCTTCGCTACATAAGCATAAATATGATAATTGTCGTAACGGTGTCTCTCTCTATCTCTCTTTCACAAACACGCACACACCAAAACACTGCTCTCTATCTTTATGAAACAAACCATAAACATACCGTTATTTATTGTTCTCTAACATAGTTTTTAAACTAATTTATTATTTTTTATTTCTATTTTTTTAACCTCAATGTACATGAATATGAAAAAAACAAACAAACTACGAACTTGATTCCATACAACGAACGCCTTGTATGTATATTCTCTCTCTCTCTCTCTATCTCGCTCTGTGGTCTGTTCTTTGTACAAAAAACCCGTACCCAAAAAAAAAACAATATGTAAATATGTAAACAATTTTTTTAAATATATACATTTTTTTTAATTTTTCTTAAAAATAGATTTATGGCTAAATTTTCACAGGCCCAGCCATTGTATGGACTTTCCAGGCACATGTAATGTTAACGCTTTTTTATTAAATACTCAATAACTTACCCCTCCTCTCCTAAGATTGCATCTTATTTTACCTAAATTCTATGGTGTGCAGGAAGAGTATTTTCCCCACAAAAAAAATATATTGTCTAGTCTCGCTCAATGATGAGTAACTTCTTGCCAAAGAAACGCTTGGGAGCATGTTTTGTTGTCAGACACACACACACCTCCTTATCCTGCAAATCCTGATTCTGGCTGCCTATGACACAATCTATGTTAGAAAGGTCTCTCCCCTATGAATATTGCATGAAATATAGAGAGCTTACTACCTTATCCATAAGCTTTTTACAAGCGTATATCATTGATACCGGCTTCACAGCTGATGGCGTCCAATTATTCTACTGGAATTTAATCACATATCTGCATATACTTACCGTCGCATAACTGCCTGATGGCGCCCAATATAAACTACGTGAATTTAAGTATTTAGAAATAGCAATCACATATCTGTATATCATTGCAGCCTCATAATTGTCAGATGGCGCCCAACATAAATTACAGGAGTTTTAAGAGTTTAAAAAGTTACAGAAAAATCTTCACTTTGGAAACACCCCATCTAATGGTTGTTACAGGAAAGAAAATAAACTCTCCATTTATGTACCAATCGAAAAAGGAGAAAGTGAGTTTGCCAGACATTTGCATCGTGTTATCAAGTCTGATAAATAATCTTAGCCATCTTGCCATATTCGTCTCCATCAACAGAATGGCCGATTTCGTAAACCCGAATTTTCTTTAACGTGGGGAACCTTAATCCAGAGTGTTCCCCAGCCGTCACCTCAGGGAAATGCAAAATCTCCCTTGTCCCTGAAGTCGACAAATATGAATGATTGTGATAAGTATCGGTGGTCCAGCTATACTGACTCCACAGCTGGAGAACCTGAGTTAAAGGGGGAAGTGCCAAGTTCTCTGACATACCTCTCGTGTCATCAGGTCTAATGAATCACCTTAGCATGTTGTCATAATCGCCCCCATCGACAGAATATCCGATTTTGTCACCCTTATCCACGTAATTTTTTAAAAATGTAGAACCCGATATCCCTGACTTCCGAACCACCACTTCAGAATACTGCAAATCTCTTCAGAACCCGGATAATCGAATGATTGTGATGAGTCTCGGCGGTCCAGCCCTATTGATCAGTCAGGGAACCGGAGGTTAATGGAACCCAAAGCACTAAAGTGACTAGAGTATCTCACGTATGACAATTTGTTAACCCAAAGAGGACGCGACAATAATGAGAGGCAAAAACGAAGACTACAACGTTGTATTATATTTCTATCCATAAATATTGACTGTAACATTGGGGTCTCTTGTAGGTTTTACCCCTCGGTTACTTTATGGGTAACAGAACCCGGTTGAGAATGCAAACCCATATAGAGCTGAAGTATGAGTATAAACCACAACCACTGCGTTGCATCAATAACTGAGACTTCTCATAGGCAGGCAGGTTCAACAGATCTAGAGGCTCCTACGGCCTCGGAATAGTTTTCGTAGTTAAAACTACTACCTGTTGTTTTTCCATGCAAAACAGTACTGGCCACCAAAATTAAGAGAAGGTTTAAGGCACGAATAGGACGTGAATATAAAACTTCCCAAGGCTAGAACGCACAGGATTAGTGAAGAAAACACGACTAACCTCCCAATGGCCCTCTACATTGGAGATACCTATGGAATCTAAATTCCAAAATCATCCTCTACTGGTGCCCCGCACCTACATGCTTCTGTGTCAGAGATGCCCCTTCTATACAAAAAGGCATTAAAAGAACTATGACCTGTCAAAAAGTACCCCAAGTGAAGGCCACAACCAAAATCAGAGTTCGTCTGAGCATAAGTAACATCAGGGTAAACCTAAAAGTTACTCTACCATTCTCACTTTCGCTCCATCCAGATTGCTATATAGATGAACGAATTTCTTGCTGCCGCGATTTGCGATTCTGGACACTAATTCTCTCCAGGCCGTCTGCTGCCCAGTCAGAAGGCACAATAGGTAAACCCCTCTTGGCCAAGAAAGCAATACCTGCATTGCCTCAGTAGAAACTGTGCGGCATACAGGTAAACCAGACAACATCATAATTCGTTGGCATGAAAGTATCTTGCAAAACACACACGACGAACTTGACCCACAGTACTGCACATTTTCTACTTTTAGCGATCTAGGTGGCTAATGAAGCTCATCCTCTCGCCCATTGTGATGCCCAAATATTTCAACTCGGCCGTATACTTACGACCTTGACCATTTAACACAACACTGGGATGTCGATTACGTGACAAGCTGCCCTTGAGCAATACATTCAACTCCCTGGCCACATCTTCCCCAACAAACCACTTAAAAACCGACAATCTCCATCAATTGTGAGCCAGAATGTTCCAACTCATAACGAAACCTAGCTTCAACTAACAAGAGAGATCACCTGCGTACGCACATACTTCACAGGTTGAACTGAGTTGCCACAGTAACGGATCTATCATCAAGTTCCAAACAGAAAGATCCATGAGGGGAAACCTTAACGGCAGTAGATGTCACAGTGTTCTGGGTACAAACAGAGCACACCAAACTGTCATAAAAATTGCTTTACCATAGTTTTATTTCTCGACAACCAATTTTGTGCAGACGAGCAATCCCACGCTTCCACCACAAATGATCAAAAGCATCCTTAAAATCTATAACAGTAGCCAAAAGGTATATACTTGCAGATCCCTCGACGCATTGTTTGACATACAAGCAAGCGTCTTCAATACTGCGACTAAGTTTGAAACCAAATGGAAATCGAATTCTTTTCCAGCCAACCTTTTCTGCAATTCCTGCACTACAATACCGTATCCAGTACTGGTGGAAGACTGATGCCTCGATAAGATCTATGATTACTCCTAGCATTATCGTTATAATTCAGAAAGACAAAGAACCTTACAGCCTCTCCCAAGACTTATGAAGAACGCCTAAGCGAACACATTTTGACAGTAAAGTCTCCAAGTAGTCCGGAATGGCCTTACAGTTGCTTTTACACATTTCTAGGGTCAACCCGTCCAATCCTGGCGACCTCCTGCAGCAAACGAGAGACAGCCTGTTAGAACAGGCGTTCAGTTCGCGAATATTATACCCTATTTCAATTGTATGTTTGGGCGCCAAATGTACGTGGAATTCTGGACTAAGTCCCGTAAAAAAAGTAGGGAGTTTTCTAAGGTAGGGTATTAACTCTTGAGCTCAAGCTCTAAACAGAATTGATATAATAGCGAGTTTACATACACATTTTTATCCGTTTATCAGGATATATTCAATCAAAATCTTCATACTAAAGGACTCCAAAATTGTATTTGCCCATGCTAAAACTTTGGAAGATTCATTATTTTCTCTGAAGACGATCACCATTGTGACTTGCAACATAAATTTTCCTCATTCGATTTTTCGTTGACAAATCAAATAACACAAATGTAAACATGTTATTAGTTACGATAGCAACTATTTTTTCTGGAAGATTTGTTCTGCCACTGACTTCAAGTTCCGACCATTGGAAAAGTAAAAATCTCGTTGGTTGTCCACTCGATAATTTCTATATCAATATTGAATTTTATGACTCAGGTTCGAAAAAAATGTTAATGGGTTTTAAATCGAATAGATTTCTCAATATCAATTTAGCTCTATGGCATGCCAAGCGTCTTTTCCCCATATTTAAAAAATATCTTGCCAACTTAAAGTATGTGCAAATCATCCAGTGCCCCCAAAATCCAATATAAATATGGCTTTTTTATACAAGTTTTTAATTTTTCTCAGCTTATTTTGATACTAACCACCTGCCAAGAAAATGATTTTGAATTTTGCTCTTAGAGAATGAAGTCAAAGCCGTTTTTTTTTTAATTTTTTTGTTTAACTTTTATTTTAAAATATGACCCCCGCAAAACTCTGGTATGTATTCCCCAAAATAAATGATTTCCAATGTTTTTTTCGAAAAAAATTAGAGCTTGACTAAATGCTTATTACAACATTTATAATTTTCAAATAAAAAAAAAAAAAAAAAAACAACCTTAAAAAAGCCTAACTAAATGTAAATCTATATTTTCCTATCTAGATGTAGTGTAAGTGTAAAATGTAAAATAAAATCAAAACTTTAAATCCTAAACTAAAAAAGAAATGGAAATGAAGTTTTTCCCCATGGAGGTGATAACCTCCAATGGGAAAACCGGCATATCCCAAACACCCACCTTGCTGAAGGAATTCTTCGAAAACTGTTTTTTATTTATATTTGTTTTCTTCTTTTTTTCCATATGTTTATATAATTTCTTTTCCATTTAGATGGCCATATCCATTCGCTGAGCGGCATGAATGATGATGCCTTGGTTGGTCTCTTAAGTCGTATCACCGAGCTGGAGGAATCGGATCGTGAAACAATCCATTTATTGGTATTTCTATTGATGCAATTTATGTCAAGACCCGATCAGGCCTATCCCTCGGAAGATAAACCCATCTCCAAGACCCAAGGCATTGTTTTGAAACATTTATTCTTGCTATTGGGTCACAATCAAATTGACAAGACATTCCATACATCGCCGGAAAGTTTGAGGTAATTTTTTTTATCATGAACTTTTTGATAGGCCCAAAAAGAGATTTTTTACAAAATTTGGGTTCAATCTAACCCGTTTAGAAGCAGTTTTATTCTCCGACGTGAGTTGCAAAATAAAATGGACTAGGAGTCTTGCAATACTTTAGTTAAAAAAAATCAAAAACTACTTTACATTTCATTCACAGTCCACACACTACTTTGCAAATAGCTCTTTACGTTTCGGCTTCACAGCTGATGGCGCCCAATATATTCTACTGGAATTTAATCACATATCTGCATATAATTACCGTCGCATTACTGCCTGATGGCGCCCAATATAAACAACGTGAATTTAAGTGAACGTGAATTTAATAATCACATATCTGTATATCATTGGCGCTTCGTAAATGCCAGATGGCGCCCAATCTAAATTACGGTAATTTTAAGGATTTAAAAACGGTTACAGAGATATCTTCACTTTGGAAACACCCCATCTGTTGGTTGTTACAGGAAAGAAAATAAACTCTCATTTATGTACCATTCGAAAAAGGAGAAAGTGGCGAGTTTTCCAGACATTTCCGTTTCGTATCACACAACTTTACTTCACCTCTTTACTAAACGACTTTAATAAGTCATGAATTGACTGTCTGACTTCCCACTCACTCGTATTTATAGTTCCTCGAGGATCTCAATACGGGATATTCTACAATATTCCAACCATGTCCATTCTTTCAAGGAGCATACAAATATATACAAACAAAGCCATGCATGTAAACAACAAAGACAAAATTAATTATAATTACGAGTGAGTACGAGAATGATTAATGAAGTAACATTATGAACTGCTGGTCGAATATCCAAAATAATACACAAACACATGCATGTAAACAACAAAGGCAAAAGTAATTATAATTACGAGTGTGTAAAATATAACCATTAATGAAGTCACATTGTGAACGATCGAATATCCGAAATAAGACCAAATTTTCCTAGAGAGGCAGCGGGACCAGCAAATGCAATATATTGATGATCTCCTACTGATCCCAGGATCAGTGAAATGACAATGGAATTCAACTGGTTGGTTCAAGAGCATAGGAGAAAAAAGTGGCTGGACCATCTGAAGTGTTCTATCATTGGAAACGCTTACTCATATAGCTGTGGGTAACAGTTAAATCGCTCTGAAACCTTGAAACGACGCAACGGCGACTGATCCGAAGAGATGCGCTGAATATTTTAACAGACAATCGTGCACCCCAAGAGCGATAGGGCAAAGCGAGGAATATTACATCGTATCTGATCTCTTTCCGCCGAGGAGATCCCACCACAGTGTATGACTGGTAATGTTGCAAATGTCATCCGAAACGCTAAGTCGTCCAAAGCGTTGGACCCAGACGGAATTTCCCGCTGTTTCTAGCCACCTGCATCGTTCCCGAGGCCTGGAAAAAGGGCCAGGAGGTCCCGCTGCAGAAGCCAGGTAATGACAACAAAGGCAAATCGTACAGGCCAATTTCGCTTTAGTCACCAGTAGCAAAGACTCTTGATCCATCCAGTTGCCAACTATTAACACGAACTTCGTCCAAAACACAACACCATTGCACGCCATACCCACCCATATCAGCCGAGGATTAAACCAAAACAAGCCGTGTCATAGAACAGTGTTGGTGGTCCTATCAGAGGCAATTGATATAGTCAACCACGCTACTTTTTTGAGGATATAGGGAGAACTACCCTCCGGCCAAGTTTGAGCCGTTGGATAATAAACTACATGTGTGAACGCCAGACGTAGGTAGAATTCCGGAACAAGAATTCTCAAAAAAGACTGAATCAGAGAGTTCTCTAAATTTGGGTGATATCTCCGGAACTGTTTAATTTCTACCTTTCCGGAATTCCTCGCCCTCCAGACGGCATAGAGTGCAACAGATAGTTCCTCAAATTGGGGTGATATCCTCGGTACGGTTTAACCTCTAACTTCCCGAAATTCCTCGCCCTCCAGACGGCATAGAGATCGTAACGTATGCGGATGATTGTACGATCATAGGATCGGGCACGGTGTTGATGACATATGCGTATCATCTAGAGGATCTTGCCATCTACTTCCCCGCGAGGAATATGAAAATATTCGCCACTAAATCAAAGTCCACCTGGTCTGCGGAGATGAAAACACAGCTGAATCTGCAGGTTGAGGGAAAGATTATACCGACCACGAACTAGATCCTTGGGGTCACATTCGACAGCAGGTTGAAGCCATCGCCCAAGCCACAGCTATCTGCGACAAAATGAAAAGCAGGAACAAGATCCTAAAGGCGCTAGGCGGTAAGACTTGGAATGGGGACATGACCTCTTATAACGCGATAGGTTGGTCTGTGGTCAAGTATGCAGCGACAATGTTGTCTGCGAATATAAGTGCTAGGCAGAAGCATCCAGCAAGAATGCTGTCCTCGAAAGTCATTCCCGTACGTCAACATAACCATACGGAGCAGGGTGTCCCCAACCCAGGTGTGCAGAAAGGACATACATGATCGAGAGAGGGAGGGCCTCTAGATCAAGAAGCTATCTGACAGGTCTGAGTGGCATTCACACCGATGCAGTCACAGATGCCATCAATGATTACAGACGCCTTTCATCGTCCTAGGAGCCCAACTCCCTCCATCGTAGCTGAAGAAGTTCGGTTGCCTAGACCAACCAGGGTAGTTTTGGCGCAATTGCGTGCAGTCCTCTCAATTCGTATTGAGCACGAATTGACAAAGATGTGTGAAACGTCTGGCCGGTGCGTGATACGGGCCCGCATAATATGCTACACCTATTTAATTGCCCTGCCAAACCATCCCCACTCACTCCAGAAAATCTCTGGTTACATCTCGAAAAGCAAACGAATTTATGAAGCTGGAGTTGGAACCGGATTAACAGAATTCGAAAAAAAATGTAATGCTGTTACAACAACAACATTGTGAACTATAAAGATAGGACTGATACAAACTATTCTTTAAAAACTTAACGAGTGACGACCTGATGGTCCTTGAAAAATATTCTTTGAAAAATCGCGGACGGCGTTAAAACTTAAAAATATTAATTTTAAATCCACGACTAATTTTCTGATGCCTGCTGGTCCTTAAGAATACTCCTCAAAAAATCCACGATTTATGGTTTGCTGATCCTTGAAAAATATTCTTTTAAAATCCACGATTGATGGTCCACGAGGGTAATTTTTAAAAATCCACGATGATTTCTGTTGGTCCTTGAGAATACTCCTGCTGCTTTAAAAATATTCTTTAAAAATCCAGCATTGATGGTGTGCTGGTCCTTCAAAAATATTCTCTAAAATTCTGCTGGTCCTTAAAAATATCCTTTAAAAACCACGATTGATGATCTTCTGGTCCTTGAAAAAAAAATCTTTAAAAATCCACGATTTATGCTTTAATATTCCACGATATATAGCCTGATCGCCATTGAAAAAATATTCTTTAAAAATTCATGATTGATGGTCTACTGGTCCTTAATATATTCTTTTTTTTTTTTTTTTTTTTTTTGAAAAATCCATGATGGTCGTTGAAAAATATTTTTTAAAAATCTACATTTAATGGTCCGATGGTCCGATTATTGATCTGTTGATCCTTGAAAAATATTCTTGAAAAATTCATGATTGATAGCCTGATGGCCACCGAAAAATACTCTTTAAAAATCCACGGTTAATGGTCCATGAGAATATTCTTTAAAAATTCACGATTGATGATCTGTTGTTCTTTGAAAATGTTCTTTAGAAATCCACGAATTATCGTCTATTGATGGTCTGATGGTCCTTGAAAAAAATATCCTTCAAAATCCACGGATGATGGCCTTATTTAATTCATTTGCTATAAAATATATTTTCTCTCTTTCCAGAGCCTCTGCCGTCTTCAATGCCTTCATGGCCAATTTGCCACAGGTTCTGGATCAAAATCACTTGATCGGTGGCCTAATTCTGCCCTCTGTCATGCAAGTTATACTCTATGCCCCCAACCCGAATAGCAATGCCGCCGACTCGTATCAAAATCTTGTCTTCAACTATTCCCTCTGGTATTTGGAACAATATCCACGACGCAATTGGATGTTTACTATGCTTGTCGTGCTCTACAAGTATTCTTATACCCAACCTCCGCAAAGTGGTTATGTAAACTCGGCCATTCGGATTATAATGAATAGTTTACGTAATCATTTTCATCAGTGTCGTCGTATACCGACGACTACGATTTTGGATATACAAGGTACTTCTAGATCACGAGATGTTAGTCAACCGTCATTGGGCACTGACCCGGATGATAAGGAACAAAGTCCACCGGCCAGTCCGATGTTTCCCTCGGAGGGTACGAGTGGGGCCTCGAAGAGTAAGGGACAAAATGTGGCATTTACACCGAAATTGCAGCATGCCTTCCGGAAGTATAATGACTCCAGTTTGGATGCCGATGAAACGGAGTCGGAATTGGTTGCCATACCGGAGAGTGATTTGTCGGATAGTACTCTGCATGGCAGTAGTGCTCCGGTAAGTTTTAAGGAAATTCTCCATCTATATGAGATTTAATTACATCTTTTTGTTTGCCTTTGCCAGGGCTCCTTTGATGATACCATTCACTTCGAGGAAATCACACCCTCAAAACTGGAAGCTTTGCGTAATCGTCGCACCGCCGAGGATAATCTGAAAAATCAAAAAACCATGATTACCACCAAGACCGGCGACACTTATACCACAAAAATTAAAACCACAGCGGCTGAGACAGTTTCCACCACCGTTGTGGCCACCCACTCTCGTCACAGCCTCCAGGAAGGGGTGCGCATGATTGTTACTCCTTTAGTGGGCACAGAACCCTCCGAAACGGCAATTATTAGTCCGCCTGTAGATGTCCACAGAGCCGTCACGGTACGCAACAAATCCCAGCCATCGGACATGGCAACTTCATCCACTTCGAAAATGTTTGCAGCAATTGCCACCAATCATTTGAAGGCTTTGGGGGCTCTACAAGATTTGCCGGCCAAAATCACGGACACCAAATCCCAGTCATCGGCAAGTGGTTCCCGATCAGGCAATGGGGCCAGCTCTGGAGAAAGTTCAGACAAAAAATCAAGCACTAAGTCTTCATTGACAGTGGAACAGCCGCCCATTCAAGGCGCAGCATCCAAAAAACCCATGGGCCGCCACAAGACCATAATTGAGTGCAGTGCCGGTACCTCGTCCTCCTCGAATGGCAATGATGAGGTCTCACGTTTAAGTGCCAATTACAAAAAAGCCACCACCTCCAAAACACTGAAAAGCAAATCTGAAAAGGCCTATGGCTCGCCAGATTCTCCATTGTCCAAAATGAGCGTCATGCCAAATCCGGTGGATGAATTGGAGCAAAATAATTTGCCACCACCTAAAAATATTGCAGCACTGGAAATTCCCACTCCAGAACGTTTGCTGCCAATTGGTACCCAAGAATCGGTGGCCGCCATAGCGGAACGCATGCGTGAGGGCCTGAATTTACCCGATATCAGTCATCTGAAGCAAGATAGTTTAGATGTTTCGGAGAGTACCAAAGGTGATGTTACACCCAGTAGCCGTACCAATTCTCCCAGGCGTTTAATAAAACAGGTGGCTTTGGAAGAGCCAAGTACAACCCAACATGGTGCCACCACACCTCTACCCAAAGAAGATGGCGGACCCGATTTACATACATCCATTTTAAAAGCAGTTCAGGATGGTAAGTCGAATGGTGGCGCTGGTGGTGGAGGAGCAGCAACAGGCGCAGCTGGAACTGGTAATGGCAATGGTTCAGCTAACATTCCCACCGCTACAGCCACTCGCTCGGACAGCTCTAAGAAGCCGCGTCAAAAAATGACACCATTTGCTGTTGACATTAATGCAATGCCGGATATACGTTCACGTTATGCCGGATCATGGCCACCGCCGCCATATCAGCCACCTGAGGATCCAGACGACGATTTGGACGAGGCCCAGGAAAGCAGTACACAGGCACCGCATATTACACAACCTAATCGAGTGGTGAGTGTGAGATTTTTTAAACCATTGTTTTAATGGAAGAGAAGTAATTCTTTAATACTTGTCGAAGTTGGGTTTAGAATCCATGTTTCTAAACGTCTCAGCATGGGCTCAAGCTGCCTAGTCTGAGTTATCGGACGAAAGACCGGGATTTTTACTATAAAGTATGGTCAGAATATCCATCGGATTCAAAAAAGATCCGGGCACAAGGTCTCCTTGTCCGCACCCCAAGTTCTGTCGACTAGCGCCTTGAGAATTTTATTAATACCTTTTAATTTATCGCAGATATGTGGCTTGTGCCGACGACTTGAACATGTTGTCGTATATCAGCTCCGCAGATCATACGATAGATTGTAGCACATATTTTTATATTCCTCGTGTGAAAGAAGGCAACAAGCACTGTGTAATAGGTGTTCGGCCTTACACATATGTCATTAATGCCGTCTGGGGACCAGAATTCCGGAAAGGTAGAGGCTCGAAAATATCACCCCAGTTCGGGAATTGTTTCCTCTTCGGTGTTTAGACTTATTTTTCCGGAATCCCATATACATTTCAAAATGACCGGAGGGTAGTGTTCTCGACACCCTCAAACAGCGTGGCGTGGTTGACTGTATTAAATGCCTTTGATATGTCAAGGCATTTCAGATAACATTTGCAACACAACCCCTCGTAAACTGTGGTGGTGCCTCCTCGGCGGGAAGATGTCCGATACGACGTAATACTCTTCGCCCTATCACACTCGGGTACTCAGCAAATTGGCGATTAAAATATCCCGCACACCTTTTCGGGTCATTCACCTTTTTGTGGCTCTAACTGACTGAGGTCTTATCATCCTTTTTCCCAGGCTTTCGGAGCGTTTTATCAGTTCCCCACAGCTTATTCATATGAGTCACAATATTGCAACACTTCAGATGGTCTACCCGCTTTTTTCCTTTTGCGCTACCAAGCTGTACCAATCGGTTGACTTCCACTTTCAATTCACTAACTCTGAGATCAGTAGCATTGGAACGACATTTGTTCATTTGCTACACTACTGCCCCTGCATCGGGTATTCGAATGACTCGAAAATCCTATCTGCTACCGGAACATCAGGAAGGTTGGGTAGTTCCAACCGAAGGATGCCGAACTCTCTGAATTCTGGCTATTAAGATTTCTCTTGCTTAAGGAAAATGGAGATTATTATCGGGAGATGGTCTGACCCAAGAGAAATGACGAGGTGCCATGTCACGTCATTTAACAAACAAGATAACTCATTCGGGTGGGGTGCTTCCTCATTTTACGTGCAGAATGTGGAGCAACTAATCTGATCTGCCTGGGACGTAAACCAAAATTAGCTACCAACAGCGGATTATGTCTGAAAAGCTGTTGGGCAACCACTCCAAAGATCTACTTCTTTAATTTCACAGAAGATGACCCATACCGCTATTGAATATTAATTAGGGGGTAGTCGAAGTCAACCCGCTCAATCGTGTTGGATTGACGGTTAAACCTATATCGGCATGAGACAGATGCCATCAATTCCACACGTCAGGCTTTATTTTAGTGGGCTATGAAGAGGTACCTTCGATCGTCTTAAATGACCCCTTTCTTGTCGTCCAAAAAAATCCATTTTAAGTTGACTTCTAAAATTTGATTTCCAATCGTCTACAAAGACCAATTTTCCCTATATATATTTCTTTTATAGTCCTTTCCCTCTCCACCCCCCCAAATAGTACTTTTCCTTTGCTCCAAAAACTTCAGTTATCTCTTTTTTGATCGCCTATAAATAGTCCTTAAACTCAGCCATAGTCACCTTTTGAAATCCGTCCCTATTTCAGTCGCCTATAATGCCTTATTTTCAGTGGTTTATGGCTCTGCTTTATCCTTCTAAATATTATACTTGCTGAACTTCTACAAAGTAGCATTCAATTTCAATTTTTTTTAATTTAATTTTTTTACCAATATTTATATTTACAGAGCAGCAGGCGTGTTGGAGATTATACCGTGTGTGATCGCTGTTCTGAATGTGGTGCCTTACTAGAGGAATATACGGACGAGGAAATCGGTCTGCTCATTGTTATACTGGGTACATTTATACATCGTGAACCGGCCATGGCAGCACCATTCTTGCCGGAAATTTTAACCATAGCTTCCAAGTAAGTTCCATACAAAGTGACATAAAGAAGGGACCCTGCTAAAATGGTTTTTATTTCTAGGATTTCGTCCACTTCCACCTTTGCCTGGCAGGGAGAAAATGGGCCACCCTTGGTTTGTAGCGCCCAGGCTATGGCGCTGCAGTTTTTGAGGTGTGTTCTTCATCAATTGGCACCAAACGGGATTTTCCTGCAAATTCTACAAACCGAGGTTGTCAGTAAGTATATAAAATATTGGATATTTCTCAAATCAATATTACAATTTATTTCTCTTTCTTTCAGTGAAAGTTCGTCGCACTACATTCCGCAGCATTGCCAAAGCCTTACAGGATTTTCAAGAATTGAATGCCTCAAGTCCTATTTACATGGTCTGTGAAGCATTGCAGGCCAAAAAATCCCTACCCTTGGAATCGTTGCCCATAATATTCCGCAATATGTCCGAATATCTACAGTGTGTTGCTCCCGATGCCAATATTGTACAATCAGCATGGCCCCAAGCTATGGCCAGTTTGGAAAGTCTCCTACGACAAGTGATTGTCATTCTGCCAAACATAACCAATCATGATTATCTTTTGGATTTGATTGTATCAACGTTGCGTTTAAATTGTGTACCCAAAACCCTCTTGGATCCATATTCAAAAATTGTTGCCTATTGTGTGCAACATACAAATCTTGAGTATTCCGTGCTCTATGACATATGCGTCTATAGTCGTTCATTTTCACGCGATCGTGATAAGCAGTATTTGTGTAGACAGCTGATATTTGAATTTGTCCAAGCATTGAAATTTAAAATTAATATTCCCGATCATAATTTGTTGATGATTATTGGGTTTGTTCTACTGGATGCTGGGGGTACTTTACCACCAGGAACATTACCCGGCATTCCGGAAATACCATCGGCTTTGCCCACAAATGCATCGGATTGTTTGCGGCAATACATAAATGATGTTATTGACTTTTTGGCCGATTTCCATACTCTCAGCAAGATTAAGGTAAGTAAATCTGAAAATATGTAACTTTATATTTGTATGACCGATAATGACTTCTTTGGCTTTTAATGGAAATTCCAAAAAAAAAGACGTCATTTCAGTCGTTAAAAAAAACTCATAAGTAATCTATGAAAAACTCTGAGCCGTATTTTATCTATAATAATAAAATTCCAGGCTGTTTTAAACACCTTTATAGTCCTCCATAAGACTTCTTCTTAATCCTCCTTTTAGACATAACCTCTGTCTCTATAAATACTAGTCCAAAAAAATGACTTCTTTGATATCTACAGAGAATCCCAATCAGTTTTTTATTAGACATCACTTTAATCCTTCATAAGACACATTTCCAGTCCTTCACAAGACGTCTTCCCTATCGTTTTATAACTCCTAACTATTAACTCATTTCGAATCACCTCCTCACCCGTTTTAAATCGTCTACAAGGACTTATTTTACAACTCACTCACTCTTTGGTAAGACGCCTTTTCAATTCATTGTAAGACGCCATTCCCGTTCCTTTTCTTCAAGAACATTCCTCTTGGTTATAAAGTCCCTTTCCAGCATTTATTTTTTGACTTTTTTTGTTCTTTAAGAAAGGCGTTTTTCTGTCTTCTGTAAGACACCTTTTCTTTCTGAGTCCTTTGCAAAATTCTACTTATATCCTCATTTCTGACGTCTCCCTTTGTATAACTCCTTAATTTTAATCCTCTATAAAACTATTCTATTCATTTGTGAGAAGGTTCCCATATTGTTTTTAAAGCTCCTTTCTTGTCATCCATAGTTTTATTTCGAACCTCATCACCTGTGTGGAAAGGCTTTTTTTATGTCGCCTACAAGCACTTATTTTACAACTCACTTACACTTTGATAAGACCCCTTTTCAATTTACTATAAGACGTCACTCCCGTTCCTTTTTTTCAACAACATTTCCCTTGGCCATAAAGTTCTTTTCCAGCATTATATAAAGATTTATTTTCCGACTTTTTTAGTTAGAATTCATTTCCGGACATCCATAGTTTTATTTCAAACACCCTCCCCAAGCCTTTAGAAGACTTCTTTCAAGTCCTCTATAAGCACCTCTTTTACAACTCATTCACTCTTTGATCCTTTTTCAATTCACTATCAGACGCCTTTCCCGTTTTTCTTCTGGACAGCATTTCTCTCGACCATAAATTACCTCTCCAGCCTTATATAAAGAATTTTTTTCAGACTCCTTTGGTTCTTTTAGAATAGCGTCTTTTCAGTCTTCTATAAGACAGCCTTCTGGGTCCTTTGCAAGAATCCATTCCAGTCTTCCCTTTTATAAAGGCTTATTTTAACTCGTCCTCTTTTTACTCTTTTTCTAAGACCCCATTTCAAGTCACTTCAAGTTCCCTTTTTTGAATTTTTAAGACCCCACTTACGTTACTCTATAAGGCAATATTCCTCTCGCCAATAAATTCCCATTTCAGCTTCTAAAAAAATTTCTTTTCAGACTACTTTTGGACCATTAAGACCATTAAGTCTTTAAATACTCTAACTTCTCTATCAAGGCTTCGTTTAGGTCATCTATTTATACTTTGTTTTGGGTGTCTATAAAACCTTCTTTTAAGAAGGCAATTAAGTCTCAATTTCAGCGGACTTAGATATCCTCACTTACATGAGAAAACTTCTTTGCATTCGTCCATAAGAATCCTTTCTTTATTCTATTATGTCTCCTTCTTCTATCAAAATTCTCTTTCAATTGTCTACAGGAACCCCAAGTTTTTCCTCGTTTGTCTCTTATTAAGTACTCTTTTTACTCCCGAGATTTAATTTTAATTATATGCCTCTATATTTTTTCAGAACTTTAAAAATTCTCAAACTCAAAATGGTTTGGGAGAAGATACTTTGGGTGGTGTTTTGAAAGGTGCCGTATCGCAGTATCTTGCTTTGGAAATGTCAAGGGGCAATTCACGAGACAACAAGGCAGTGGCTAGATATCTGCCGTGGCTCTATAATGCTCCTTCTTCCTTGCAGCAAGGGTAAGTGTGACAACAATTTTGAAAAAACTTATCTTCCAAAAACATATTTTTATCATCTTCCTTAGGCCCAAAGAATTCACTGAATGTGTGGGCCATATGCGCCTACTATCTTGGCTGCTGCTGGGATCTTTAACACACATGGCATTGATGCAAAGGCGAGCAGCCATACACATTTCTCCCACGGCTAATCAGCCCACAACCAACACCACAACGAATCCTCAAACGGGCGGAGGTGGTCATCATCCCTCAACTCACCCGAATTCCAGTCATCAACCTGTACCGCAAGAAGCCTCCTGTCACATTGCCGATCATATTCAAGTTATTTTCGCTGGATTTGCAGAACAATCGAAAACATCGGTGCTGCATATGTCGTCACTATTTCATGCCTTTACACTGTGCCAATTGTGGACAGTGTATTTGGAACAAATCGCACATACATCGAATAACCCCGAGGGTAATACAATGGGTGTCCTCTTTGAATTTTGGGCTAAGGTAACACCATGTATTCTGCAATTGGTATCACATTCCAAGCACAAAGATTCTAATGATTTTTCACAAAATTCCAATGCCAAGGTATGTAAATTTGCAATTTAAATGTTTTGAATAGAAATTAATATGAGTGATTAATTTTAGCTTTCGGAAATGGTGAATTTACATTTTTTGAGTTTGTTGGAGGCTTTGAAAGAAACCAATTCAACTATTTTGAGTAAATTGCTACCTTTGTGGAGTCCAGTTTTGTCATCACATACACAGGTATGACCACCAGCCCAGATATTATGTGTAAATCTTCCCATCATTGCAATTTTTTTCTTTTTATTTCATTTTAGCTTTCGGATACTCTGCATGTTCGCCTGCAAAATGTACGAGACTATGCCCCGGATTATGAGGAGCAACAAACGAATAATGCCGAAGTCCTTCTGAAATGGCTGCAACGTCTTCAGTTTAAAATGGGACAAATTGAATTGCAGGCATCCACCGCCACACAGTTCTATTCGATTTAAGTAAAATAAGAAAAAGATCGATGTTATAATTTAAAATTAATTTAATAAGTATAAGACATTTAAAAGAACCGGTTACAAGAGAGCCCAGCTCTTTTGCTTTACCATTGAGAATGTTTTTTCAGTTGTTCTATAGAAGAGATAAATGTCACAACAATCTATGTCAAACAATTGATGTTGCTGTGTTTTTTGTAGTTGAAAATAATAGCCAAAATTTACATGTTGAATGTTAATGTCCATGGAAATAAATAAAGACAAGTAATTGAAACTAAAAACAATGCAAATCTAATATCCTTTCTTTCTATTTAGTCATAAACTGTGTAGTTGACCCCACTTGATTTTTCCTCATCCAGTGGATCGGTGACTTCATCTTCTTCATTGAATGTTTGATCACCTTCGATTTGATTTGTTGTCCTTTTCGCTGTGGATTCTTTGGAGCGATAATTTGTAAAGGAAGGATTCGATTTTAAGGCATCTTCATGAGGTAGTTTCATTTTGATTTTCTCCATGCGTTTCAATTTGGCAGCCAAACGTTCGGTGGCTTGTTTTTCTTGTAGTTCCTGGAAAGAAAGAAAATTGAGATATTTTTTAATGACTATCGGATATTTTTAGTCGATTATTGGTCTGTTCCAGAACTGCAAGAATGTAAAAGTTTTCACAACGATAACCGATTTTCCCTTTATGATATCGAAACAAATTACAAAACTAGTAGGTTCTTGCAGGTACTGGAACAGAGCAGTGGTAATAAAAGATAATTTATCTATAGGCTACGTTTCTGCTGCCTAGACCAATTTTTCATTTGCCTATAAATATTCCTTTTCTGTTGTCTTTAAGAACAAAATTTTATGCTCCTATAAGTATTTCTTTTAAGTCGGCTATTTAGACTATTTTCAGTTTTATATCCAAACTCCAATTCAGTCATTACTGCAAACTGCGTTACAGTCGCCTATAAGCTTTTTATCGACACATATTTGAAGTCTATACAAATTTCTTAGCAAATGTCCTTTCGGCCACCTAAAATTCTGATAAATCCTCCAAACAGTGGTCTATAAAGATAAAATTGCAATCCCCAATAAATTCTGATGGCTTATGTTGAGTTTAGGGGCTATGATCGGATTGGCCTGGAATTACGACAAAATACAGGGTGAGATAAAAAACTGCAACAAAGTCAAATGCCATAATTTTTACATTTTTTTGTTTTTTTTATGAAAGCAAAAAATTTCGGAAATAGCATCAAATGTTAGAATAAGTTTAGATTTGTTCAAATGGGTCACCTTTGGCCTTCAAACGGCCAATGAAACCGTCACACGCTGCCAGAATAATGCTCTGCCGTATTTTGGCACATTCCCGGCGAAGCGCTTGCTTAAGGTGATCGTGGTGGTATTTTTTAGTGTCAACCTTGCGTTTCAAAATACTCCAGACACAATAGTCCAATGGATTGGTATCCGCAGATTTTGTGGGCCATTGTAAGCTGGAAATTAAGCGAGGAACATCATTTTGTAACAATTCTTGGGTGTCGCGTGCTGAGTGCGATGGTGCTGAGTCTTGTTGGAATGTCCAAGGTCTACGGCCAAATTGTTTGCATACCCAAGGCTTTAATATACCCTCCAGAATATTTTCGCGATAATATTCGGCATTTATTCTGATGCCACGGTCGATTAATACGAGCGGAGAGCAAATATTGGCTGTTATGGCGGCCCACACCATCACCACGGCCGGCGCTTGAGTTCTGGTGGCCAACCGAAGGTGCACATTTCCATTTGTTTGATTTCACATCGGAGAAATCCAAATTCGCCAGTTCACCGCCAAGCGAAGCAACTCTTTAGCTATTTTGAGTCTATTTTATTTCTGCTGCGGTGTAAGTTCTTGCACTTTTTGGAATTTCAACGGCTTTACCCCGAGCTCATTTTTCAATATTTGCCGAATAGAATAATGCGATATATTCAGCTCACGAGATATTTTTCGACCACTACGACGCGAGCTTCGAACAAGTCGCTTCTTTTTTACTTTTCGAACAATTTCTTCTGATGTTGCTCTTTTCTTCCGTCCACTTCCTTCACGGTAACGAGCGACGGTACGATACACAAAAGATTTATTCACATTTAAATGCTGGAGTGTTCTAACGATAGCCACTTGTGGCTTTCCAGCCAAATATAAAGAAATCACACTATCATGCTTGAATTCCAACCCGAATAATTTTTTTCTGGAAAATTCTCACCAAAATGCTTTTGTACGCTTGTAAACAATATAATGAGCTGTCAGTGGAATAATTTTAACAGCTGTCGGACGAGTGGCTTAGAAATGACAGCAGTCTGAAGTTGCTTGCATTTTTTTTTTTATTGATCTCACCCTTTAAAAGAAAGTTAGTATTTTCTTACCGGAAAAACCTCCAAAAATTCGTAAATGCGCCCATGGCGGGGTTCTATAATCTTTGTCTAGTCTGCACTCTTGCCTTTCCAAAATGTTCTGAAGTACCGAATGTATTGGTCATAGAAATACTTTCGTCCATAAGGTCAAATATTTTTTTTTTGAGTTTTGGCAGTCACCTGAAAAACCATATTCATAAATACTCGACATGAATCTTAAAATCGTTATTTTTACTGTCCTTTTTAATTTACGTCATCTAAAAATTCCTTGATTTTCAGTCTTCTACATAGACTGCGTTAAAGACATATTTTCTATCATCTTTAAAGACCCATTTTAATTCGTCGAAAAAGTCTCGAGATTTTAGGAATTCTTTTTCAGTCATTTATACAGAATTATTTTTAATCTATTAATACAACTAATTCTTCCTTTTTTAGTTAGAGTAGAGTCCTTCTATATTCACTGAATTCTCCTTTTCAGTCGTCATGTGTTTGAAAACAAACTTCTCCAACTTCTTACCTTCAATCTTTGCAAATATTCCGCTTGTATTTCCACAGAATCCATTAGACTCAACAACTGTGCGGCATTGTGTTGTATGGGTGGTGGGGTTGCTGCTGTTATCTCCCAATGTTTACCCTTTTTACGTTCACGTTCCTTATTTGGATCGTGAACATTCGATTTAGTTGTACGAAATGGCAGGAATTTTTCTTTTTTCTGCGAAGCAGCATGCAATTCAGTCTTTTCTACCAAATAATGGACATGTGGATCCAATTCCACCTGGGACAAGGAACTTGAGGGTCTTGAGTTATTTAATGAAGAATTTAAACTATTATTTAGACTTTCTAATTTCGGCTTTAACGATTCCAATTTAGCTCGAATATCAATGGAGACAATTTCAGCATCGATTGCCTCATTATCTTCCATATCATTATCATTACTTCCTGGGCCTTCTTTATCATTGGAAACAGTTGTTTTATCCTTTTCAATGCTTTCTGTAGGAATAGTTTCATTATTGATATTTTCACCACCCTCCGTTGTTGCCGAGCCATGTGAATCACCCACATTATTATCTGCATTAATACCCGAATCAGGAGAGTTACTCTTAAACGATTCTATTTCCTTCAAGTCTTCTTCGGTTATCAATTTAGGTTCAGGTTTCTCAATTTTCACTTTACGTTCATGCATTTGTTTTTGTGCTATAATACGCAGTGGATCCATTTCCAATTCATCATCGCTATCCAATACATCATCCAAGGGGTTATGATCTTCTTCAATTGCACCGATTCTCCCCCGCCACTCCATTTCATTTAGTGTCTTCTGTCCTTTAGAAGCAATATTCAGACCAGAGAACATCTTGGCTGCTTCATCAACATTTGATCTTCGATCCAATTCAGCCACAACTTTATCATAGAAATCCTGTATACGTTTCCCCTTGTCCGGCAGCTTCTGCAACTTTGCTCTAAATAAAAACAATATTTCATTACCAATATGTTTTTATTGTTGCTGTCGCATCCATTTCCTTACTTGTTGGCCAATAGCTTTGCTTCTCTCTCCTTAATGTCCAACAGCTCCAATTGTGTTAGCTTCGTTAAATCTTTAACGTGGACCTCTTTTTTGGCAATGGGCATTCCCGGTATACGATTCAGTGTTGGTCGGGGAATCGTAGCCATTGTGTTAATGTAAAATTTACTTCCAAGTACAATAGTCCTTAATAATAAATTATTTTCAAAGTATTTTCTAAAATAATGAAATTGCTCTGTCAATAACAACGGGCGGGCGCAAGAAATGAAATAAAAACAAAACATTCACTGTCATTTGATAACACCGTTTAATGGCCATCCACTATGCCATTTGGCCACACACTAAACTGTCTTTTGGGATGAAACCTAATATTTGACGTACGCCTACGACGTTTTTCGCCTGAAAAGTTGAACATATCATATAACATATCATATAATTGCATAATGCGTTAGTTTTGTTATCAACAAATATGAATTGTAAATAAAATACTTTATGGAAATGCATTTTAGACCTGGAATTTTTATACATTAAAATAAGAGTTTCAAGTGAAGTTTGTTGTCCACTTTGTTTCGAATTGTTGTACAACATTGGATGTTACCTTATATTCTTATATTCTGACATGAAATCATGAATTAAAAATATATACTGTAGGACAGGTTGGCCAAATTTGAAGAACACAACTCTAAAGCTAGAGTATTGCAACAATGTGATTGTCATTGACAATTTATCACAACTTTCAAGGCTTTTTATTAATAAAATTTTAAAAATTGTTGTTCCTTGCTTAAGACAGAAATGTATTTTCCTGTAATTAAGAATTCTACAGCAATTGACGAAACGTACACAAATATTCAAATTCTCCACTATGGTACAATGTTTTATATGTCCGTATTACCCATGGTAGGGGGTAAAGTCAAGCAATTATGTGTTTACATTTTTTTTTTAATTATTCATTTGTCATCATCTCATTGTCAACATTTGGATTTACAAATCCACTGTACACATGGTACAATAAAAAGGTAAGGTGGACTTACCAGCTGATTACAATTTTTTTTTCTAATTGTGCCCGGTTTCTGCCAAATTTGATGTATGTATTTTATATTTGTTTAACTGATTTTTAAAAATAAGGAAAAATATTGAATGTTTGAAAACAACTTGATGCATGCAAATTTGGCAGGAAGCAGGCATAGCATCAGGGCTGCAATTATGTAGTTTTACGAATCCATGGCAAAAGTTGTTTACATTTTTAATGCGCGCCCCGCAATTAACGTTTTTCTAATCATTGATTTTGAAATTTTTTTGTTTTTATTTTTCAAAACAATAAATACACACACAAAATCGGGCACACTTAGCACAAAATTTTTATCAGCTGGTAGCTCTACCCATGGCACAATTAGGGAAGGTAGAACAGAACTGCCCCCTAAATACATTTTTTTTCTTTTGGTGCCCCTATCTGTCCAAACATATACACAGTTGCATACGTGTGTTTATTGTTTTGAATAAAATAGATAATAATTTGAAATTTATTTAAATTTAGATGGAACCGAAATGCATATTTTTCACGTTAACGGGCAACAAATCATATAATTTGGGATGAAACAATATTGTCCCTCTATCTTGGATTCAATTTTGTGGAGAAACCCCAATACTCCATTCATGGCATACTCACAGAAGGTAGAACAAAGCTACCACAATACAATTTTTTCTTTTGGTGCCCTTTTTTCAAGAAACATGTAAACGTCATTAACGTGTAACATATGCACTTATTGGTAGCCTAGACACAAGTTTCTTTAGAATTTTTTTATTTTCTGAATTTATTTAAGAAATAGCAGTATCATTCGTATTTCCTACGTCGAATGAAATACCCCGTAGTGTGAACCCTCCATACGTTTACCATTTGTGTGGCAACGCCAATATGTATTTTCATAGCATTTAGCATTTGTATCCCTCCGCGGGCTGTCAAATCAAAGAGAAAAATCCCAAATACAGGGTTGTATTCTCACAGAATACTTTATAATTTAAAAATGTTCACAAAATTATCGAGTGAAAAAAACACGAGTAGGGCAAGAGAAGTACAAGCCACAAGACAATTCCGAAAGAAAAGAAGAAGGAAAATCATGTAATTGCGCATTTAATCGTCATAAAATTAAGATTATTCGTTCGACATTTTATTGGTGGCATATTCTTTTATCGACCACATAACGAAAAACGAAGGTTTGTTGATTTCCCATCTAAAAAACGGGCGCTATCTTGAACTCGTCTCCAAATCTATTACGGCTGCTGCTGCTGCAACAAAGTGGGCACACAAAACTTCCTAATAATTCAATGAAAGCAAGCAAGAGGAAAAAAAGTATTTACCGATGATGCAACTGAAAAGAAAATAGAAGAGAAAAATTATAAAAAAGTACGTTTTGTGTGCCGTTTGTTGCGTGTGTGTGTTCGAATTTATAATTTAAGTTAAAATTGTTTGTGCTGTGCGACTGGCGACCGACTAAATGAATGTTATGCGCTGATTGGTATAGAGAAGAAATTTTTAATAGAAAACTAAAAGAGAAAAAACGAAAAGTAAATATCCAATAGCGCTAATGTGGGCCAATTGATTTTCTACCATTTGCAGGTACCACTTGCTCTGAGCCAACTGTCGTCAGTCAATTGTTGTGTGGTGGTGAGAAGTGTGATTTTTAAAATACCAGACATTCCATATGTCCGACTCGGAATACAGTGAATCCTTTACCGGTGGTGGTCAGGAAGAAATTGGCGGCAGTGTTGGAGACAATGATCGTAGGCAGCGGCAAATGCAGATGCAGCAGCAAAATGCTTATGGCAACTTTGCTGCTGGTTCCAGCAGTAGTAGCTCTGGCGGAGATTCCAGCGTTTCATCCACATCCTCGGATGATGACACGGACGAGGAAAATGAGTCCGATGATTCTTTGGAATTGGCAAAAATCACAAATGAAGTATTGAGCTTACCTCGAGGTTTATGCGAAAATCCTGCAATTTTTCAAGAGTTTTTCTCATTGGAAACATGGAAAGATCTGCCACCACACATGCAGAACCATCTTCAGCAATTCCTGCCTAACTTTAATAAAGCTCTACCGCCCCAAATGGCGGCCGTGGAACAAACCCGTTCCATTTCCATGTTATTTAGCGGAGAATTGAGTGCATTTGGCCAATCGCCCTTGGCTAATTTACAAAAACATTTAGAGGCTGGCAATTATCGTCCGGATATTAAGAAGCTACGTGAAAACATCAAAAAGTCACAAAGGCGGGAAAGTAAATTTCAAACCTGCGAACGTTTATCCTATATGGCCAAGCAACTGTTTGTATCGCGGCAACGTTTACTTGACCATGCCCACAAATCTTTGCCTGATAATGTTGAGAAAGCCCCTCTGCCCACCACTTCGGTGTCGAGTATGCGCCAGCCAAAGCCGGGACATTTATATCATGACAATAAACTGTCAGCGATAAGAGCTCGAAAACGTTTCTACAGTGAAATCTCACAAATAGCCCAAGAATTGCATATATCGGAAGAGTTTGCTCTCAGCGCCGATGAGGAGGAGAATGACATGGATAATAATCTTAATGAGGAGTGGCGTAAAGATTTAATACAGCAACAACGTTCACTGGAGGAAAATGCAGAACCGCCCAAAACGAACATAGCATTGGCCGAGCGTTGCGTCTACAGTACTGTGTTCCGGAAACGTTCAGAGGTAGATGATGAGGAAGCATTCCGTTGGCAACAGCGATCACGTCAATCGAGGCTAACAAATCGCAATTTCAAAGAATATTTACGGGAACATAAGCGGAGAAAACTTACTGAACCGGTAGGAGTGATTTTTTTAACTACTAATATGAGGATAATAATTATTTTGTATGTTTCTTTTTTAGACTTTACCCGAGCTGGAGACATCTGATATACGCTTAAGAGACGTATGTGCCCGGGCACAGATTGGTGGCAATTTCAAACGTCTCCCTGGAACAGGAAAACCAGGACGCAAACCTAAGTCTCTAATATCAGCAGCTAACAATTCCATGACAACTTCAATGATTGCTGGAAACACTGAAGCAACTTTGGGCCTCAATAACAATAAACAGCAACCATCCTCATTACCAGTAACGCCAAATAATACAACCACACCCCACCCACAGCTACCGCCACCACAAACACCCAACAAACTAAGTGAACCACCTGCCCTTGTACCCATTCAACAGCCCATCACAAAGAAAACTGAATTATTTCAGTCTCAGAATGCCGGCAATATGCCAACAGTATCACCAACAACAACACCAGTACACAGTTATCACCAACAGAAGCAGCAGCAATTGCAACAAATGGAAACTTCGCCCTCTTTCACAAGCAACAAAGCCAACAATCATTTACATAATACATCAAATGATTCACTAAATATGTCTTCATTTATGACCGGTCACAGTGATAATTTGAATCTGTGTATGGACGATGCGTCCTTATTGGCCTCCAGTGATCATGAAGCTTTTACTATGTTAGATAATGAGGTAGAATTACAGCAGGAAGAGGTGGAAACTTTTGGTGGTTCAGCGGGTGATGACAATTTAAGCAACTTTGTTATTGGGGATGACATTGTTTTGGGAGGTCCAGGAAATGGCTCATCTATTTTACAGAGTCCACATGGCCATAAAAATGGAAATCGAAATAACAATCAACAACCATTGCCCAAATTGGAGCCAATTTCTACAAAATCTACTCTTAAATCCGCAAACAATCAAAAATCCTTATCAGCAACATCGCCCACATCGAACATGACAAACCTCATTTGCTCCAGTGAATTGATACAGGAGACTCATGCCTCCTATTTCTCATTGATACGCGACTTCTTCTGTTCCACGCCCAATCATCGAATGCGTTATGACGATTTAAAATGTAAAATAGATATTTGGTTGAGGAATCCCATAACTGCCCTTAATGAGTGGTATGCTCATGCCGATAATTGGTCGAATCTTCTAAGCTCTGCAATTAATTTTTTGGTTGGCGATTTTCCTGATCTCCCCGAAGAATATGTACCCTACATTGAGCATAAATTACAGTTGAATATCTATCAATGGATAGGTGCGGGACGTGATTCCGACACTCGTTTGGCGGACCTATGTAGTCTGTGGATGGAGAAGAGAAAACATCCGCAGGATAGACAAAAGACATTAGAAGGCAAATTAGAGGTATTGCCCAAATCGCAAGTAGAAAGTGACGAAACAGCGGCTGAAGCTGCGGCAATGATACCGCCACCACCTCCACCAAGATTTCCCACAAATTGGACTGTACGACCTGCTACACAAGAGGAAATACTTGAATTTCAACGGCAAGAAAGAGAACGTTTTGAACAGCCTCACAAAGCCTACACGTATTTCATGCATGGTTATGAAAGTGTTGTGGGTCCCGTCAAGGGAATCTATACGCCAATGTTGGCTTTGGCAAAGGCGCGAGGACACAGTATGATGGTGGGTGATAGACCGAACTTTGTGACCATTCTCACTCTGGTGCGGGATGCCACCGCTCGTTTGCCAAATGGTGAGGGCACGCGGGCCGATATATCCGAGCTATTGAAATGCTCACAATACATTAATCCAGATGCAGCTGAAAATGTTTTACAAACAATAGTCAGTGGAGCATTGGATCGTATGCATACGGAGCACGATCCCTGTGTACGTTACGACCCGAAAAGGAAAATATGGATTTATTTGCATCGAAATCGCACAGAGGAGGAATTCGAGCGTATCCATCAACAAAATCAAACGACTGGAAAGTCGAAAAAACTGCAACAGCGTAAACCCAGACCCATGACAATGACACCAGGAGCTAAATTAAATAGTCCCGAACAGGAAATGGCAGCAGAGTTGGGTGTGGCAAATGGTGGCGGAGTTGGAACACTGAAAACACTACCTGCCTTGGTACCCGCCAATCCTATTATTGTCAGCAACAATAGCAGCTCCCAAAGGCAGCAGCTTTCCGCAATATCGCAGCAAAAACATTTGCAACAACAACAGATTCAATTGAACAAATGCCCGCCCGTTCCACCATTAAAATATAACATACCTCCCTCGCAACAAGTTTCGGTGATGACCACCAGTCCACAGCAGGCTCAGCAACAGAAATCTTTACTCAAGCCAACAATAAGACAAGAAAAGACCAATACGGGCCAGCATAGTTTTCAGGTTCCGCAAGCAAAGACCTCCAATCAACATTCAAATACAACCCCGATTGTTGTCGCCACACCCCAAGGCCTACAAACTGTACATGTTTCAAATGCCACCTCAGTGGTTTCATCGAATACTAACAAAATCCATCAACAACAAACATCTCCGGTACAACAAACCAACCTTACCGCCAATTTGGCCGGCAAGCGTGTTATGCTCAACAAGCCCATAATTATCAATCAAGTCACCAATCAAGTAAATCCAACCGTTAGTTCTACAACCAAACAAAAATCACCCCAACAAATAGTTAAACAACAAAGTCGCATCACCCTTAGTCCACAACAACAGCAGCAATTGCAGCAACAATCCTCAAATATTATTACCTTGCCCATCTCGATGGCCAATAGCATTAATATAAATACAAATAACGCTGCCGCAGCTGCAGATCTCTCGGATAACACAATTTCGACGGCAGCTCACTCTCCTTCTCTAGGCGGTAAACAAAATATCATACGCCTTCTGCCAACATCCAAAACAATACTAACATCGCCCACCGGTGGGAGCGGTCAACATTTGGTCAATAGGCAGCGAATTGTTACAACAAATCTATCGGCCACTAGTCCAGTACCAACCGATCAGAGGCCCAGTACACCGCAACAGCATCAACCACAACGGAGTACTTCAGGTTTCCAATTGTTATCGAGTAGTGGAAATGTTGTCACCATCAACAGCAGTCCAAGTAGTTCCACGACGGCAACATCCACCCCGACCGGAGGCTCTATTGTCAAAATGTCTGCCCAGCAATTTGCTGCGCTACAACAAAAACAGGCAGCCGCCCAACAGCAACAGCATATTATTATGAAACAATCTACATCGCCTACTGGAGTCAAAATGCAAACGGGTCAGACTGTTAAAACTCAAAGAGTTATATTGGGTAAGTGTAGCTGGAGAATATTTTTTTTTGTTACTCCTTTAGCCTTGTGGTCAAAGTGTGTATATATTTACCTCCAAAAATGTGGATAATCAAAACGCCGATTTGGAAGGTATTTTGTTTTTATACTTAATAACTCAACCCCTATGAAGATGTACAAATATGTGGTGCCATTTAATTCTTTTAAAATAAACTGTACATATCTGCAGAAGTATTAAAAGCAAATTATAGCTATAGAATGTCCGCCAAGATCGATCTCCCCTCTTCTATCTCTCTCCCTCTCTCTCTTAATGAGACTGATCATAAATAATAATGTTAGGGCTCTGCAGCTCCAATAGAAATAAAATATATAAAAATTAAAGAAATATATCTATGTTTCTCATGTACATTTCCATCTTTTTCGACTTCAATCAGATTGACATAGTAAAGCCTGATAGGAACGCCTTTGGGCTGGTGGCGAACCTTCGGGCGGCCTAGCCATTTAAACAAGTGGTTCAAAGATGGATGAAGGCAACAGTACTGACCTATTCTGTCCTAACCCAATCATTAAACACTCATATAAGCTTAATGACAATTGCAGGGTTTTTTAGACGGAAATTCTTGTAATTAGAAAGGCAGCCAAAATTATAAGAGAAAGCTGCAATAGAACAACAGGACTATATATGTCGATAGCCATGCGACCCTTAAAACTATCATGTCAAGTTCCACTAAATCGAGGGCCATTCATGACTGCAAGAAAGTCCTCATTGTAACATATGAAGTCATTTGGGTTAGTTGGGGTCTAGGACTTAGCAACAGATTGGGGAATGAAGTGGCTAATGAATTAGCTCGAGGTGGATCACATTCGATCGAATTAGCCATTTATGAAACAGTAAACATTATGTCATGTCTAATCGACGAAGCTTGAAGAAGATGACACTTGGAAACTGTTTGCAAGGTATCTAATGGCGTATGGCCGGTAATATCGAAAAGACAAGTTCCCTTCTATCACTTAGTAGGTTTGATCTAAGAATCCCCACTGCAATATCAGTTATGTGATACGGTCCCTGACTACTGTAGACTACGTGAAGATGATGCATGGTAGATTAAACATCTGGTATGAATGGTAGATTAAACATCTACCATGCAGATCTCCCATGTTATCTAACAAGAGACACAGCCTATTTGGTAGATGGGAGATAGAAACTATAATCTTCTTCTCAGCTATACATCCCATCATTATCTACAAGCTTGCTAAAATTATTCCCTGGCTGGGCACACTGCCCTGCTAACTATACAGGGTGAGATAAAAAAACGGCAACAAAGTTGAACTCCATTAATTTTACAGTAGCAATAGCATCACATTTTAGAAAAAGTTTAGATTTGTTCGAATTGGTCACCTTTGGTACGAATTATGGCCTGCAAAGGGCCAATGAAACCGTCATACGCTGCCCGAATGTTGATCTGCGGTGTTTTGGCCAATTCCCGTCGAAGCGCTTAACACTTTGGTATTTTTAGTGCCAACTTTGCTTTCCAAAATACTCCAGACACAATAGTCCAACGGATTGGTATCCGGAGATTTTAGTGGCTATTGTGCGCTGGAAATAAAGCGAGGAACCTCATTTTGTAACCATTCTTGGGTGGCGCATGCTGAGTGCGATGGTGCTGAGTCCTGTTGAAATGTACAAGGTCTGCGGCCAAAATGTTTGCGAGCCCAAGGCTTTAATACACCCTCTATAAAATTTTCGCGATAATATTCGGCATTTATTCTGAAGCCTCGGTCGATTAATACGAGCGGAGAGCGACCATCGGCTGTTATGGCGACTCACACCATCACCATGGCCGGCGCTTGAGTTTGGTGGTCAACCGAAGGTGCACATTTTCAGCTGACCTCTTTGGCAAGTACATTTTTTAATTTTGTAAACAAACTGCTGGACAACGAATGTTTTCCCATCTGAGAAAACCAATTTCTGCAGTTCACCACTTTCGGCCAAGCGAAGCTCCTTTTTAGCTCTTTTGAGACTACTTTCTTTCTGTTTCTCGCACTTTTTGGAATTTCAATGGCTTTACCCCCAGCTCATTTTTCAATATTTGCCGAATGGAATATTGCGATATGTTCAGCTCATGAGCCATTTTCAGACAGTGCGACGCGGTTTCGATCAAGTCGCTTCTATTCGAACCATTTCTGCTGATGTTGCTGTTTTCTTTCGTCCACTTCGTTGACGTCGGACTACGCTACCAGTATCACGGTAACAAGCGATGGTACGAGACACAAAAAATTTATTCACATTTAAATGCTGGAGTGCTCTAACGATTGCCACTTGTGGTTTTCCAGCCAAATATAAAGAAATCACACTATCACGCTTGAATTCCATCACGAATAACTTTTTTTCTGGAAAATTGTCACCAAAATGCTTTTGTACGCTGGTAAGCAATATAATGAGCTGTCACTGAAATATTTTAAACAGCTGTCGGACGAGTGGTCATTTCTAACAGCAGTCTGGAGTAGGTTGCAGTTTTTTTCATCTCACCCTGCAGAAACATTTTTGCCAAATTTTGTCAAGAACGTTCAAATTTGGATATTGTGCACCAAATATGTAATACGGCCAAGTAGGATGGATTTTGACAAATATGACACAAGAAAGTATGTCATATGTAGTGAAAATCGGTTCAGATATAGCTATAGATCCCATATATATGTTTCATCCCATAGCTCTCATATATATTTCCGTCTTATTTGATGTAAATGATAAACACACCAATAAGGTTGAATTTTGGATCGTACGTTTAAGTTCCAAGAAGAATAAAATCTGACAAGTTAAGATTATAGCTCCGATATTTATGTTTCACTCGGTGTTATATGTAGCATTCTTAGTACGAGAGGTCACATACAAAAAAAAAAAATTCCTCCATCAAATTAGTGTTAGCTCCATCCGATTTTATATTTAAACAGTTATGAAGTCGCAATAAGCATTCTACAAAAGTTGGTATGATTTACTTTACATAAAATCCCAATACAAAAAGTAAGGTGTTACGAGTAGCTCCACTAAATATGCATAGTGGTGCAGGGTGACATACAGTCGGTTCCGTATTAATTTTGTCCTTCCTAACAGGTCCTACTTCAGTAGTCGAAAGTTAATGTGAAAAGGACACATTTTTTTTTAATTATATCACAATATTGAAAAACACTTTGGTCAACTCAACAGACCCTAAGTCCTTTGGGTCCCTTTTTATGCGTATAAGACCTTTTAATCCTTAAAAAAATTGTTCGCTGTTTACTCAATAAATACTTTTCCTTTTTTTTCAGGCAACACATCTGTTATTGGACAATCCACGCAGGGCAAAAATATTATACTACAGCAATTACCAGTCGGCAGTTCGACTTCGGTGGTGGTCACACCCACGACAACAACAACATCTGTCTCAGCAACGACCACTCTAAGTGGTAGTAATAAGATACAAACAATTAACACAACAATATTGACTCCGCAACAACAAAGAATACTCATGCAAAATCTTAAACAGCAGCAACAACAGCAACAATCCAGTAATATTAATCAAAATCAATTACAATTTAAAACTGTACAAGTTGTCGCGAACAATGCCGGCTCAACAACACAACAACAACAGCAAAACATTATCCAAAGACCCCAAACCATAACACTGGCAACACAATCGAACACAACACCCAAGACTGTAGTGATGGCAACATCACAGGATAGCATTGCTTCGCCACAGCAACAGCAACAAGGTTTCACAAAAATACTCAAAACAACAAGTCCCCAACAACAACAACAGAAAACTTCAGAGGCAACTTCAAATCAAACTGCTCGCATTATAACCAGTTCGGGCGCACAAATTATTTCCTTGGATAGTTTGCTACAAAAACAAGGAGGAGGTACACTACGCATTGCTGGCACCGTAAATCCCCAAACAGTTGTTAAGGCGAGCAAACAATTAAGTACTACTATATTACAAAAGGCTCCACAGCAGTTGCAGCAAACCCCGCAGCAATCAAAACATCCACAATCTCCACAACAACAACAACCACAATATGCCATTGTTTCTGTACCGAACAGTATTATATCACTGGGTAATACTAGTAACATAACCGTTGGCCAAAGAATTATATCAACTCAAGCAAATTCTGGTACGGTTAACACATCGTTTGTTAACGTTGATGCCACGAAAGTAACACCCGGCATTGTGACAACAGCCACCGGTCAACGACGCATCTTAACAACTGCGGGTGGTACAAAAATTATCAGCAAAGCTGGTGCCACCACAGCAGCGGCGGCTACGGGGGCGAGTAATATTCGTGTATTGAATGCCAACAACCAACAGGTGTCGGGAAATCTGAATGTTACAACGTTACAAGGAAAGCCCCTGGTTTTGGCCTCTGGCAAAACTGTCACGGCCATTAATAAGGCACAAATTGTCAATCCATCAGCGCAAAATATTATTCAAACGTCGGCTGGAAGCATTGTTATCGGTGGTCAAACCATTAAACTTCAGCAGGGAAATGTAAGTATTAATTTAATCTTAAACAAGTAAAATAATCTCAAACGGATTTGCCGACAGATGTATACCCCCAGCCTTGGGTTATGATTATTCAAACTGTTGACCCTTTATGGAGAAGGTTCCGAAGCAATTGACCATTATTGACCAATTCGTATCTGACCTAAGACTGATTTTAATGTTATAACGTGCCACATTCAGACTATATCGACCAATTCCTAAACTTTATTTGAGATATGTGATAATTTTTGGAAAATGTGCGTGAGGTGACAGATATAGCGGACTGCGAAGTATTCCATTTTCATACTTCATCCATTACAGATAAATATAGGGAAGTGCAAAATTCGAAGGAAATCGAACATTTACATCCAATTTTTTGCGAAATTATAGAAGAGACATATTTAGATATAGCAAGTTGTTAAGAATCGCCGACTTGTGAAAAATTTTAAATTGTGATTTTGCGGGTAAGTTCGCAGATATTGTTATCATCACAACAGATCCTGTGTCAGCAAAAATATTTGGATGTGCGAAATTTGAAGAAAGTTGGATGCTTATATCGCTTTCTTTTAGTGTTTGCTTTTTTAAATCTTGAACCCTATGTGGGGGAGGTACCACAAGAAGAAAAGGTCATATCTCTACCATCTTTATAACAGATCTTGTGATCATGGAAATATTGAGATTTTCCAAGTTTGAATATAATCGTATGTCAATTTCTCGTTTTATGAGCTTCATGGGTATTTAAAATCTTTACCCTTTGTGGGGGAAGTACTAGAAGGAGTGGACCGATTTATCCCATCTTTACACCAGACCTTGGGTTAAAAAAAAAAAAAAAAAAAATATTGTGATGTGTGGACATTGGAGAGAACCGGATGCTTATTTCGAATTTTATGATCGTTTTTGTTATTCGAAATTTTAGCCCTTTACGGGGGAGGTACCAGAAGGAATGGTCCGATCTCTACCATCTTTATAATAGATATTGTGTTGATGGAAATATAGAGATGTGCTAAGTCTGAATGGAATCGAATGTTAATTTCTCGTTTTATGAGCTTCATGGGTACTTAAAATGTTTACCCTTTCAAGGGGAGGTACCAGAAGGAGTGGACTTATCTATCCCACCTTTACACCAGACCTTGGGTTAATAAAAATATTGTGATGTGTGAAAATTGGAGAGAACCGAGTGCTTATTTCGGATTTTATGATCGTTTTTGTTATTCGAAATTTTAACCCTTTACGGGGGAGGTACCAGAAGGAATGGTCCGATCTCTGCCATCTTTATAATAGATCTTGTGTTGATGGAAATATTGAGATGTGCTAAGTCTGAATGGAATCGGATGTTAAATTCGTGTTTTATGAACTTCATGAACATTCGAAATTTTGGCTCTTTGTAGGGGAGATACCAGAAGGAGTGGACCAATCTTCTTCACACCAGACCTTGGGTTATTAAAAATATTGTGGTGTGTGTAATTTGAAGACAAACGGACACTTACATCACATTTTATAAGAGTCATAATTATTCCAAATGTTTACCCTTTGTGTGGGAGGTACTCCACATTGCCCATCTCCGAACTCAATCTAAGTTTGGCAATAATATTACGATGTACGAAGTTTGGATCAAATCGGATACTCCCTTCGAGAGTTATCGTGTGCACCAGCCAGCCAGACAGACGAGCGGACGGACATCGCTAGTTCGACTCCAAATGTCCTGAAACGGATTTGGTCCAAAGAGCCCTAGGGTCTAAAAAACTATTATGCCGATTAGGCACGTTTTGGCCGTATCAAATGATATATACACTCTCTAGCCATATTGTTGAGGGTATAAAAACATACAAGTATAAGATCTTGGAGCTCTTTGTGTAGAAAACTTCCGAAGAAGGTAGTCTATGCATGCATGGAATCTTCCATGTTCAGAAGATTCCTTAAAGGTTTTCAAGACATAGGAGACTTTTTGAAGTATTCTAAGCATGAAAGACCACTTCAAGGTATCTTATGTATAGAAAACATAATAAAGGCCTCATACATAGAAAACATATTTAAGGTCTCCTGTGTACCGAATACTTCTTAACATTTTTTCACAGTGCAATAGTACTAGTAATAATTGTATTTTTATTGTTTCTCCTTTTTTTCCAGACAAATATCCAACAGCTTCTTAATAGAAGTGGTAACATAGTGACAGCTCAGCAGCAAGCCACAACGTCAAATCAAGCCAGCAGCAACAGCGGTAGTAATACTGGAACAGGTCAACTGCAAACCGTTATTATGGGCAATCAAATACTTCGGGTGCAACAAATGCCACAAATTGTTACGGCATCCGGAAATCGTCTAACAACGAATGTGATCAATAATAAGATCATAAATAGTAGTGAATCGGTGGGAGGAACTACAACAGCTACTTCCACTACAACAAATGCACCGAAGACTATACTCTTGGGTAGTGGTGGACAAACACTTCGATTGCAGCCAGCCACCTCAATGGGCCAGACAACGAGTAAAAATGTTATTATAAATACAAATCAACAGGTAGGTTGTGTCACTAAACATTTACCAAGGGAAAAGTAATCACAAGAATAATGTTCTTTTTCAGACCAGCACAGCATTAAAAACATCTGCAAGCGGTAGTACAGCAACAGCCACATCAAATCGCGTAGTCTTGGCTGTACAAGGCGGTGGCCAAATATTTCTATCGCCAAATAATCTAAATCTTAAAACTCTGCAGAATTTGAAAATGGTTTCACTGGCCCAAGCCAAAGACCAACAAAACAATTCAGGCAACATTCAAACACAGGCGAATATTTTGAAAATATCACCTTCATCTACATCTAATGATGCAAATGTTTAATTAAGTTGATTTACTTAAATATTTCCACTCCCATTTTTTGGAGCAACAAAAAGAACAAATAAAGCAACATGATTATATCACGTTGAAAGTAATTAATAATTACGCCAAGCGTAAAATGAAACATTGATTACGGCGGCTCCTAACCAAGGACCCCACCCCTTCCCCCTCTTTCTTACTCCCTTGTACATATGAAGAAATAAATATGTAATATACAATTAGCATTAATATTTGATTAATAATTAAATACCCATATATAGAACTAAAACGCTGGCTCACAACAACATTATATTCTACATCGTATTCGATTGAGAGAAATTCATCCATCAACACGTTAGCTTTGTAACATTCACCAAAACGGTTTATGCACTGCTCACAAAACATTATATACATACATCCATAAAACCGCCTCACCCACATTTTCATTTTTTCTAACTAATACTTAATGCTGAAATACAAACAATTTGTATTTGAAATGTTTGTTTAAATTATTATTATTATTAAAACATAATACAAATACACTTGAGTTAAATATAACAAAGCAGAATTCAATTTCTTACATAACTTAATTAGTATCAATAGTTTTTTTAGATTTAAACTATAATAATAAAAAATAAAATGGTAATACGTACCACAGGAAAATTGTCAAAAATAAACAAGAAATTGTTTTCATTTTTTAACTGGGACGCTAGATAATGGTTAGCAGCAATATGTATAAATAATGTTGCTATTGAGATATTTTTGGCGTCAAATGGATATGGAAACAAATGGCACCAACAAAATGTATGTGGTTGTTATTTATTGCATGAGTGTATATGTTTGGCAAATTTTGCACAATTAAATGACGGGTGTTGTTGTAGACTTATTTCGATTTGTAATGAGTATTTTTGCTGAATATACAGAATTTTTCATATCTTGAGACTCTCTTCCTACATCATATTTATTCTTCCTGAAACGACCGGCCGAAGAATTTTTATTCACCATATGGTAGTTTGGATGACTACCTTGAAAATACCCATGAGGATTGTGCATTGAAGGTATGCTGAATTACGGGACAAATATACTATACGTCTTCTCAAGTAGATGCTCGCTTTGATGCGGTTTTTATAGGCCCCAATATTTCTCCACGGCCTAAACTACATTTTTGGCGTCAAACACATACATATTTATTTATTCAATTCTTTCCGTATTTTACGTCGTGGTCTCTATATCTGGAGGTATTTCCATTTATCTTTTGTTGTAGAAGGCAGTCAGATTAGATTCCAATCTTATACATATGTCTGAAAATAGAGTGGCATGTCCCAATTTTCAATTTGTCGATGCATTATGATGTAATTAGTGATCGGAGTTCCGCTTCTCGACCCGAACATTATTTCCTCTCTACATTTCGGGGCACGTTTTTTTAATTTTTCTTGGGTTAGAGACGAGATTTCAATATAACATCTATGTCCGACACCAAGATCGTTATATTTTCGCTGTCCAGATGACTTCTTGACCCGTATTTTACGTCGTGGTCTCTATATTTGGAGGTATTTCCATTTACCTTGTGGTATAGAAGGCAGTCAGATTAGATTCCAATCTTACACATATGTCTGAAAATCATGCCCCAATTTACAATTTGCCTATGCATTATGATGTAATTAGTGATCGGAGTCCCGTTACTCGACCCGCACATTATTTCCTCTCTACATTTCGGGGCACGTTTTTTTAATTTTTCTTGGGTTAGAGACGAGATTTCAATGTAACATCTATGTCCGACACCAAGATCGTTATATTTTCGCTGTCCAGGTGACTTCTTGACCCGTATTTTACGTCGTGGTCTCTATATTTGGAGGTATTTCCATTTACCTTGTGGTATAGAAGGCAGTCAGATTAGATTTCAATCTTACACATATGTCTGAAAATCGAGTGGCATGTCCCAATTTACAATTTGTCTATGCATTATGATGTAATTAGTGATCGTAGTTCCGTTACTCGACCCGCACATTATTTCATCTCTTTATTTGGGGCATTTTTTTTTAATTTTTCTTGAATATACGTCCGACACCACGATCGTAACATTTTCGATGTCCAGAGGGTGCAAAATTGTAGAAATTTTTATTGCTTATTCCGGAATTCCACTTATGACTATCATTCAGAAATACAATTGGTAATTTTAATTTGCACAGAATGTGGTCTTTGGCGTCCCCTAACAGTGTGGCGCGATTGACAACATAAGATGGCTCTTGATAATTCAGCGTTACACACACATTTTTATAACACGACTTTTTTGGTGGATTCCATGACTAATGTGTGTAAGTTCGTAGTGCAACACAGTTGCTTCCTTGATTATGGGGTGGTTTAATGTCTCAAAAGTCTTCAGTATTATCGACAAATGGGGTAACAATGTGAGTTTCTACAGAGAGTTTTAGCCCTTTTGTTGGATGTACACTACTCTAGGCTCATCCAGCTGTTTCAACATTGGCGATTCCCTTCGGAGTCAACGCTCTGATGCTTTAACTCTTCAGAGAACAGTTGTAACATCATTCTCGTCAATAACACGACAAACTACGCTTCGCCCTGTTATCCTTTTTCCAATGTAACACAATAACTACTTATATATAGTTATATATAGGTTCGAACAAGACTATGTACTCATAAACTACAGAGAGAGCACGAAAAGGAGACTACGGCATTCTGTCAGTTTTTTTTTTTTTTTTTTTTTGGGGCAGGACATTATCTTTTAATGTGCAAAATGTGGAATAATCTGTCGATCCCAATGTTGATAGACTTAAAACATACAATCGTTGTTGGCATAGATATTTCCTTACCGCTCGCTTATTTCCTTCAAAGTACTGTGTTAGCCTTATTCATTTCATTAAAGCTTAAATCGAAACTAGTTCAAGCAAAATAGATCTGTACTGTACAAAATTTTGTAATTCTCCTTGAAATAGTTCTTTGTACTGCTGCGTCCCAAATACTCCTGCAACCTTACCTCCAAGTCCAATTGAATTTGAAAAAAGCAAAGGGTAATTAGGTTCAGCGACTAATGGGATAAAAAGCTACACTTGTCCTTGCTGCTCTGGAGGCTGCGGTGTTGTTCCACACTGTAACGAATCGGACGAATGTCCGTTATTACGAAGGTCCGTTGGAAACTACGTAATACGGTATAAACAGCGCATTGTTGATCTAGAGGATCTTTCTTATACCTCTGTACATCTCTCTTCATACCGGGTAATGAGTTTTTAACCAACAGAAAAACATTCACAAAAATATGTGTGATTGGGCTGTGCGATTCACTTGTTGATAACATAGGACTTAGGATATTTGCAATCATCTCACTCATCATAACTTAGTACCATTTCGGCGAGAGTAGATGTGAAACGTTATTATTGTTCACTTTATCTTTATTTTTGAAAAACAGTGAATATTAAACAAGTAAGCAAAGGCTATAGTCGTGCTGGGCCGACCATGTGATACCCTACAACACTGCAATATGTTGGAAGCCCCCTTATATCCAAATACATTTTGGAAGATTTCGCTTTTGAAATTATGTCACGAAGCACTGCCCAGATATTACCCTTAGCATTTTGACGAGGGACATTTTCCCAATATTTACGCACTCCGTCGTATTTTGCGATCATCTCCAAAAGCAAGAGGCCTCTCTGTATCTCCAAATTTAGACTCTTCTATACGATCTTCTTGTCTACGATATTTGGCTATATTCGTCAACGAAATCAGCAAAAAAGCAAAAGTTCGCATTTTGTGCATTTCGGCTATCGCCTGTAAGTAATGTTGGTACTTTTCAGACAAAGTAGTGGCACATTATACCCGCTGTCCTAAACTCTAACTTCATGCGAGATTTCGTGTCTTTTGGTTTCTATTTATGACCTTTATAACGGCTGCCAAATTAAGGAACATTATTAGTTGTTGGTCCATTTCAACCCCTAAATATATTGACATCTTTGAAAACAATAGGCCTAGCCCTTCTGAGCCTAACCCTATCCTTTTCGTGAGGATCGGACGATAATTGCAATCTGTATATAATATCCCAAACCTGTGTTGTAAGGTGAAAAAATATTACAAAATGTACACCTTAATATTATAAGTCAAATTGAAAAAGTCGCATGCGATAAAAAATATGAAAAAAAATGTCACAAAATACTACAATTCTATATTAACATCATTATTGATACCTTTTCATGCGATTTTTTTAGATTTTATACTTTTATGTCAAGAGGGCATTCTGAATTGACAAAATTTGTCAAAATCGGTCCAGCCATTCTTGAGATATAACATTCCATCTAACATTCCTTTCCTTTGTATATACACATTGTATATATTTCGCTATATATATCAGATATATTTACTATCGGCATCTACGTAACGGACAGAATTGACCTGAGAGACAGAGACAAATCTTACAACAACTTCACAGAGGACACTTATCAGCAGAACGCAGCAAAGCCATCGCCAGAAGTTATGTTTATTGGCCAAACATCGACAAACAAATTGAAGACTTTGTTCGGAAATGCAAAAATTGTCAACATGCAGCAAAAAGTCCAGTAAAAACAAATCTTTGCCCATGGCCATTAACTTCACACCCTCTTGAAAGGATACATATAGACTATGCTGGTCCAGAAAAAGGTAAATATTATCTTCTTATCATCGACTCGTATTCAAAATACCCTGTTATATACGAGACAACAACGACAACCACATATGCAACATTAAAAATGTTAAACGAATATTGTGCACTCTTCGGAAATCCTGAACAATTGGTCTCGGACAACGGAACACAGTTCTGTTCAGAACAATTTGAGAAGTGGTGCAGCAAAAAAGGCATTAAACACACAAGGACTGTTCGTTTTCATCCAAGTTCAAATGGACAAGCCGAGCGTTTCGTTGATACACTTAAACGTGCATTAAAAAAACTAGAAGGGGAAGAAACGCCTACGGAATCTCTCCAAACCTTCCTAGAAGTCTACAGATCCACACCAAATCCAAATGCACCAGAAGGTAAGTCTCCAGCAGAATCCTTCATCGGAAGAAAAATGAGAACGGTCTTCGACGTTCTAAGGAAGCAACAATCGCCTGAGTATAACGTCAATCACAAAATGGAACAGCAGTACAATACCAAACACGGTACCAAAAACAGAGAGTTTAGCAACGGAGAATTGGTCTATGCCAGAAACTTCAAAGGAAACAAAAGTTACTGGACAACAGGCGAAATAGTCGAGCGTAAAGGGAAAGTCATTTACAACACTCTAATCGACGTTGGGGACAGGAAAATTCTAGTACGAGCTCATACTGATCAACTTCGACATAGAGAATCGGTAGAGTCAAGCAGACAAGAACGACAAAAACTACCATTGGACGTACTACTTGAAGAATTCGAAATCGCTTTGCCTAACCATCAAGAACATTTTGCAACTCCAACAGGTTCACCAAACTGGACACCTCAAAGAATAACAAGTCGCAGACAACCAGTCGAACCTATTTCAAGATCACCTTCTCATCTTAAGGAGGGAGATGTTGGGGCAACCCACATTAACAATATGGCATCTCATGTTGCAACATCCTATACGGCAACGCCCATATAATAGGACGCCGTGCTACCGCCATTTTAGCTTGCTCAGTCTTGTTTTGTCTGTCACTCGAGTCTGACTCACTACATTGTAACTTCTTCATTCCTTTTAAATTAGTAGCTGTGAACGCTCATCATCCAATAAATCTTTACACCTTTAGTATTAACAAACATTGGCTTTTATTCTAAACCATAAAAGTACAACAAAAGTGGCGACGAGGATAGTGGAAATTGATCAATAATTGCACACACAACAATCCGCAAAAATGTCTCAAGACATAATTCTACAATTGTTAACAGAGCAACAAAAAGCAATGTCGCAACAAACGCAACTGCTAAAGCATATGGCTGATCTTCTTCAAGCACAAGGAGCACCAAATTCACCACACTCACCACAAACATCAAATTCATCCAAAGCAGCACTAATGGAATCACTAGCACAGTCAATGACAGCATTCGTATACGAGCCAGAGAGCGGTCTGATATTTCAAGCGTGGTACAACAGGTTTGTGCATGTTTTCGAAAAAGAAGCAAGCTCACTCGAAGAACATGACAAAGTGGCCTTGTTATGGAGAAAAATGTCGAACCAAGTACATGAAAGATTTGCCAACTACGTATTACCAGCAAAACCTGAAGACATGACTCTAAAGGATACAGTAGAGAAACTCAAGAAACTCTTTGGTAAAACTGAAACACAAGTCTCACAAAGATACAAATGCCTTCAGCTAGCAAAAGGCGACAGCGAAGATTTCAGAGAATACGCAAGCAGAGTAAACCTACAATGCGAACTATTCAAAATGAAAGAACTGAAAATCGACCAATTCAAATGTCTCATTTTCGTCTTAGGACTCAAGTCAGCAAAGGACAACGACATAAGACTTCGCTTACTAAAGGTACTGGATGATGAAAACACTACAATGAACCTAGATCAACTAGTAGACGAAACACAACGAATTCTAGATCTCAAATCGGACAACATTCTCATTGAACATCAATCAAAAATCGTCTGTTCACTCAACAAGCACGCAAAAGACTTTAAGAAGCACAAAACACCCAATTCACCCTGTTGGTATTGCGGAGACCTTCACTACGTCAAATTTTGTCCTTTCCAGAAACATAAATGCACAACATGCAATCAAGTGGGTCATAAAAATAACTTTTGCAACATCGCTAAGACTGGTAAGAATTTCAAATCATCGTCTGAAAACAACCAGAACGAATTCAAGAAATACAGCAATTCAAGGAAATCATTCAAAACTAAGGCAGTTTTCAAAACACACAACATTAATTTCCGCGACTTAAGGAAATACACAACTGTCCTAATTAACAACAATCCTGTAAAACTTCAAATTGATACTGCATCAGACATATCAATTGTATCTATCAACACATGGAAAGCTATAGGTAAGCCTGAAGCCTACGAAACTTTTGACAACGCTAGCGACGCAAACGCAAACTCAATCAAGCTCCTAGCAGAATTTCAATGTGACGTCACAATCGACAAAACATCAAAAACATTAAAATGTTATATAACAGATATAGAAAAACTCAATATCATGGGAATCGATTGGATTCAAGCATTCAATCTATGGCAGAAACCAATAACCTCATGGTGTCATCAAATAAACTTCGTTGATGAAATAGCAGAATTGAAAACGAATTATCAATCAGTTTTTGATAACAGTACCCCAGGTCTGTGCAAAACAAAAGTCAACAATCACGAAAAACCAGCAGATGACTTTATAGTGGCTTCAATATCATTCGAAGAAGACATACGTAACGAGATAAATGAAACTATGTCAGTTCTCCCAGTATCATTTAAAATGATCGTCGATGCAACAACAAAAGACACGGATTTACAAATGGTCCTCAAATACATTCAAACAGAATGGCCAGAAAGCAAGAAAAATATTAACCCATCAATTATTCAATTTTTCAACCGCAAGGAAAATCTTTCAACCTTCGATGGTTGTGTTCTCTTCAATAATCGTATAGTAATCCCTAAATCATATCAGAGACAAATCTTACAACAACTTCACAGAGGACACTTATCAGCAGAACGCAGCAAAGCCATCGCCAGAAGTTATGTTTATTGGCCAAACATCGACAAACAAATTGAAGACTTTGTTCGGAAATGCAAAAATTGTCAACATGCAGCAAAAAGTCCAGTAAAAACAAATCTTTGCCCATGGCCATTAACTTCACACCCTCTTGAAAGGATACATATAGACTATGCTGGTCCAGAAAAAGGTAAATATTATCTTCTTATCATCGACTCGTATTCAAAATACCCTGTTATATACGAGACAACAACGACAACCACATATGCAACATTAAAAATGTTAAACGAATATTGTGCACTCTTCGGAAATCCTGAACAATTGGTCTCGGACAACGGAACACAGTTCTGTTCAGAACAATTTGAGAAGTGGTGCAGCAAAAAAGGCATTAAACACACAAGGACTGTTCGTTTTCATCCAAGTTCAAATGGACAAGCCGAGCGTTTCGTTGATACACTTAAACGTGCATTAAAAAAACTAGAAGGGGAAGAAACGCCTACGGAATCTCTCCAAACCTTCCTAGAAGTCTACAGATCCACACCAAATCCAAATGCACCAGAAGGTAAGTCTCCAGCAGAATCCTTCATCGGAAGAAAAATGAGAACGGTCTTCGACGTTCTAAGGAAGCAACAATCGCCTGAGTATAACGTCAATCACAAAATGGAACAGCAGTACAATACCAAACACGGTACCAAAAACAGAGAGTTTAGCAACGGAGAATTGGTCTATGCCAGAAACTTCAAAGGAAACAAAAGTTACTGGACAACAGGCGAAATAGTCGAGCGTAAAGGGAAAGTCATTTACAACACTCTAATCGACGTTGGGGACAGGAAAATTCTAGTACGAGCTCATACTGATCAACTTCGACATAGAGAATCGGTAGAGTCAAGCAGACAAGAACGACAAAAACTACCATTGGACGTACTACTTGAAGAATTCGAAATCGCTTTGCCTAACCATCAAGAACATTTTGCAACTCCAACAGGTTCACCAAACTGGACACCTCAAAGAATAACAAGTCGCAGACAACCAGTCGAACCTATTTCAAGATCACCTTCTCATCTTAAGGAGGGAGATGTTGGGGCAACCCACATTAACAATATGGCATCTCATGTTGCAACATCCTATACGGCAACGCCCATATAATAGGACGCCGTGCTACCGCCATTTTAGCTTGCTCAGTCTTGTTTTGTCTGTCACTCGAGTCTGACTCACTACATTGTAACTTCTTCATTCCTTTTAAATTAGTAGCTGTGAACGCTCATCATCCAATAAATCTTTACACCTTTAGTATTAACAAACATTGGCTTTTATTCTAAACCATAAAAGTACAACAGGAACATTATTAGTTGTTGGTCCATTTCAACCCCTAAATATATTGCGGACATCTTTGAAAACAATAGGCCTAGCCCTTCTGAGCCTAACCCTATCCTTTTCGTGAGGATCGGACGATAATTGCAATCTGTATATAATATCCCAAACCTGTGTTGTAAGGTGAAAAAATATTACAAAATGTACACCTTAATATTATAAGTCAAATTGAAAAAGTCGCATGCGATAAAAAATATGAAAAAAAAAAATGTCACAAAATACTACAATTCTATATTAACATCATTATTGATACCTTTTCATGCGATTTTTTTAGATTTTATACTTTTATGTCAAGAGGGCATTCTGAATTGACAAAATTTGTCAAAATCGGTCCAGCCATTCTTGAGATATAAGCATTCCATCTAACATTCCTTTCCTTTGTATATACACATTGTATATATTTCGCTATATATATCAGATATATTTACTATCGGCATCTACGTAACGGACAGAATTGACCTGTTCGTCTATTTATGATTTCGCCGGGACTAAAAATATTCGCGGTTTAATGAAAATTTGACTTTTATATAACACAAATATTATAGTATTTTTCACCCACTAAATATTACCCGATTGGAAGGCTTCTGGCCAGCCCGAAACTCTAGCCCCATGCTAATTTCCGCATCGATTGGTCCATAATTGCGACCTGTAGAGCAACTGCAAAATCAGGATTTTTTTCAGTTTTTGGTCCATTTCGACCCCTAAAAATTCTGACTTTTACCCCACCTACATTTTCAATTTCGTGAGAATCGGGCCATAATTGCGACCTGTAGAATGATTACAAATTAACATGGACAGACGGACAGACGGACGGACATACATAGCTAGATCGACTCAGCTCGGCGAGATAGGAAGATCCATATATACTTTCCTATGTGGGAAAACAATATTTCGAGGTGTTACATAATTTTTGGCCCAATCAAACTTATAATATCCCCAACACATAGTGTTGTAGGGTATAAAAATTAAGTTTTGTTGTGAATTTCAAGTATTTCGAGCTATGTGGATATTTAATTTAACATATATTATTTTTTATTAAAAAAATGGATCTCCGGACTAAGTTCCGCATTTATATAAATTATATTAAATATGCAAAAATTATACTATATTTTAACACAAATTCGACTCACCTCTTGCGCTTGCACTCTACTGGATAATTCCGCAGAAATACGTTCCAAAGAGTTATTTCTTACTTGACATGGTTTTCCGAATTTGCTTGGTTGTCCTAATATTGGATATTGCCATAATTAGGTGAAAGGGTAACAGCTCACAAGTATAGTGAATGTTTTGATACCAAAACCATCATCGATGGTGACACCAACTAAAAAACCAAGCTAATTAATCCAGCATTTGAATGCAGGCTTTATTAAACTTTAGTGAATTCCCAATTCCATGATTCGTTCTCCTTCAGATCTGCCGATTTATTTTTCATTGTGATGTCTCTTGGTGGGTAAACAAAGATTAAAACACGCATTTTATATGTCTTGTTTTATTATTTCTAAATGATTCTGGTGTCGCTTTGTTATGGGGGTGTTTTGTTTTTATTCGCTTATTTTGTTTTTCGTGAATTCCTTTAATATTATTTTAATTTTTCCATTTTATTCGGTCTTTAAAATAATTTATAAGTGTATTTCTTTTGGATGTGTGTGTGTGATATCAGTGTTATGTTTATATATTGTTATTGTTGCATTTCATGTATATTTATATATATAACTTATTTTCTTAAGAGGTGAACTAAATCATTTGTTAATAGCTTCAGTGTTAATATTTTATTATTATTATAATTTCTTCATCCCTTTTGAAGGACACATCGCTTTACTATTTTGGATTTATGTTGTTGGTTGTTCCTGGGTATATTATGTTTAGTTTATGATTTAAAGTTTCTTTTTTGTTTGTTTTTAGTTTTGCTTAAAACACGAGATTAAATTAATATTATTTTAAAGAGATTTTTCTCTTCTTTTGTTTTTTGTTTTTCTTCTCTTTTTTAATGTGTAATCAAAGGTAATCATATATAAACAAAAATATATATATTTATAAATATAGGTATACATTAAAGATATCACTACTGCTATATGAAACAGAGATTAGCTTCTAAAAAAGGTCAACTTAAAAAAAACTGTTGGTTATTTTAATATAAGTAAAATCAGTTATGTTACTTATTTTATGAATATGTTTAATTTTTGTGTGTGTGTTAAATGATTGATGATAGATCGGTGTAATGATAAAAAAGATCGATTGGGTTAAGGGTGAATTGTGAAAAATACTATGAAATGATACATACCTTTTCAGAGGTACATTTTTTGAATTGTTTCATTTAAATCGCTTTTAATTGAAATATTTCTTAGATTTTCAATTATTGGCTACCTTAATGATTGTTTGCAGAGTAAATTTGGCTTGATATTGAAATATTTTTTAAACAAAATATGCGATAACGATATTTTGTAAAACGCCAAGAGAAAATCTAAAAGCATTCAAGAATCTAAACAAGAATGAATTTCATTAAAACTGAAAAAAAAATCTAACAAAAACATTTTTGTGTCTTAAAGTTGTTGGAATTTCAGAAAGGGGATTTCCAAAGTTAACAAATTGTTGGAAGTTCGGCAAGATAGTCTTCTGGAAACATCTTCATGTACATGTTGTACTTAATCATTGTTCCCGTGTATTCTCTTATCCCAAAGTAAAATGTTTGCTTGAGCCACCTTTTTGTTTCATAACACTTGGCTGCAAACTTTGGAAAAGAAAGTTCTAAATGGCTCCTGCAATATATCTAAAAAATATTTGATAAAAGCATATCTGATTATGGGTCTGTTCGCTAAAAATATTTAATTGAAAATATTTTCAAATATACAATCACACTTCTTTTATCAAATCTCAAAACAATTTCAAAAGTAATTATTATCAATTTTCGAATTCTATTTGAAATTCTTCAAAAAACGTTTTCTCTGAAAAGGCAATTAGTGACGCCAAACTGAAAAATTAAGTTAGAAAAATAAGGCCTTTATAGAACAAAAGGAAGAGGGAATCTAAAATGAAAAATAACTATATACTGAATGCAGAGATTAAACGAAATTATTCAAACAAAAATTATTTTAAATTAGAATAAGATTTTAATACACATTTAATATAACTTAAAAATTTGATTCCAACAACCAATAAGTAATAAATTCAATTTGCTCTGGGAATTTAGGTACATTGAAAAACGTGTTTACACTTTTCTAGTTTTTCTTATTAGATGCAACTTAATGTCTAACCAATTAACATTTGATTTTTCGTTTAAAAAAAACATGTGTAGATCAAATCATAAGACCTTTCAGATATTCCCTCTAAAATGAAGGATGTACAATTTAAGAGGATTGGCATAATTCTAATCAAATTTGTAAATCTAAACAAATGTTTAAATCGAATCGTTTAATCTCTTCACCCTTGCCTACGAATCTTGTTTTTTATATCAGAAAAATACATATATATAAAAATAATCACATATTAATGGGAACTTTTTTGTGTGGAAGGAATTACTTTTTCTCTTTTTTTGGGAAACAGGAAAACAACATGAAATTGTAATGAATAATAATAGAAATCAAAACTGAAAACTTATAAAAATTAATATTTTCTCGTTCTCCTTAAAAAGTCAATAAACTGTTCCCTAGTCTAAAATAGTGTTACTTATTTAATGGTTTTTCTCCGGACAGCAGAGAATTACTTTCTAATTAATCAATTTCATAAACTTCATTTGGATCAAAACCAACAGATGGTGCTGGATTTGTTGTTGCGGGTTGTGCCACGGCAGTGGCAGGGCCACCAACAACCACTGCACCATTAGCTGCTGCAGGTGGTGCTGTTCCTGCTTGATAATAACCTGCTGCCAAGGGATTTTGATTAACATACAACAATGGATTCATATACATGCCACTGGGATGTGCCAGAGTTGCATGTATTGCCAACAAATCTTTATACATTGTGGGATCACCATTGTTCATTTGACTATAGAGTAGATTCAAGTAGGTCGGTACTGCCTGTATCACTTGATTTTGTGTCATTTCCGGATGATCCTTGGATATCTTTAAATTGAGTAACTGTAACAGAACATCTGAACGAAAACCAAAGATCTTATTCGATGTAACACTGCCCGAACTGTTACCAAATTGACCATATGCTGTTCTATCGTATGACATGTATTGAGCGGTCTGTATGGTACGTGTCTTTTCAGCTTCATATTCTGACCATGCTGCCTTGCGCTCCTCAGCACTTAGGTTTTCACTTTCCTCATTCTCTAACAAAGAATCGTGTTCGTGATATTTAAACAATAGACTTTCATGTTGTGTCAATAGTTCAGCAAATAGTCGATCTTTAGGCAATATTGGTATCTCACGGGGAGTACTTGGTTTTAATTCATACGTATAGAGTTCTTGTAGATCAGATTGATTATAATGACGTGATATTTGTTGTTCATCAATAACACGTTTGGCGGTGGCCTGTTTCGCCACTTGACGTTCGTAGAGTTTCTGTTCCATGGTACCCATTGCAATCAATCGATAGATATAACATGGTTTGTCCTGACCAAAACGATAAACACGGAAAATACTTTGGGTATCATGGGATGGATTCCAAGACACATCAAAAATAACTACACGATTAGCGGATACTAAGTTGATACCAAGACCACCGGCTCGTGTTGAGATTAGGAAGAGGCGTGCTCGTAGATTGGTACTATCATTGAATTTCTTACACATTGATTCACGATTTTCCACCGAACATGATCCATCCAAACGGAAATAATCTGTACCTGGGGTCCAAAAGCCACGGAATTCTCCAACGTCACCTGAAACAAAATGAAATTGACAAATAAGTTAAAAAGAAAATAAAATTATCAAAACAACAGGAATGATAGAAACAACAAAAATTCCTGGGAGAATATTTTTATTATTTGGACTTTAATGATTGCTTAAGGGAGAGCAATCCATCACTCGCGGGATTATGGCTTATGTTTCTGAGACACAATGGACATAGAAAAGGTCTGAGACCATAGAAACCCCAATTGATTTCTTTAATTTATTAACGGAGTTCCTTCCACAATTTAGTTTTTTTAATTTTTTGAGTTATTTTCCCGATTGTGGGTCAGTGTCCCTTTCGGTTAGGTATACGCCATGCGTTTGAAAAAATAATTCTTTAAAATACATTAAAATTAAGGTTGAATTTGAGACTAATAATCTGTGGGCTGTTGCATTTGAAAATCTTCTCATACAGAGTTCTCGTATTCCACGGAACAATACCTATCAACTATATTAAATATATCCGGACTTTGTCTCTTAACATAAAATTTAATACAAAATCTTACCCTCATACTCGTAACCTCGTGTTTTACTATCGACCAACGACAGAAAATGTTCAATTGTATCCAAACTTTGAAGGGATTGTGAAAATACCAATAATTTATCGCCAATAGCTTCACACTGTTCCAATAGACGCATTAGCAATACCAACTTTGGGGAATGATTTATATTATTTAGCTCCTTGTCGGCAACAAAACGTTTCCACCATTCAGATGGATCATCCTGTGGCGGTGGCGCAACCTCTTCAATATCACTATCAATATCTTCACCCGCTTCTTTGGCAAGGCGACGATTGTTGCGAGTCCTGGTAACTTTTCCAGATCCGGTTGCTGGCCCAACGCCACCACTGCCAAACGATTTAATTGAGTTCTCATCTGAGCTATCAGATGTTGAGGCAGCCTCTTCTTCGTTGTCATCATCACATATGAAATCGTCTATAGATTCATTTTCATCTGCCACTGCTCGTTTTCGTATTACAGAGTCACTGTTTATGCGCATATTCATGGGATGAGTCCATATGCGTCGCAGTTCTTGGAAATCTTGAAACAACTTGGCGCCTTTACCTTCTACATTTGTGCTTTGATCTCGCTGATGTACCATGTAGTGTTCGTAGAGCAACTGTTGCAAATCTGAGAGTGTGGTATACACCACGTATTCATGTTTAGGTGGCAAATACGGCGCCAGCACCGAATAATCACGTCGTTGAATACAACCCTCAAGCAGTTTGTGTAAGATATGAGAACGATGTTTCATTAGACGTATGTCCCGATCTGTTGAGTCAGTATACTGTCCATTCGAAATGGGATTTACAAAACGATTTAGATATTCCTTGTACGTGCCCAAAAGGTTTGGTTTGATAAATTGGATCATGCAATAGTCTGAAAAGAATATATAACTGTTATAAGCCTGGGCTTAAGAAAAGCTAATTTTACTTACATTCTTTGAGATTATTCTGCAAAGGCGTACCGGTCAGGACAATACGCCTCTTTGTGCGCATGCGTGTCACTGCCTTGCTAATCGAGGTCTTTTCGTTCTTCAATAAATGCCCCTCATCACAAACAACCATATCAGGTCCGGGATCCACCAGTGATTGCAGCAACTGCTCCCGTTGCTTTTTGCGCAGACCTTTGGCTTTTTCATTTGACAATATGCGATACATATCATAGCCCATGATACAGACACCACCTTCTTCAAACCATTCATTTAATTTGAAAATTCGCGTTGCTTTGTCTTTATATTTGGACATGTCGTAGATCTCAATGTTGCGTTTCTTTGTAAAGCCAATCCACTGTTTAAATTCCCTAAAATTGTAAATATTAGAAAAAGAATTTGTTAGTGGCTGCACAATACTTAATGCCATAAAATGTTGAATATTAAACTAATTAATACCTTACCTAGCCCAGTTATTGAGTGTACTAAGGGGTGAAATGATCAAAACTCTCTCAACATTGGTTTTGTTGGAATTGGCCAGCAAAGTGTGTGATAGCGTACAAATTTGCATAGTTTTCCCCAGACCCATACAGTGCGCCAATATACAACCAGAACCTGGTTTTTCTTGGGCATCTTTAACAGTTTCAAAGCAGGCATCCCACATGAATTTGACACCTGTTACTTGATGAGGTTTGAGTTTCTTCACCAACCCTTTGTCAACCTCCAGAATTGCCTTTTGGGTATCCGGATCAAAGTCAAGCACAAGTTCGGTAACTTCAGCACTTTCAGGCTTTTCATAGATTTGATTGTAAATCTTTTGGCGTTCTTCTATACGTTTGCGGCGCTCTTCTTCCTCCTTTGCCGCTTCTTTTGTGCTTAGATTTAGGTCATCGCTCTTAATAATTTTTCGTATATCTTTACGTTTTACATTTTTCTTTTTTCCATCCTCATCGTCGTCTGAATCCCCGCTTGAATTGCGCTGAATGCGACGCTTTTTCTTCTTATCTTTACGTTTGGGCTCGAAGTCCGAATCTGAGGCATTTGATTCTTCATTTTTGCTTTTTTGGAAAACTCTACGTTTACGTGTTGGTATAACTTCACTATCACTACTTTTTTGGCTCTGGTTATCGTCATCATCGTCTAAGTCATGGCCATCGTAATCATGGTCGGCTAAACGCTCATCAATATTGCCAGATCTTTTGTAACTAACATCAGAATCTTCGTCTGATATGATATTTCTTCGGCGGGCAGATGATGTTGAGGGCTTTTCGGAACGTGATCCACCACCATTCATTTTACGTTTCGATGTACTCTTAAGATCCTTGAAATCAGAAAGCTTGCAACGTTTCAAACGTACCACACAGCGCCTTACCGAGGAGGGAGGTGGTGGCGGTGCTGTGTTTTCTTTTGGCCTGGATTTTTCTTTTTTATTTGCCTTTTTAATGGATGTTGATTTTTTAACAGGTTCCTCCTCTTCTTCAGTATCCGAATCTTTACTTTTCTGTGACGCCTTTCTTTTAGAACCCGCTGAAACTGAATCTGATGAACGTTTTCTTTTAGATTTATTTGTCCGCTTGCTGTCGTCTTCAGATTCGGAACTATCTTTGGATGCTAAGGTCTTCTTAACCTTTTCGGCACTAGTTTTTCCCTTATCGCTAGAAGGTGTTTTTTTGTTCGACTTCAATTCCTCTTCAGAAGGCTTTTCTTCTTCCGATTCTGAAGATGAAGATTTTTTGGATTTTTTATTCGTTTTACTTTTAGTGCTTCTTGCGCGGCTGGATGATTCTTTCTCCGAATCTAAATTTTCCTCGTCAGAATCAGTAGCTTTTTTTGTATTTTTCTTTTTTAAAGCCTCGGATTTTTTACTCTTCTTATTGCTTTCCGATTCTGAAGATGAAATCACCAATTCAGACTCTTCTTCGCTGTCTGATAATTCAATAAATGATATGGGTTTTGCCCTTCTTTGTGACGAACGCCTACTTGTTTCCTTGGGCGAATCCTTTTTCTTATCCTTGTTGGTTTTGTTTAAAGGAATGACTGATTCTGCGGTTGATTTTGTTGGAGGCCTTTCAAGCAATTTTTCTAGAGGTACAATGCGTAATTTAAATTCTGTTGTATTATTGGAGGCAATGCGGAATTGTGTTTCTGTAGAATCTGTTTTAGCGGAATCCTTGTCATCCGTCGACTTTATGTCGTTTGTGCTGTTATCTTTTTTTGTAGCTGAGGTACTGGAGGTGGATGATTTATTGGTATTTGAATTTGTACTGGTATGGCTATCATTTGAATTCTCATCCTCCAATACCTCGTCTTTTGCTAAATCCTTCCGCACCTTTAAAGTCAGGCTGACCTGTGGCGTTGTTTCCGCGCCTATTGAGTTCTCCTTGTCGTTTATAGATTTGTCTCCGTCATTTTGTTCACTTAGACAAATAGGTTTTGTATCTTTTTTGCCTTTGCCCATTTAAATTACTGTCGTATGGAAATATCCAGATTTGATAAAATTAAAAATAAAAATCAGTCAGTTTAAAAAATAGCAACTGTAAAGGAAAGGGAAGGAAAAAAGAATACTTGTTAGTTAATTTTGTGTGTTGGGTGGAATAAAAGCAAAATATGTTAAAAATAGTTAGGTTTTATTGGTGCAGAAAAGAATTGTTATACAAAAGAGATAAGCTAAGGATATTCAAAGCCCATAGGACAAAACCTAAGCTGACTTCCACAACATCATTGGCCATATGTATAAAAATGTGCAAAGAATTAAGTGTCGCGCTGGAATATTTTTTAACGTTGTGTACAATCTAAATGTGCATTGTTTTGCCTAACGATGCTTTGGAGTGAGTCTTGCATTAGTTAGCAATTCATATGTTCATGTACAACACGTTCTATGGGTAATAAACTTTTGATTTAAGAAAAGTTTTTGTCCGTGTATCCAACTTATATATATCTTCATTAAAAAAAAAGTACGAAATACCCCGACAATGCTTTTAATTTTTCCGGCTTTTACATGATATAAAGAAAGAAACCCTAACTATAGTCCGAAGGCCGTATATTTAAAAGGAATATTTCGAAGACTATACATCAACAAGTATGGACTTGCCATATATAGTTGAAATTAACGCTCCATTTATTATTTTTGGTAAACACCGGAACGGTCTAAGCCCAGCCATCAACTCAAATTACTTTGCATTACAATAGGGTTCCTTATTGAAATGGTCTAAAATATGAATAGAAGAAATTTACAGCAATTTAAAAATATGTTTTTTTTAATTTTCTAATTGCAAAACCATATCATAAAAGGATGTCTCATCTCTGCGTTTTCGTTAACTTTAACGTTGTTACTACATCTTGTTGTAAGTGCTTACATGTCTATAATGCACAGTGCAAACTTCAGCATGCCCAACAACACCATAATTAAGTACCCCGGTAACATTTATATACAAATCCGTTCTCACCTTGTTTGAAAGAAAAGCTTCTCTGCCCTCACTTCCAATTACATACGCCGTGATTTCCTTAGTCTAGATTATTTATCGATTCATTTGATGCAGATCAGCTTCTCCGTGTTAAAAAGACAGCAGCGTCTGCACATTCAATGATTTTTACATGAAGAAAAACGACCAAATTTCTTTCATCTAATAGGTCTGAATTAGCAGTGCTTTTTGTGCTATTTTTGAGAAATTCTTTCGATGTCTACAGCAATTAGTACACCCTTTTTTGCAAACATGTGCACTGTAAAATCTTCCTGATATTTTGATTGTTGTTGATGCGGCAGATTTTCTTGCGAATTTTGTTTATAAAACTAATAACTTTTGCAAATGTTTGATGAAAATATCGCAAGAACGCCGCAAAAACCACAGGCTTCAGGTATAGAGAGTTGTTAAGGTGTGTTCAGTAATCACAGGGTTGTATACCATGTCAAACAGCAGTGCTCAGATGATGAGATGTGTTTAATTGTCAATGCATTTGATTTCATTGACAAACATTTCTTGGCGGTTAAAATATTGGTGATAAATGTTGCATTCCAGATCGAAAAATTTTCAACTTCTTTTGCTTATATATTTTTTTTTTGCAAAAAAACTACTCCCATATCCCAATAAATTGCACAATTTTTATTTCACTTTAAACAAAATACCTCTCTTTTTTATACAACTGTTTGTTCTCTTTAGAACGTTTTTACACCACGAGTTTGAGATTTTTTAACATAGAATTTGACATTTAATTCATCTCAATTTCACGTGATATCAGATGTTTCAAATGAAACAAAAAACACTATATTTTAAGCCGTCTTCAATTCTCATATTGAAATTCACAATAAATTTTACGTATGTTGTCCATAGTTCAGGGATCAGAAAAGGAACAGACATGGTAGAATGAAGTAGGTAAAGTCATGCAATTTTTTTAAAGTTATTTAATTGATAACATCTCATTACATTCATAAATTCATTGTACATACACAAATCAGAGATGGGAACCTGCTTTCCATGCAGTAAAATTTGAAAAGCAAAATTACAGAAAATGCAAAAATGGGAATGCTTATTTGAAATGACTTTACGTTCTTAATTTTACCATGGGAACAGATCAATTTTTAACAAGTCCACCAAGAATATTTAATAACTATTCAGTTGTAAAACAGTACTTTAGTTAAATAAAAAGTACGCTTGTTAAAAAATAAGAAAAAATTCAAGCCTACAAAACAATTTTACTCATGAGCACCAAAGAGAGACTAGAAAACCCTTAGAAGAAATCCCAAAATGTAAAACATTGTTGTGACGCCTATCACCCATGCTTCTTCGCGTTATTCTTTATTTTCACCACACTCACTTCTAAATTGTGTTTTGAACGAGTTTTAAAATGAGTAATTCCTTTGTCTAATTCTGAGAGCGTGATTGAAATTGCAATGAGAACATAGCATAAGTCGAACAATCGATAGTCGATTACTCAGTTTTCACCTAAGTCCATAGTCGATTATTCGGAAGTCGACTTACCTATCCCTAGAGTAGAATTATTAAAATTATTTTAAAAATATCTAAAATGGCTTCATCATCAAATGTAAATGGCAATTTAATGGATGAATTTGAAGAGGCTTTTCAAAATTGCCTCCTTTCACTAACCAAGTTGGAGGCCAACACTGGCACAAACGAGGAAGAAGTTGAATTGGAAGTGCAAAAAACTACGAATCGTTTCATCGATGTTGCCAGGCAAATGGAAGCATTCTTTTTGCAAAAACGTTTCTTGGTGTCGACATTAAAGCCGGATCAGTTGATCAAAGATGAGAATCAATATCTACGCATTGAAATACAACGCAAGGAAGCTTTGCTGAATAAACACTATAGTCGATTGGAAGAATGGAAGAGTTGCTTGTCAGATATCCAACAAAATCCTGCCGCATTAAATCGTCCAGTAGGTCCAGGTGCTGGTGGCTTAGATTCCAGTGCGGGGGGACTAGCTGGACCAACGGGGGCATCAACAGCGGCGGCGGCAGCAGCCGTAATGGGTATGGGTGGACCACAACAACAACAGCAACGTATGATGCCCAATATGCCTGGTGGTACAATGCCTGGCCAAATGGGTCAAATGACGCAGGGTGGAGCGCAACAACATTTGCAAAATCAAAAAATGTTACAGGCCCAACAAATGCAACAGCTGCGCATGATGGGGAAATTGCCAAAATAGTGTAAACTCTCTTTCATAATCTAATTCTAATTTAAAATTAAATATAGTTAAGGGTCTAATTATTTTGAAAAGAAAAAACATTGTTTTGGAAAAATTTTGTTGTTGCAAAATGTCCATGGTTATCACATTATTTTTGTTTTTATAAAAACAACGTTTGTTTATTAGTGGAGAACGATGGCAATGTTTACCAGGGGGTAAGGCAGGGAATACCTAGGTTTCGGAAGGAGCCACCAATCCTCATCAGTTCTCTTCTTTTTTTTGTCTGGGATATTCTCCCCAGAAGTTAATTTAAAAATAACTCCCATGAAACTATGGCATGGAGGACATGTGCTATTAAAGAGAGTCCCTGTATGAACATTTGTAAAGTAAACTCGCTTATCGTTCGTAAAAATCCTTGCATTTGGTTTCAGTTTCCTTCAGCTGAAATGAATGTGAATTCAGGTGACAAACATGTCCCTTGACTGAGCACTTGAAAATCAATTTTTTTTTTATGTGGGCTTATTTTTTCACAACACAAAGAAAGTACAGCTTTCGAGCTTCTAGAATAACCTTTGTTTTATTTCGAAATATCGTTTCAAACATATGGAAAATACTTTTCATTTTCTAATACATGCAGTTAAGCTTAAGAAGACAAATGATAAGTAAATATTCTTAAATTGAAACTGCAAATTAATCTATATATATATCCTTAATGTTATATAACTTATACATATATACACTTTATGACCATATAGTGTAATGATGATTGAATAAAAAATTACTACGAGGCGGCTTTTGCATGTTTTCGCATGTGAAGATTGAGCCTGAATTTGAGCTGATATTCTTTATGGCATATATCGCAGCTAAATTTTGTCGCCGTGGGCGATTTGTCTTGCTCCTCGTTTTGATGTTGTTTACAATGTGCTAGCAATTGTTCTATTGTGGCAAATTTATTTGGACATTTTGCACAAGCAAATGGTAGATGTTCATCATTATTGTTGTTATTACTTTGCTGGTCGAAAGCCGAATCATTTGCCTCCATCCCTGATTCATTAAATGATGAACTGTTCTCCAAACTATCTTGTGATTCATTTCTTGTCATCGACTCAGATTGACTATAATCTTCATTGTTGTAGCTTTCGCAGTCTTCATCTTGCGGGGCATCGCTGTATTTGGACAATTCTGCATGTGTCGGTTCCTCCAGTTCATGTTCTACCCCGCCATTGTCGTCCACATCTTCATTACTCTGATCATATTGCGAGTTGTCATTTAGCTGGTTTCCACTATTCTCATCTCCATAGTCTTCAAAAGTTGTAACATTATTTTCTTCTTCTTCAGCTTTTTCTTGTTTAATAACAGGCATTGTTTGTTGTTGATATCTATGTTGTTGCTTTACATGGTCTATTAAGTCACTTTGTTCGTCAAACTTTTCATCACAATGAGCACATAATAATTCGACATGAATAATTTCATCATCATCATCATACTCGACATCGTTGGGATCATAGGTTTCCGGATCTTGTGCATTATCATCTTCCTGGGCATGTACTTGCCATATATGAGTTTCTTTTTCTTCATTTGTTTGGAAGGCTGGAATTAAAAATGAATGATTATTTATTTGCTTTAAAATGGAGCATGAATACTTACATTCTTTGCAATATTCACAGGAAAATTTGTGCAGGATTTCATGTTGGCGTAAATGGCTTTTCATTTTCTTTGCCAATATAGCTGCAGAAGTAAATGGAAAATTTATTTAAGTATTAACACATGTTGGACACAGTATAGTCATGCATTCTCACCTTTTCCACAAACTTTACAATTGATTTTGCTATGCTGGGCTCTCCTGTGTTCCTTGAGGGCAGCACGAGAATTGCAAACAAATCCACATTGAGTACATTTGACATGTTTGTTAAGATTGTGCCATTTAAGGTGAAATTTAAAGCGGGATGTTGTTGAGTTTTTAAAGACTTTACCACAAATATGGCATTCGATGTCGCGAATTTCATGTACACGTTGTAAGTGTTGTTTGTGTTCATCCTGATTGGGGGACAAATGTTGGCATAGTTCACATTCGACGGATGGAATAGCAGGCTCTTGAGCTACCAATGCTGATTCTGGCTCATAGGTTTGTGGATACACCAAGGGAGCTGTTTCGCCACCTTCATCTGGTGTCTCTTTCTCGGAATGAAGTTGTTTAATGTTTTCACATGGAACATTGGCTTCTTCGATCAACTCCTCTTTAATTGGTACATGGGGAACTTTAAATGGTGTCACATTATCGTCATATTCACCATCACTAATATCATCCACATAGATGAAGTTATATTCAGGCGCTTCGTCAGCCGGATCCATAACTTCAGTCTTTATTTTAATATCTGCCAGATTTTTCTCACGCATATTGTAGAATATACGCAATTGTTCTTGGGTCTCAGTACAGGCTGTGCGGAATTTAAATATTTTAAGGAATTCATGTATACATGTATTGCACATATATTGCGGCAAACCATCATGTTCACTTATCTGTAAAGATTGCAGTTTTACTTAAAATTCAGAAGTACATGGTACAAGACAACGGTACTCACCTCTATTTTCCATTGGGCAAGTTCGAAGCGTATTTGCATCATTTCAGGATAGTCTAAAGCCGATTGAAAAAGTGGCTGCAAATAGTTGGTTGTGGTCATATAATAAACGCCACACGTTCGGCATGCCTCGATAGCATCAATCCCCTCACTTTCCACGTCCATTTTCAAGCAAATGTTGCTATTTTTTTTTTCTTTGATATTATATTGATGAGCACTCCTTGTTACTCAGCTTGACTTCATTTGGGAAAACGCTTTGAATAATTATGTATGTTTTGTGCATCAGAGTTGCCACACTTCGTTTTGAATGCTCTAACAAAGGCTATTGCGTTGTGTGATGACCCCTAATACAAAACAAAAAAAAATGATTTTGTTACGAAAGTTGATGCATGAAAACACATCTAAAATATAATAGAAAATAACAAAATTATATTTTATAAAAATACATACCCTTAATAAAATATCCCCATAATCTTATTATCCCCGTCCGATACACCTGTTGTTTTCAAGAGAACATTTCAAGTGCATACATTTGTTTACATGTTCTTTTGTGTTTGTTTTGCTCGTCTATTTGTTGTTATCGGTTTTTGTTTTGACTACATCATTCAGCTATTTTCATGTGTGGTAATATTTCTCTCGTTTTTTTCCTGAATGGAGACTTGAGTTGAGACGTATGGAGCATTTGCAGCGCAATTACAGGCAAAACAATAATTGAAAGAAAACCTTCGAAGAATCTATTATCATTCTTCGAGTCACGTGTTGTTCTGATGTGAAAATAGTACAAGTGCAAATATTTGCTTACATTATTTTCGTGATTTGTCATGCTCGTCTATATGCTATTGCGGGTATTTGTTTTGATTGTTTTTATGTTTTATCATTCGTTTTCATGCGTGGTAATGTTGCTCTCGCTTTTGCTATATGAAAATTTTAGTGCTGGCTTAATAATTTCTTTACTTATAATTTTATCATAATTAATATGTATAAAATTACCAAAATTTAAAAAATAAAAATGTGTGTTGTATATATGTTTTTTTAGGGTAAATCAAAAGGGAGGCTCTGAACGTCTTTCCTTATTACGCGTCATCGATACATTAACAACCCCATACATGGGTCCATGGTCCATGGTTGTTGTTTGTTAAAGTTGCGTCCGTTTAACTATGCCCTTTACATCGAACCATACACTAGGACCTTAAGGTCAAAACAGATAAATGCTTAAATGTTGACTTCTTCGCTGTTGCAACTTGTAGCTGACAAAATTGTTGTATTTGACCATAGGCCATAGCATAATTAAGGCGCCACGCGTTCTCACGCTTTATAAAAACAACACACATGGGGAGAGCCATGGCTAAATTAAAAAGTTAAAGTAATTTCAAATAAGCATATCCATCTCTGCATTTTCTGTAATTAACTTTCTTAAATTTCACTGCATAAAAACAGGTTCCCATCTATGATATGAGTATGCATAATAGAGTCACAAGTGTAAATTTTGACAATGAGATGTTGTCAAATGAATAGTTTTGAAAAAAAAAAATGGTAAACATATGATTGCACGACTTTACCTTATATTTTCTATCATTGTAATATTGATTTTTTTCTATATTAATATTGGATTTCTATTTTATGGATAACCCGTGATATGAAAAAAACGCGTGGCACATTGATTCTGCTTTGGCATAAAATAAAGACTAACTTACATTTAAATTATTACCTGCGACACCATGGCAGAAGAATACAGGTAGATGCATCAACGCTTGGGAGCATTGATATGTCAAAAAAATTTAAATGTTTTTTCAAATATAAGTAGATTTTTATATGTTTTCTTATACTACGTCATTCGGAGGCTACTATAATTCGCGTTTTTCAAAAGTTTTTACAAATTTAAATAATTTCTCATTCAACATTTTCAATTCCAAAATTGGTTTGACAGTTCATTGTCCCTGCAGCTGTGTCGACGCGTCTACCTATATTCTTCTACCATGTGCGACACGCACCTTATTATGTGAGCTTCAAAACCTCTTATACCCTGTTCCCGTACATTTTAATGACAATAGCGCGTTTATATTATTGAAAAATTAACTCGCTCGTGGGTTAACCTTGATTGTTTATCTGATGTATATTCACGTATGCAACGCTTGATCCATGGTAGAATTAAGAAGGTAAAGTCATGCAATCATATCATTACAACTTTTTTCAAAATTATTCATTTGACAACATCTCATTGTTAAATTTTATGTTTACAAATACATTGTATACACACAAATTAGAGATGGGAAACATTTTTTATATTCAGTGAAATTTGACAGGAAAAATGCAGAGAAAGGAATGTTTATTTGAAATGACTTTATCTTCTAAATTTTACCATTACTTTACCTTCGCTATTCGAATTGTTTTTATATTTTCTTGCCTTCTCCAACTCAACGTATCATCAATGAATTTTGAAGTCATTCCAGTTGGTTCTCTTGAAAGTCATTTCAACTGTCAATTCCGTACACGTCAAATAAAATACACTGAATTTGAGAGTAAATCGACGAAAAAAGTGTATGGATAAAAAGCCAAGGCAGAATGAACGTTTGGTCGCGACAATGCGTTTCTGGTTGTCAAACAACAACAAGAAAGCGTCGAAATGGATGTCATCAATCTGGGTTCCATCTCTGATTTGTGTATAGACAATGGATTTATAAATAAACATTTTATCAGTGAGATGTCAAATGAATACTTTTGAAAAAAAAGTGATAACATATTATAGCATGATTTTTCCTTCTTGATTCTACCTTGGATCTTACGAACCTAGGTAACTACTGGGGCGAGTAGTGCTACGTTTTTCATTATTCTATTCTTTTAAAAGGAAAGTGCAATGGACCGCCAAGTACGGCAAGTGCGAGCTGATATTTCTCCAAAATTTGAACCGCTTCCCAAAGTATTTTATATAACTAAATACTTGGAACTTATAGTTAGTTTCATTTGCCAACTCGGCAACGGCGACCATAACTTTTTACGCCAGACGAATGGCATTTTTTTTTTAAATTAAAAAATTAAGTCTTTTGTCGTTTTCACTTTGATTGAATGGAAAGTAGTTTGCGAATTAGACATCAGAACAATCAAATTTGTACTAGCAAATCTTTTTCAGAGCACTTCATGTTTTTGTAACAATCCACACCAAATATGCCTCATAAGCCGCTTAACCAACAGTGAAACGCGTCGCATAGTGGTGAATGTTTCAAGGTGTCTCTGTTTGTGGCTGCACCTAAGAGGTGCATCTGTTGGTTCCAATCTTTGATAACTTATCCGAAAATTTCGACTGGGAACTGCTCCAAGACCAAAATCGAAGCGTGTTTCCGCTTAAGATTTACATATTTCTCTTTAGTAAAAAATCGAATGTTCTGATATTACATGATCTTGGTGGACAATCGGCTGGCCCAAAATGTGAAATTATAGTCGCTGCGAAGTTTTCTCTCAATAAATCTTTGATGTGGAGCCGTCTTGCTGAACGCTTAAATTTCGGGCATCAAATAATAAAAGCTGGTGTTAGCAAAATTGCGACGTTCTCACCGGCATCATGTTTGAAGAAGTATGGACCAATGATTTTACCGGCACACAAACCACACCAACCCAAACCGGACGGAGTGACAGTTCTTAAATTTCTTTACATAATATTACCGAGGAATTGACCTAATTGAGTCTCCAAATCGTGGGATCTTCTTAGAAAATAATGAATGCGATGTCGGTCGGGAAAAAATCGGACGGCTTCAGTTCTTGCAACATCTGTACTTTGTATACTTTATTTAAGAGTTCGAAATAAAATACGTTAACGGAAAGAATGAGTTTCGTCGGTCCGAGTTGCTGAGATCTGCGTGCAATCTACGCTCCGTCATCTTTGTGTAAACTCCCAGCTATGGTCCCTATATTTTCTTCGCCGCGTGTTGAGTGTGGTCTATTCGATTGAATATTAACTAATAATGAATGGCTGATTATTGCTATGTTCCTGTACATGCATGAATCTACTAGTTTTGCATTTTTCTTCGATATCATATATGGAAAATCGGTTATCGTAGTAAAATCTTTTACGTACTTGCAGTTCTGGAACAGACCATATGTTGCGAATAGTACGTTCAGTAAAGTTGTGTTCCAGAACCTACAAATTAGTACTAATTCTGCTACAACGCGTTCCCGTACTGCAAAAACTAGCAAAACTTGCAGCTCTCTCGAGAAAAAAATTTATTGATACATTTCAATGTTCCCGCGTCATAACAAAAATAAAGAAATGATCAACTTAAAAACTCAAGGAAAAACTAATATTTGTAGTGCAAAAAAACAATAAGAGAAAATGTGGAGCACTTTTGGATGATTCCAGTAGTGAAGAGGACTGGCTGAATGATGGATCAGATTATTAAATATTATTATAGATTATTAATTTTAACGTATCGTCTTCAATACTATTTTTTTTTAATTTTGGCGTCCGTTTCAGTAAGGTTTCACCAGTCCGATTTGGACTGTTTACTCTTGGAATTTTGAATTTTGACATTTTATCGCATTTCTGCTAATTTTCCGTTCCCTTATTTTTTGAGCACACCTAATTGAGAATGACATTTCGAACTGTTCTCTCTTCTGCTAGTTTTACTACTAAAAAAGTACTGGAACACAACTTAAGTTTATCGGAATGCACGAAAAACATTCCACATAGAACGTGAACTTGGCAGCATGGTACAGCGTACACGTGATCTGCCACAAAATTCCTGTATGATCAGGAGTCGCAATTTTATTAGCGCTCTTTTTTTTTACCCAAATATTAATATTATCAGCAAGTGTCTACTAATTTTAGCAGGTATTCTATCAGATGCTACCGAATCTGATGATACCTGCACCACATACTACATCAGCAATGGACATTGAAAATCCACTGCAACAGAACCTTACACCACCTGTAAAAATTAATTCCAACAACAACAACAATAAGCGTTTACGGCTAGAAGATGGATCCCTTCCGGCGGAGATTGATATCACAGGACTAAACTATGATCCTAACAATCAAAATAGATTTGCAATGTTTGCAGATCTAGAAATTGAAAGCACTCAGCAGCAACGTCCTCCCAATCGCAACATTGATGAGCCAAAAACAGTGTCTGACAAGCAGAAATCCAGAAAAACGTTTTGTCCGCCAATTTTTTTTATACAATATTAATGTAAAACGATTAGTTGAACAGCTAGAAAACATGGAAACAAAAATAGAATACAAGCTTAAAAATACGGGTATGAATAAATGCAAACTGTATCTTTCAGATCCCGAAGCTCATATAGCAATGATGGAGAAATTGCGCGAAAACCCAGTACAGGCGTATACATTCACCCCGAAGGAATTGAAAAAAGTCTCATTTGTACTAAGAGGTCTGTATCATGACATTGATGTAGATAACATTAAAACCCTGTTCGATGAAATAATTCCCAATGTTGTTTCGAAGGTTACCAAATTTACAACACCTAGGTCTATAAAAGAAAATATTGATACTGGTCTTCTCTTGATCACATTAGAACCAGGCAAATCTTTAAACGATATTTCTCACATTAAATATATACAGAAACAACCTGTTTTTTGGGAGAAGCCAAAAAGAAAGAATCAGGATATACAATGCCGTCGATGCCAAGCCTGGGGGCATTTATCAAAGAACTGTGCCTCAGTCCGCAAATGTGTAAAATGTGACAAAATTCACTTGCCAGGTGAGTGTCAGAGACTAAAATCCGATACTTCTGACCCATATTGTGTAAATTGCAAAGCAACTGGTCATACTGCAAATTGGAAGGGTTGTCCCGCTTACAAAAACTACGTTGCAACTCGAAGACAACGTATTGAAACAGCAATAAAAACGACGGAAACTGCCAAACAAAATGTCAAAATTGCCCTATCAACCAGCTTAGTTTCACCAAACAAAACTTTTGCAAGTTTTTTACGACCTACGCCTTGCCACAGTACAAAATCATCCATCATTGACGAGTTTTTGAAACTATCCAGTCTATTTTTGCAGCCAGAAGAGCTCAGCTTGGAACAAGAAATTGAAATTTTCCTAGCTGAATACAACAAAATGTCAAAAAGTGAGGCAAAAACTAAGTTTATGAGCCTCTTAAAAAAATTAAGGAAAAATATGGGCCATAGAACTCTTAATTTCCTAACCTTTAACGTACGTTCATTACTAGATCGTAGCCGACAAATTGAGTTGCAAAAATATCTCATAAATCACAATATTGACGTTGCGTTTATACAAGAGTGCCATCTTCGCAGAAATAAAAGAATAAAAATAAGCGGTTACAACTTTATTTATGACTACTCACACATAGGAGTAGCCATATTACTAAAAAATAACCTCAATTACAGACGAGTTGATATTGAAAATATTAATTTCAATACTGTTTTTGTAGAAATCGAAACAAGAGGTAATATCATACGTAAATATCTGTTGGGATCGCTCTATATCCCATGTAACTACAATTCTCTGCAACTTATAAACGGACTAAATAACTGTCTATCGGCAACATCACAATATGACGGGTTCATTCTTGGCGGAGACCTCAACTCCAAAAATGTATCATGGGGAGATCTCATTGACAATACTAATGGTAAAGCTCTTTATAGTTGGTTGCTTGATAATTCCACTGATATTAGTAGAATTTGTTGCTCAACGCCTTCATACCCAAACGGATCCTCATTCCTTGATCATTTTCTTATTAGTCCCAATTTGATTGACTACAAAAGTTAGAAAACGAATTTATTATTAACCCTATTTCCCCATTTCAGTTTGGATTTAAACCAGCACACTCTACAAATCACGCCTTACTTAAATATCACAATGATATAACGAGTCACCTAAGAGAGAAAATATGTACAGTGGCAATCTCTCTAGATATCCAGAAGGCATTTGATTCTGTATACCACAAAGGAATTATTTATAAATTAATTAAACTGAACGTGGATCCGTTTCTGGTCAAGATGTTTTCAAGCTTTTTAAACAACAGAAAATTTACTGTTATTATCAATGATTATATGTCCAATTTTGGCGCAATAGAAAGTGGTGTCCCCCAGGGCAGCGTTCTGTCACCCCAACTGTTCAACTTGTTCCTTAATGATTTTCCTCATGTTTCCGAAAATTCTAAATCTATTTTATACGCGGATGATTGCCTGATATATAGTCATAACAACTCACCAATTACTGCTTTCAACAATGCAGCGTACCATCTTCAAATTATAAAAGCATATTACACGACATGGGGAATTTCCATAAATGCTGCGAAGTCGGAGGCAATTTGCATTAGAAACGCTTCAGGAAAATGCCATAGAACAGTAGTGCCTGAATCCAAACTATTGAATCTCTCGCTTGATGGAACAGAAATCCCTTTTAGGAATACCTTAAAATATTTGGGAATAAACATAAATAACCTTTTTAAATTTAATGATCACGCCAGAGCCGCCCTGAAAAAAACCAAAATGACAGCTGGTCGTTTATCATACATCATGTGCAATACTTATCTGCCACAGAGTACTAAGTTGCTCCTATATAAAGTCGCCATTCGCCCAATTATGTATTATGGTTTCCCAATGTGGTTTTCGATTTCCCCGACAGTGGCAAATGAAATTGAAATGTTTGAACGAAAAATCTTTAGAAAATGCGTTGGAAAAAACTTCCAGAATCCCTCCAAGCGCTTCTCAAATCAGCACATTTACACCTGCGCAAACATTCTGCCATTCTGCACGTATGCTCTCAACCTCCAAAGGAGATTTTTGGAAAACCTAGCCGTACATAATAATGAACTTTTAAATGAAATATATGCTGCTGAACAAAATATTTTATGGTCCGGCTCAACTTACCTTTCACCAGTAGGAGTTCTAAATGAAAATCTTGACAACAGTTCTGGCCAGTACTTTCTACCTGATTTTTTTACCAAGACGAGTCCCGAAACACATAGGGGATAAATGAATGAAAAAAAAAAACGATTCTGTGATATTCTTATATATATTTTAGACTTAAGTCACGTAGTACCTGAAAAATTACACATAAATAGATCATTTCACACCTCATGTTTCTTAACGTTATAATTTTACAATTAATATGTTACACAATTAATGTTCTCTTTACACTTTGTATGTAATTGTCGATTATCACAATAATTGCTTTCGCAATTTTTTTTTTCATGTAAAATCTCGACATTACATTATATATGATCTCAATTCATATAAACCTACCTAAAATTGTCACACTGTTCAAACATATTTATTTATTTTAGTATATAAGTGTTAACTAGTGTTTAAGTAGTTATGCAGATATTTACTCTGCACGCTAAAATATAGACCGCGAGCAAGTCTAAAAATCTCTTCCCATTTGTTTACATTTTGTAAATTTCTGTTTATTCACTTTGCATGTAGCAATAACGAACGTCAATGTGCAGCAAAACAAAACGATTATAATTTTGCGTTTTTTAATTATCTCCGTTGTTATCGATAAGTACAACATATTGTAACCGAAAAAAAAGAAGACTCAATAAATATTTTACTTACTTTACTTTCCTGTATGATCAGATACATATATGAAGACAGACACATTTGGTGATAATACAGTTGCCGATCACCAACTTGTATTATATCAGCAACGTAGCTTTCAGAACAGGATTGCACGCCGCGTGGATGCACACATATTAATCGAGGAAACAGCTTGAATCTGGAGTCGAGACCTAATAATGAGGACGTACATGGACTGCGGAGATGAAACAAATGAGAGCTGAAAGTCCAAGGAAGAATATACATAGCTTTCCGCTTTGTTTTATGGTATGTATTGACTAAAACAACATCGGTGCGACAGTGATATTTGTACTCGTCAAAGATGACACACTACCATCTAATGACTGGAAATGAATAGTTACGACTGGAATGAAGAGGTACGACCTATGTCGGTGACGATAACCATTAAGTGTCGTAGACGTAACGATGTGCGAAGGTAGAATAACAGGGTCATTCTCCAAGTCATGCGTACTTCAAACAGAGTTCAAATATTAGATAAATTTGTGAATGATATATTTTGGAAAGATGTGTCTCGTTATTAACGGACCATACATCGTATGATCAAATTCGGGTTGTGCCTTTGTTTTTTTCCTGCCCTGTTTGCTTTAAGCAACATTATCTCGCCTTTCATAATATATTCAAGAAGATGGCTCAGAAGGACACGGAATGTGCGATATTTGACGAAATGTTTGTTTTGTGGTCATTTAGAGCGATTTTGCAATGCAATAACAAGGCGGTAATAATCGTCGAGTACGACAACAAACCCTTCAAATAAGAAGGGAGCAACTTCGCACACCTCAAGTGGTAGGGCCGATGGTTGAGCCTAAGCAGCAAGTCGCTGAGGGAGCAGTTACCCAAAAATTGTTAATAGAGATTGTCGAGCATACGTGCATTCTAGGGTCCGCAGCCCACGTTGCACCCAAGCAAGCGGGGGAGTATGTCGATGCTAAAGCAAACTTGCACTCTCCCAAAACAATCAGGCCCATCGTGTGATCTACCCTAATGGAGACCGGGGTGATCGATTGGGAGCTGATCGAGTTCTACCTCTAAGTACGGTCGTCGAAAATGGCTCATCACTTAATTCTATACTTTTATCTAATGGATCGACTTGTTCGCAAAGGTTTTAAACTCCCAAATAAAACTTTAAATTCACATCAAAATTTACAGACCTACTTTTCAAGTTTAACAGCGTTACCTAAAGTTCGACGTACTCAGTCGACGTTTTTCACCACACAATTTATATGACAGTTACCCAAATACGACGGGAGTACGAAATTTCAAAGTTGAACATATTAAACTTTGATATTTTAATATTTTTTTTTTGTGTTGGAAATATAAGTAAATAATACAAAAAATGTGAATTCCGGGCATCGACGCGGGATGTAACAATGGATCAAACGTTGATTCTGTCTTGGAATTTTTTAAAATGGGTTTTATATTTTACGCATGGCAAAAGAATACAGGTAGATGCATCAACGCTTGAGAGTATTGATATGTCAAAAAAATTTAAATGTTTTTTTCAAATATAAGTAGATTTTAATAAGTTTTTTATACTACGCCATTCGGAGGCTATTATAATTCGCGTTTTTCAACAATTTTTACAAATTTAAATAATTTTTCATTCAACATTTTCAATTCCAAAATTGGTTTGACAGTTCATTGTTCCAGCAGCTGTGTCGATGCGCCTACCTATATTATTCTACCATGATTTTACGTAAACACAAAATAACAAACAAATATAGCAGCCGGGAGTTTAACTGTTGTAAAATGAAGTGGAATTCTACGGGTCAACGGAAACCAATACAGAATAAAACTTTCCGTTTTGTTTTATGTTATGTGTTGGCAACAAAAACATCGGTACCACAATCATGTTACAGCTAAAGTGTTTTTATTCTAATTTTTCTGATTTACTTAGTAATGTTGCATCAAAAAATTGAAATGTTGGCCATCAACGAGAGACGAAGTAACAACGGATCAAACATTTATTCTGGCTTGGAATTAAACAATTTTAAGCCAGTGCATTTTTCGCAGGAAACAACAACCGCTACTGAAGCCAGGCAAGGATGCCAGCAAAAGTGATTCATACAGGCCGATATCACTTTTGTCACCAGTAGCAAAGACGCTTGAGGCTTTACTCCTCCCCAGCATACGAGAGTGTTTCCCAGTAGCCGATCATCAACACGGATTCCGAAAATTGCATAGCACAACAACAGCTTTACACGCCATTTCCACACATGTCAGCAGAGGTCTCAACCAGAACAGGCCGTGCGATAGAACATTTATGGTGGCACTTGATTTATCAAAAGCCTTCGATACAGTCAATCATGCCACACTGTTCGAGGACATTGAGCGCACCACCCTCCGGCCAAGTTTGACGTTGGCTAGTAAACTACATGTGTGGACGCCACGTGGAATTCAGAAACAAGAAGTCGAGCATCCATAGAGTTAAACAGGGAGTTCCCCAAGGTGGGGTGATATCTCCGGAACTGTTTAACCTCTACCTTTCTGACATTCCGCGCCCTCCTGACGGCATAGAGATTATAACGTACGCAGATGATTGTACGCTCGTGGCGTCCGGACCCATTATTGATGACATTTGCTATCGGTTAAACGCTTACCTTGTTGATCTTACCGCCTTTTTCACTGCGAGGAATATGAAGATATCCGCCACTAAGTCGACGGCCACACTTTTCACCACATGGACTGCGGAGATGGGGCTATCCTTAAATGTGCAGGTCGATGGTGCTATTATTCCGACCACCAACTACCCCAAGGTATTAGGGGTCACATTCGATAGCCTCTTTAAGTCGTCCGCGCATACCACAGCTATCTGCGACAAGATTAGAAGTAGGAACAAGGTCCTCAAGTCTCTGGCCGGCAGTACTTGGGGAGCTGATAAGGAAACCTTGTTGACCTCTTACAACGCGATAGGCCGGTCTGTGCATGTGTGTGTGTGTGTACTATGCGGCTCCGGTGTGGTCCGCCAACGTCAGTGCTACGCAGTGGAAAAATGTCCAGTCCTGCCAGAATGCCGCCCTTAGAATCGCAACATGGTGCCTTCTCATGACACCTGTCGATCACCTACATGAGGAGGCGAAGGTCTTACCGGTGCGACAGCATATCAAAATGCTGTCAATGCAATACCTGCTTGGGTGTTATAGACAAAGGCATCCAAATCACCATCTTGTGGATAGGCAACCTCCGCCCAGGCACGTTAGGAAAGACCTTCATGATTTAGAGAGAGAGAGGTACAGAGGTATAAGAGAGAGCCTCTAGATCAACAGGCCTATCAAGCGGGACTGAATAGTATTCACTCTAATTCGGTCTCAGAACCCATTGAAGGATATAGAGTGAATACTGTGCTAGGAGACCATCCTCCTCCCGTCGCAGCTGAAGAACGAGAGCTGCCCCGACAAACCCGAGTAGTTTTGGCTCAATTACGATCCGGATGGTGCAGCCGACTAAATTCCTACTGGGCCCGGATTAACGGCGACGTGCAGAACATCTGCCCAGCATGTGGCACAGGCCCACATGACACGCTGCCCAGCCAAGCCTACTCACCTAACTCCAGTCTCGTTATGGACACAACCCATACAGGTTGCATCCTTTTTGAGACTGGACTTAGAAGCAGAACGTGATTGAACTGAGTCAGAAAATGGAAACCAAACGAACACAGATGTATGAGCTGCTACAATAACAACAACAACACATTCTTAAACGCTGTTCACCAGCTAGAGTTGATATTCTACTTGAACATTGGGAAAATTATGTGTAGGAAAAAATTCCCATGCATATATTCTTCTGATCCTTGTACATATTGGTCAGTACATTTGTTGACTTTCCTGCCGATAGCAACATAGGATTTAAACATCAATTCTGTCTATAATATAACCTTAAACTAGTCTAAACAAGTAGAATTTGCAAATCGGATTCATTTGTAATGTCTAGTCTAAACGGGCTATTAATTTCATGTCGCACTTCATCGATAAAACACGAACCACTTGACGTTGTCAGTTCCGTTCTGTGTGGTTTTTTGTTGATCAACGCGAAATCCAGGCTTTACGTCGGTTTATTGAAATAATGCGTTTATGTCAGATTAACTCATATAATAATTTAATGGTTTGAGAAGGTTAACCCATGGTACAATAAAAAGGTAAGATAGAGCTCCCAGCTGATTACATTTTTTTCTAAGTGTGCCCGACTTCTGCTAAGTTTGTGAATGTATTTGTTGTTTTGAAAAAGCGACAGCTGTTAAAATTATTCCAGTGACAGCTCATTATTTGTTTACAAGCGAAAAAAAGCATTTTGGTGAGCATTTTCCAGAAAAAAAGTTATTCGTAATGGAATTCAAACGTGATAGTGTGATTTCTTTATATTTGGCTGGAAAACCAAAAGTGGCTAGCGTTAGAGCACTCCAGCATTTAAATGTGAATAATTCTTTTGTGTCTCGTACCATCGCTCGTTACCGTGATACTGGTAGCGTAGCCTGACGTCAAGGAAGTGAACGGAAGAAAACGACAATGGTTCGAAAAGTAAAGAACCGACTTGATCGAAACCCGCGTCGCAGTGGCCGAAAAATGGCCCGTGAGCTGAACATATCGCAATATTCCATTCGGCAAATATTGAAAAATGAGCTCGGGGTAAAGTCATTGCAATTCCAAAAAGTGCAAGAACTTACACCGCTACAGAAAGAAAATAGACTCAAAAGAACTAAAGAGTTGCTTCGCATGGCCGAAAGTGGTGAACTGCCGAATTTGGTTTTCTCCGATGAGAAAACATTCGTTGCCCAGCAGTTTGTAAACAAAAAAAAAATTATCGTGTTTACTTGCAGAAGAAGTCAGCTGTAAATGTGCACCTTCCGTTGGCCACCAGAACTCAAGCGCCGGTCATGGTGATGGTGTGGGCCGCCATAACAGCCGATGGTCGCTCTCCGCTCGTATTAATCGACCGTGGCATCATAATAAATGCCAAATATTATCGCGAAAATATTCT